TTTTAGGCGCTTTTACAAGCAATCATCGTATAGAAAATAGCAAATTGACTTTCTCTGCAGTGGATCATTTTCTTCCATATTTTTCAATTCTGACTCCATTATTGTAGACGCGGTTACGCCATTTTCGACACGTTTTGATTGATTTCTACTTTAGCTTAGTCGGATCGTTTTTTTCTACCTAATCTTGACCATCTTTCTGCCCTACTGCGTACTCGATCATCGCCATGGACTACTGCAAATCTTGCCGGGGAAGATTTAAAGTAGTCCATGTCATTGCGTTAAAGATCTGCCGCTACAGTTGATGATTTTTAACCTTTTTCTACCTCACTGCAGACTCGATCATAGCCTTGGACTAGGACTACTGGAAATCTTCCCCCAGAAGATTTCCAGTAGTCCATGTCATTGCGTTAAAGATCTGCCACTACAGTCGATGATTTTCAACCTTTTTCTACCCCACTGCAGACTCGATCATAGCCTTGGACTAGGACTACTGGAAATCTTCCCCGAGAAGATTTCCAGTAGTCCATGTCATTGCGTCAAAGATCTGCCACTACAGTCGATGATTTTCAACCTTTTTCTACCCCACTGCAGACTCGATCATAGCCTTGGACTAGGATTACTGTAAATCTTCTCTGCAAATTTTCCCCGAGAAGATTTCCAGTAAGTAGTCCATGTCGTAACGTCAAAGATCTGCCGCTACAGTCGATGATTTTCAACCTTTTTCTACCCCACTACAGACTCGATCATAGCCTTGGACTAGGACTACTGTAAATCTTCCCCCAGAACATTTCCAGTAGTCCATGTCATTGCGTTAAAGATCTGCCACTACAGTCGATGATTTTCAATCTTTTTTTACCCCACTGCAGACTCGATCATAGCCTTGGACTAGGATTACTGCAAATCTTGCCGGGGAAGATTTAAAGTAGTCCATGTCATTGCGTCAAAGATCTGCCGCTACAGTCGATGATTTTCAACCTTTTTTTACCCCACTGCAGACTCGATCATAGCCTTGGACTAGGATTACTGTAAATCTTCCCCCAGAAGATTTCCAGTAGTCCATGTCATTGCGTTAAAGATCTGCCACTACAGTCGATGATTTTCAACATTTTTTTACCCCACTACAGACTCGATCATAGCGTCCAAGATGGAACACTACAGACTACAGTAGATGATTGCAACTTGTTTGCTATCTCAACTTTGCCAATAGCAGTCTCGATAATAGCAAAACAGTTGTAACTGCAAGTTGTAGTTTACTAGTCCAATTTCATTTTCATTCTGTACTATAGTAGCACCCTCTCTGTTGATACGTATTCTCCAAGAAGTAGTTCAAGAGCGAGCGATTGGATTAATCTGTAAAATAAAAAGAATGAAAAGACTACTCTAGCGGCATGGAATTTCTTTCCACAGCACTCCCAATAGCAATTGCAGATACGGCACATGAAACTTTGCAATAATTCCTTTCAAGACCACCACCAGATCTAAATAGAATCCTTTCGTTTTCTGCTTTTTTATCTTCCAAATAGAATCCTTTCGTTTTCTGCTTTATCATCCAAATAGAATCCTTTCGTTTTCTGCTTTATCATCCTAATAGAATCCTTTCGTTTCCTGTTTTTTTATCATCCAATCATTTTCAATTCAAATCACCATCTTAATCAAAGTGCAAGCTAATGCATCAATGATGGATCAACACACAATAATATAAAAATAATTGGTTTTTTGATTAATTGCATGTAAGGATAATCTACCCTCTGGTGGAAAGGCATAATCTTTCATGACATTTGTTAATCACTTAGTGTATGTGTTTTTTTTTTATGTTTTTTAATCGCCGGATCACTCTCCTACATTGCTTATGATACTCTCCATCATCAAGCAAAGTATTGATTATTATTTTTTTTCTTTTCCTTTTTGATTGATCCTTTTAATTGATTCAATGGTCATCAAGCTCGATAGCCTACAACAAATAAGATTAATTTTTATTTTCCCTTTTCCCCCCCCCCATTGCTGCATATACTAGTACAGAGACTAGTTTTTGAGGATACGAGGGGGAAAAAGAAAAACAAAAATGTCCACATCAGAAAGAGATGATCGCTTTTCGTCCATGTTATCCATCATGGTAGCCATTTTTTCTTTTTCTTTGTATGGAACAGATGTAAAAATGAAGTAATTAAGTGGAACAGAGAGAAGGAGGAAGTAGGCATGATAATAGTTGTATAATTACATCAATCGATCGCCATATCGAATTAATTATCTCAACAAGATGAATTCAAACAGAAACATATGGCACATTCTTTAATTGCTATGCCTATTACATTCGATCTTAGTTTGACGTCAAACTTGCTCATTGAAAGGCAACTAAAACTATAAATTGCATCCATATTGAACAAAATCACCAAGTTGCCATGGCAATGATTGCCCATCTTTCTTTTTTTCTTTCTCCATCTTGATATTTACGTCACTAATCAATGGATTCTTGATTCCTTTTTAGCAACATTCGACAAACTAACCAGCAATGATAATGATATGGTAAGTCTTGTAGGAGTAGTAGCCATTATTAGACTAGGACAAGAATAATCGAAAAATGACTTAGTTAAAATATATGGCAAAGAATCCATCATGCCTATGTGACACTAATCTGACTTGTTCTTCCTCATCCAATTGAAAGAAAATAAGGATTGCATTGATTTTTGATCATTAATGTTGACTTTGTATCAATGATAGGTGACAAGAAATAATCTAAAAAGACTACCTGGTACAGCAGATGGCCTTCTCCACAATAATGAATCCTATTTAACCAATAACAATATCGGCAACAGTAGTAGTAGTAGTAGTAGTAGCAACACTACTAGTAGAGTGCTTGTTGCTAAATATGATCATCATTTACACGAAAAGAAAGAAGCATCCAATAATAAAGGAAGCCACTTAAACAATTTTCAACTGATGAAAGTTTTAAATAACAGTATAAGCTCTGATGCTGATCAAAGTAGGATTCTCTATGATATGGCTAAGCACATTGCTGCCAGTAAGCACTTGTTCAATTCAATCATAACATTTTAAGTCCATTTCAAATAGAATGAATCCAAAGAATTGAACTTTTTCTTTGTTTATTTCCTATAGCTGTTTCTGCTGACCATTATTCACTCTACACCGTCAACGAAAATGGCAAGGTAAGAAATAATAATATTGAATCAGCCATTATTGCATATACATTGATTGATAGTCAAGGCGCTTCTCCACTTTATACCCACCTTACTTTCTACGGTAGTAGATAAACTCGTACATTATGATACGGGTTAAAAAGTGCACTACTTAAACAAATCGTTAAGCCAATGATGAACAGATTTCTTAAATCAACATAGAGTCTATCTTTATTACATCAATTACAAGAATTAATTATTATTATCTTCAACGCCAATACTAATATTGAACAAAATGACATTGTTATTAATATTTGAATATCAAAATGTGGATCAATTTAGTCCATTTCTTTATATCAGCCGGACCGTAAAGAGTAAGTAATATATAAAACGTGACTATTTTAAAAATGATCAAACGTGTTAAATAAAAAATACCTCGACATTTCAAGAATAAATTGAAACAATTTCCAATAACTGCATTTTCAACCCAACCCAATACAACTACTTACTATAGTATCTATTGACTAATAAATATATACCCATCATCATCTCAATTTATATTTTACTAGTAATGCCGCTATCACTAGTATACCCATCGAAATTGGATCAACTATGGTCGCTTATGTAGCTAAAACAAAAACTTGCTTGAATTTGCGCCCTGAGCAAATTCTCTTGGTAATAAATTATATCATCATAACGATCATGATTAGTAATAATGATAGTATAGACATAGGTATCATAAATTGCTTCATTTATCATTTTAACAGGACGATCGTTTCCCAAAAGGAATCAGCTATGAAGGTAATAAAGAATAATAGATTCATAAAATGTTTGTTTAGCTTATCGACCAAATTTTTAATCGACAATCATGCCATGATAGCCAATCATAATAACTATAATGATACTGCATCACTATATCGATACTATTTATTCAAAATTCTCTATCTCAATTTCTATTTGATATAGCTGTTTCAGTGGATTCAATAATATGTCAGCCAATCGTACTTCCTGACACTGCTCTAGTTGGTAAGATAGATATTCACATCAATTTATTACCTATTTCTTCTTCCATCGATAAACAATTTTTCATCCTGATCTCCTAAAATGAAGGACAAACTCTATCTTGAATCTAGTTAGGACATAAACACATTGATTTATCAGCATTAAATTAATATAATCACTCTCTCATTTTATTTTTAGGCGTTTTAGTACTTATTAAGACTGTGGGTAGTAAATCTCGATTTAGCAGCAACGATGAAGAGGTACTAACTAACTATAATATATCATTAGTATCTAGATCATACAATACAAAAATTGGTTTCTTTACGAACTTATTTTAGTAACGAGCTCTTGATAAAATACAATTAAGCCATGCAATTCAAAATCTTCACACATTACATTTTCAATTAGATTGTTGGAACTTTCTTACAATGGGGATCTCTAGCGCTATGCTCTACAAAGGTAACAAACAACTGCAAGTATTTAATGCCAAATTTTTAACTATACTCACAGATTACTAAAAAAAATAGTTACTTTGCATTTGTAAATCAATTACCTAATCCTTATACACAAATATACCATATGTATTATTCATTTTTTGACAATAAATACTTTTATTTCCAATTGCTGCTCCTACAGATGATGAAAGCCGTTGATCGCCAACGACAACTACAAAATGTTTTGTTTTCCGTTTCTCAGTATGTCAATGGCCGATAGTAACTAAGAATTACTTTCTGATAATAAGCTATCCTCTAATATTAGGATGTATTATACTCTGGAGTGTATGTTATTGAAATAGTAATTTAAATTAGATGAAATATTTATGCTTAAATTAAATAAGATGTTATGTTTCAATTTTACTTATGATTTCGCTTTAATTTTACTAGATCAATCTTCAATGAAGTTACAAAAAGAAACACCCTTCTCGAGATTATTATGGTATGATATCATTTCAGATATAGATTATTATTTCAATTCTGATGTTATGCTGATAAATTGATAACACTAAAATCTATACCTGTAGGTCTCCGCCAAAAAATTACTAAATGCTGATCGATGTGCTCTGTTTTTGGTTGATAACGAAAATCAAGAACTCTACGCTGATTTATTCGATGAAAGTGAACCATTTGGCGATATTAAGATAGTGCCCAAGGAAAAGGATATCAGGTACACTTCTTAAAATCATGTTTATTTTTTTCGCAATGATTTCAGCTAATCAATTTCATTATTCAATATCGTCACAATAGATTTTCAGTCAAAAAAGGCATTGCAGGACATGTTGTAACACATGGACAGATGCTTAATGTATCAGATGCTTATAAAGATTCAAGATTCAATCGGTATACAGTATACAAATATAAATTAATGAAAAAAAACAAAAAACAATTAATTTAGGATTTATTATTATTACGTCAAATTTTTCCATTGCTCTCGCAATAAAAATAAAAATGACCTTTAATTTATACTCTCAATATTCAGAGATATTGATATAAAGACTGGCTATACAACTCGATCCATTTTGTGCATGCCAATCATGAATAAAGGCCGGTTCGTCTATTAATTTTAATGCAATTATTATTGTCTCTGCATTGTTAAGACAAGTGAAATATCTGCTGTAGAAACTGCCTAATCTAATCTAACTATAATTATTGATCGTGCGCTTATAAAAACTAATATTCTTGATGTAAGATTTTAATAAAAACCCAATTTCATTTATCTCTTTAGCTGTATAGGTGCTATTCAAATGTTGAATAAAATCAATGGGGATTTTACGAAAGAAGGTGATTAAGTTTTCGTATTACTATTGATTTAGAGTTCAATTTTCCCCTTTCTTCTCTGACAATAATTTTACTTCACTTATTGATGTAAAATAACAATGATGACATTATACCCTTTCTAGATGAAGACGCATTTAGGATATTTACAGTTTATTGCAACTTGGCACTCCATACATCCGAGGTAACTTGAAATACTCATAATATAAATAAAAAATAACATTTCTTTTAACCACTGGGCTATTTCTTAAATAATTAATCCAAATTTATGAATAGATAGCAGATACGCAATATGATGCCTTTACATATGCGCTAAAATTATTCTACTATTGTAATTTCAGATCTATGTACAACTGCGCAAATCAGAGAGCAAAAGGAAAGTTGCCCTCGATTCCTACTTTTATCATAGCAGTTGTACAAATGAAGAAATGGAAGATGTTATTGCTTCCCCATATTTACAGTCAGAATTAATACCTACTCGCATAGAATCGTAAGTTAAAATTCAATTTTAGTACAATAGCAATTATTCTAATAACGTAAAGTCTAATAGAGAGATGTGATAAATTATTGTTGGCATATCGACATCGAGCACTTAAGCATGAATAAATTTGATCTTTCATGAACAGCATCAATTTTACTGCTGACGATGCAAGTGCCGAATATACAGATCCGAATATATTGCCCCGACTCTTCTTGCATATGTTTAGGGAATTATTTGGAACAACTGGGTATACCAAATATCAAAAAGATCGAATAATAATTTGTTTTGATATACAAATTTAAAAAATTTTTTATTAATTCGTTAAATATCCACTTCATTTCCTTTAGATTCGATGTGTTCGATTTATGTCGATTCACCTTGACCTGTCGTAAAAATTATCGCCGAGTACCATACCATAACTGGTATCATGCCTTCAATGTAACGCATAGCATGTATTACATAATCAAGAACAGCCCTGGCATGTTTGATCGTCTAGAGGTAGGATCCATTTCCATAAGCTTCAAAATTATCACAAAGTTTTTTTGTAATGCCCGGATGATAGCATGAATAAATCCAACATTGACTAGATATTATGCAACTTTTTTACTGCTTATTTTGGTTAATATTGATTATTTTGTAATTACTAAAAGAAAAAATAATTTCTTATTCCTTTTATTAGTGTTTGGCAATGTTTATTGGGTGTTTATGTCACGATTTAGACCATCGGGGAACAAATAATGCTTTCCAGGTCAAGTCAGAAAACCCCTTAGCTGATTTGTATTCAACCTCAGTACTGGAACAACACCATTTCAATATGACAGTGATGATACTGCAGGTAAAAATAGTTGTCCTGGTTCATACAATAGCATAATATTATATTTGAATCTTTACTCTGATTATTAGTAAAAATGTATGTTTCAAAATTTGCAACAAAAATGATCATGATAAAAAATTTCATTTCTATCAATTATTAACTATCATTGCTTCTTCGCATATACTAGCGTGATGGACACACCATCTTATCGAGCTTATCAAAAGAAGATCACGAAATAGTAAGTTCATATACAAAATAATACTTTGACCCACATACTCATATATTATTCTAAGATTACAATTCTATAAATATAATATCGATAAAAAAAATTACTTATCGCTTCCAAGTTGATCATACTGTTATAAATAGAATTGAATTTGAATAGATCAGGCCAAAAACTTATTACCAACTTCAACTTATTTTCTAGGTTATGAATTATATCCATGACGCAATTATCGCTACCGATTTAGCTCTCTACTTTGGCAATCGATCAACTTTACAAAAGCTTGTAGACAACAAAGAGTTCGACTGGAACATCCAACGCCATAGGTTAGACAATCTTAATACAGTATCTATATTTTCTAAATTCTACAACTTTAGTAAAGTTATAAATTAATATGATCTTAGATCCCGAGTTCGAGGATTAGCAATGACTGCATGCGATCTTATTGCCGTTGCAAAGCCATGGAAATACCAATTTGAAACTGTCAAGCAAATTTTTGCCGAATTTTACGATCAGGTATTGATTCTTATGCATGTCTTTGCTTTAATAACAATCAACATAAAATCTAAACTTGGATATTATTAATGGCTTTCAATTACGCCAAATAGGGTGATGTAGAAAAGAGATTAGGTATAGCACCAGTTCCTATGATGGATAGAGATAAGGAATCGGAATTACCAGCTAATCAGGTAACTTAACTTTAATGTGATAGTAATGAAATATCTTATTTTTTAAAGCTACTTTTTAATCTCAATCATCGCGACTTTTTTATGATACTGAAATTTAATAATTAGGTCGGCTTTATAAATGGAATCTGTTTACCATGCTACGAGTTGTTAGCATACCTACTACCCAACACTCAGGCAATGGTAGATAATATTATGTAAGTACTATATTTTATGGTCATCGACAGATTGAATCTTGTCATCATGTGTAGAATGACGATTAATAATTTCTTGATTTTTAAAGGATCAATCTCCAGCAATGGCAACGTCTATCTGACGAGCAAGATCAAATTGGAAAGGACGCTAAAGTAGTGAATTTATCCAATTAACAGAATTTCATTATAAGATAAAATGAAATTGCCTATCCTATATCAATTGATGGTTGGGGACAAACAAACAGCAAGCAAATGCAAGCATGCGAATAAACATTTGAATATACAATAATCATGCTATAAATGCATAGATTATGGTAAAGTGATACCATACGTTATTAACGTAATTGCATGCCATACATTTTATATGAAACTTTTGACAACTTTACCAATTCATTTGGTAACAAAATTTGCTTGCAATGTTCTTGTTTCTAATTTCCTTTTTAACAAAATATATTTAAATGAAATTTCGTATAAGTTAATTATTTCCTGTGCGATAAAATCACAGGTATATCTAATAACTTAAGTCATTCATTGCATTTATTCATTTTATTACGAAGATAATGTAGTAGTGTATAAAAGAATAGCTAAAATGATACTAAAATAGCGTTAGAGTGAATTCAAATACGGTAAATTTATTATTTATATTACATTTTATTGGTCGGATAAAATGTTATAAAGAGAGACGTAGAGCGTTATCACGTGCAGAAATCTTAAGCTAAAACACGAGTTATTAAGTAATTTGTTATTAATTCATCTTTATTGAAGCGATTCATTGACGTGGCAGTTTAATTTTATCTTTTATTTTCCGTAAGATGCCATGGATTTTATTGCTAGTTAATTTATTTCAACCTATTATTTGCCAATTTAATTTACAAATCCTCAACAACTTTTATTAACGTTACAAGTATTCCAAGGTAAATTAAGTGAAAATTATAGCATAAATTGAATGAGATGATAAATTACGTGGGAACGACTATAAAATCGATATCATCTTGACAATCGGTCACTTCAAGTTGCAATAATCGTTATTTTATGGAGGATAATAAGAAAGATTATTATTTATCATTTCATTTTCCATTTGCATTGCTAACTCAACAATTTTCACTTGCAAGAATTTTAATTGTAAGAAAATGAAAGCATTTAGTTCATTACATATCTTTAATATGGAACATAACCTATTTCAATTTTACTATTATATCATTAATTCATTCATTCATTACTTATTTGAATAGTTGAAATTGTAGGCAATGTATGTTATGATTTGATTTTATACGTTTTATGCATTAATCGCGTTAGCTTTTGTTGAGCAAATTTTCAACTTGGATTGTTTTTGCGCTTATTTGTTTACATATTCCTTGGATATTACATTGCATTTTTTATTTCAAGAAAGAAATGTTAGAATTACCATGAAGTTGACTTGTATTAGATTTTTCATAACAGATGAAAGTTTGATTATTCTATTATTCCATAAGATTAAAATCTAGGACTTAATTAATTGATTAAACCGTCAAGTATATAATCAAATTTATCGCCAACGTTCGGTGAACGTTGTGCATCAAATAATGATTATCAATAGGTATCGTCATGATACAAGATTAGTATTTCATTTTTCGATTAACTGACAAGCAGTCCACTTAGTCTGCTCCATTTGCAATATATTAATATATATAAATAAAGCACAAAATTCAATTTGCTTTGACTCGAATCATTTTGGTTAATGATATGCCGCTCATGTCATGATCTCCATCAAGTAGTGAGCTTATTAAAATAACAAGCGTAATCGAATTATCACTATCGTTTAATTTCAACATTAGTTAACTTTAACTTTATTAATCCAGTGATTAAATTATACATTATGTTTATTCGATTAGTAACTATTTCATTGTATACATGCTACTCTAGGTCAGTCCTTCCAGCTGATTAATTATATAAACATTAGTCAGGCGGTTCGAAATAAAATAAATTTCCAATATTAAATCTCAATTATGCCGCTAAGCTCCAAAAATATTGGACTCTTTAATAGGCAGTTAATTGCTATGGAGAAACACTACATAGATAAATCATAACTGCTGTGTCAAGCCTAGCATAACCTCCTATTATACTGATTGAAAAATTTGAAATAACACTGCAATGATGAATCAATTTTTTAGACTAATGTAAAGTTCATTCAAAAGCCCTTAGTTTACCAGAAAATTCAAATATAATGAATGAACTTTTAGATGACGGGTTCAACGGATTTTGAAAGTCTAAATCAGTTTAGCTATATCAGTCATTCCAACTTTACCAATTCAGTGATAATAGTGCATCCAAACTCTATTCGTTTTCATTTTAAATACAGTCTAATCCATTCAATTCACAGCTTTGTTATTCTAACTACTCATACCCGTATGACAGTGTGCTTTCAATACATTCAAACAAGAACTCGTATTTCTTGTTCAACTTTGTTAATGACATCGACCTTAATTCATCTGGCAATACCAAAGACTTTCTACCTTCAATTATCTATCTACGATTTCTATTTCCGTCAATATCATCCAAAAATAAAGACTAGTAAACACAATCTTACAATCAATCGTTTAACTTGTACTGTTTTCATAAATCTTACCATTACTATCTTAAGCTAATTTAGAGACTACGTAACTGCCATCACACCAAGGTTACAGTTAATTAAAGAGATCGTCAGTACCGCTAAGATCTAATATAATTATTGGCCGAAGACATGATATTCTATCCACTGAAATAGGAAAATAATTTATGATTCATATCCTTGTCACGGCAATCTGCTGCGGTGACATACATACTATAAAATTTATAGTATAAATACGGTAGACCAGACATGGATAAAATTCCTTCCTACAATAGCCTTCAGTACTACTATGAGTAAATAATAATAAATGGTATCTAAAAGAGACCGATAATACTGCTACTGTAGTCCTACGTCATCATATGAGTATACCCTTAACATAATAATGGCGAAAAGATTTTCTTCCTAGCTCTATTGGCACGGTAGCTCAGACAGATAAAATAAATTGTTTATTAGTCAACATCTGCAGTTTACAAGAATCACCTAGCGGTGGTGTATACTTTTGGCTGTTCATTGCTCGATATCCTGTACTTCTATATAGAATTATAGAGAGTAGACATTGCATAGTAGATTTACTGTGCATATCGCAAAACTTCACTTTACCAAGTTGCTGATGTTGTATACTGCTGGCATAGAGACAAGGTTCGTGGATAGCGTTAATTTGTGTGCTTTATTACTTTGGTGCGCTCCTGGAAAGCATTCTATAATTACCCAGATATTAACTGATAGCCCATCTGAGTACTATGCAGGACCTATTCTCAATCTACCGTAAAATACTTTATTACTATCAATAAATAAAGTATTCAAAAGGACTAACGGAGAGTTTGGGCGCTGTAAGACAGTGTAATATTGTATTCTAAGTTGATGATATATTTAGTAATGTCTACCGTAGGTGTTGTGTTCAACATGTGATAGATATACTCGTTAGAAGCTTAAGTATTAAATATAGCTAGCTTAGTAGCTGTAATCCTTTTGAAGAGGAGCGCTACAGTGCTCACACTAGAGCTTCACATGAAAGGTGTAAACTAGCCTGTATTTGAGATGCTAATACTGAAGTGTGTAGTAAGTAAGGTGCTAAGACTGTAAACGCGGAAAGGTATATAAGCGAGTAGTTTAGTATAGTAAGTTAGTTCTTTCTCTTTAGAAGTCCTCAGCTAATTGATTACGTTGTATCTTCGTAAAGGAGGTTTTGTTCAATAAATCTTAATTTACTAAAGTTTTTGAAGATTCTTGATCTATCAACCTCACAGGCGCCTTGCAATAATAACCGACTACAATTCATAAAGAAGCCTTGCTGTACAGTGTACATTAGATACCCGCATCGTTTCTCTTCAGAGCGAGCTCGACGACCAGTATTATATAATTATTAATGAGCTTTGACACAGCTTCATCATTATCATCATTATGCTCGTTAACATTGCCTATGGATTATTTACAGTCTTGCACTGTCTATATTTAAGAATACTATCGGTAAGCACTTGATTTACTGACTGCTGTAGTATAACTGCATCAGAATCACCATTGTGCTCGTTAACTTCGCCTATGGATTATTTACAGTCTTGCACTGTCTTGTAAAAGTCTATATTGAAGACACCCTTGGTAATCAATTAATCGATGACTACTGCAGCGCTACAACACCAACAACTGCAAAGAATTTTACATAACTACATCAATATTCTGCTCGTTAATATTGTCCATAAAGTGTTTATAGTCTTGCAGTGTATTGTAAGTTACAACTTGTATTTGTTTATAATTAAGACATTATTGATTAATGCTTGTTTGACTTTTGTGGCAAAACAGCATCCACATCACCATTGCGCTCCTTGACTATGGATTATTTACCGTCTCGTACTATTTTGTCACTGTCCATTTCCAAGACACTATTTGTGAACACTTGAATTACTTGAGTGACTAACTACTGCAGCACAACTACATCTATATTACCATCGAGCTCATTAACATCGCCAATGGATTGTTTACATTCTTGCTCTATCTTGTAACTGTCCATATTTAAGACACCGTTGGTAAGCCCTTGATTGACTGAATACAACACCATAATAGCCTCAGCAAGTGTACAAAATCATGAACAACTGCATTAAAATGCACTCACTAACAGCCAACAAACTGTTCACAGTCTTGCACTATGTTGTAATAGTCCAATATTCAAATCATCGTTGGTAAACACTTGATGGACTGACTTCTACAGCGTAATACTTTCAACATGTTTACAAAATCATTCAGCAACTGCATCAATATTGTGCTCGTTAACATCGCCAATTAACTGTTTACAGTCTTGTATAGTGTTATAGCTGTCCAATATTCAAAACATCGTTGGTAAATACTTGATTGACTAACTACTGTACCATAATAGCCTCAATAAATGTGCAAAATCATCACACCACTTCATCAATATTATATTCGTTATAAACATCGCCAATGGGCTATTTACGGTCTTGCACTGTGTTGTAACTGCCTATATTCAAGTCACCGTTAGTTAACACTGGATTGACTAACTATTGCAGCATAACAACCTCCATAACAGTATCAAATGATCGTTCTTTCCATATCCTATCCGGTCACTATGGAGAGAAAGTGGCCAAAAGACAACAACGCTCAAGCTAGTATTTTTTTGATTCTTTCGTTTCCTAGCAACCGCTAACAACAACGGAGAACGAAATACGCAAACGCATCAAAATTCTTCAAGTCCTTTAGCCAGATCAAAATATTCCTCTATAGCATAGATACTATAGAGTGAAAATCGTTATTAAACTACTTCCAAGTAAAGAAAACTAATATAATATTAAAAGCAGCAACAAGAGATTGAAATCATGGAAGTCGACGATAACGATATCCCAGGTAATGAACAATAATAATACGAATAATCGGATCAAATCCAACCCAACCCGTCCAACAGGCAAAATGGTATCTTAAAAGATACCATCATTTTCTCTATATACAATCGAGATGATTATACTACTCTTACTTTTATCCGATAGGAGAATTACTTATTAAATAGACACGTAGACAACGTATGCAAATGTTACTATGGGCAGTTACTAGGTTAACAAATTGTTCAGTTATAGCTCAACTCTTAGCTAGAGAAGAATCAGTGTTACCAACCGCTTGTTTAATTTATTACTATTCTAAGATGGCAACGATCGCATCTTTGAAAGCAATTAATACTGTCTTCCATATTCAAAGTTACATTTGATTTAATATACTATGCCTACTCTTCTTTCTTGCTTATTTTGCTTCTTCTCCTTATTGAATGATGACTAGAAACTGGAGCGGTTTTTACTTTTGGTAAGAGTCGATTTGGTGATAACCGAACCAATAAATTTTGGATCCGTAGCGATAAAGTAACCGATATTGCTTGTGGTGACGAACACACGGTAGTAGTTACAGGTATGTTAGCCCAACCTATTTGAAATCGATAAACACACTATTTGCTAAATAGGCATGGAATATCCGTATTTAGAATCGGCGATGAACGATAATCAATCATGGCCATTTGAATTGCAGTCTTTAAAAATTACAACTATCTTTGATTTTCGTCTTCATCCTATCTATACCAATCTTGACTAATTGATTAAAATAGTGAGAGGATGATGAATAGTCATACCAAAATTTGGGGATAATACCACTCATTTACTTTTATGAAAGCAAAGATAGCGTTGTAACATTTTGAGGTGTAAATGAAATAACTTGTTCATATTGTTCAATAGAAAATGGACGACTTTTCACATTCGGTAATAATGAATGGGGACAACTAGGAATTGGTAGTAATAAAACTAGAAATAAACCAACCACTGTCAAAGGTGTGCTCAAAAAATGAATATAATATTCATAAGGATTAAAAGCAATAGTAAATGTGATCCATTAGCAAATGTTATCGATTATTTAAGTATTATCTTAGTGATACCATCATGACAGCGTTAATGCACTACACTAGAATAGGTTATGAAATTGAACATATACTAAAAATGAGTAATGGCCAGTATTTAATTTATTTTGATACTTGTAAAATAGCTTTGAAACCAGAAAAAATAACTCATGTGGCCGCAGGAAGATTCCATACGTTAGCTGTTACAGGTAATGAGGTTGAACAATCTCTTATTTTTAATTGGACTCTAAATTATTACCCATATTCCACATCATCATCAATAATATACTATTATAACAATCTGATAGAAGGATGATTAAGATTGTAATGCCTATGTCAGTATTAATGTAGACGAAAAATCATAACCGACTTAGAGATTGAAAACATTTTCTTTATTAATTTGTAATGACAATTATTATAATAAACTTATCATTCGTCACTTTAAATTTAAACCTATTGTTTTCTCGATTATAACGAGCAAGCAAACTAACAATACTTTCGAATAGCTTATATGCTAATCTTTGTCTTTTGACCAGATTCCAATAAATTATATAGCTTTGGTCAAGGTAGTGAAGGTGCATTAGGACATGGCGATGAAACGGTAAATAACTTACTGATCTCTTGATCTGTAATTGATAAACTAATTGAAGTATACGTAATCTATCTATTTCGATGGACTATTCTGTAGCACAGAATGAATTGTATCGCTTCAAGTTTTAAGTATATTAGCATCAGCCTTAAATGCTCTAAATATGCACAAATATGTAAACATGAGCAAATTAATAGACTATTGTCCATGTTCTTTTCTTAACCTTCACACTTATATATATATATATATATATATATCCATTTAATTGGTCATCATTTAATGATACTGTATCTATAGGATCTTAATATGCCAACATCAATTGAAAGTTTAGAAGATAAAGACGTAAACATCATTGCTTGCGGCGGTTACCATTCTGCTGCCATAACAAGTGAGTAGTAGCATTCAACATGTACAATCACGATAATATCTCCTTTACTAAGATACTACCAATTCCTATACCTGGAGATGGTATCTACTTTATTTCAATCCATTTTAAAAATGGCTACAAGTTATTTCATTTCTTTTTCATTGACTTCTAGAAAATGGAGAGCTATATATTTGGGGTAGTAATAGTGAAGGTCAACTTGGCTTAAAGGTATTCTAACCTCAGCAGCATATATACGTAATATCTGTCTGAAGGATACCGTACACTTCAATCTATCATCATACATTTGGTTATCATATTGAGCATTTTTTTTAAACCATAACTTACTTACTTTTAATGTCTATAGAATGATACAATATCATATCCGACAATGCTGGATCTGGGTAAATCGGTGATTTCAGTTGCTTGCGGTTATTATCATACAGCCGTAGTGACAGGTTTGTTTCTAGCAAGACATATCGTACTTTTTTCGTCCATTTCTGTTACGTTGGTAGCATGTATTATTTAGGTTGTATAATCACTTATATCATACTAAGAATCACATATTGAACAGTTCAATTAATTGAAGTATCCAATTTATATTAAATACAATACCTACACTCGTTTACAGCTGATGGCAAACTTTATACATTTGGTGAAACAGAAGGTGGTAAATTAGGTTTAGGAGATATAGAAGCGCACAAAGTAACAAAGCCAAAGGTTGTTAAAGGAATATCCGGTAAAGTTGTTAAAGTTGCTTGTGGTGGAAATCACACTGTCGCTTTAACAGGTATGCTCCACCATATCATTTTGTGATGTTGAAATCATAAGACTCGATTATAATTCAATTCTATCAAGATTATGACGTCCTTGAAGGCTGATAGTTATTAAAATTTTCTATTTAATTGATGATTATTATATAGCTTCTGGCCAAGTTTATACATTTGGATCAGGACAAAATGGCCAATTAGGGCTAGGCTCAAAAATAATGGATTCTAACATTCCAAAATTAGTTGAAGCATTATCTAAACGTAAAATTAAACATATAGCTTGTGGTGAAAGTCATACAGCTGTTGTATCAGGTCTGCATCAAACTGCACCATAGCATCGTTGATTTTTAGTAACTTAAAATTTCGACATTTAGTAAGCTAGTACGTGGAAGATAATCTAATGCTTTCACAAAATTGGACTCTTAATATTAGATAAAGGAGAATTATTTACTTTTGGCGATGGCCGTCACGGGAAATTGGGACAAGGAGACGAAAGCTTTTCTAATTTATTCAAGCCTGTTAAAGTCCAACGTTTAAAGGAATTTATCGTCCTTCATGTACGTAATATAGTAATATGTCGAACTTCAAACCGTATCTACTTTGTTCTGTACCGGTACCTAAAACAGAATATCTTAAAAGTAGACAAGTAAACAATTCTTTAAAATATATCACCATATTTTCTGTTCAATGCCGAAATGATCATCTATCCTTACCGGTAGCTTTCAATGACATCTAGTAACTTTTATGCCCTTTTCTGATTTAGATCGCTTGTGGTGGATGCCATACTATTGTTGCATGCAATAAAATCGATAAATTAGCTAACGGCGATGACGATAATGAATCATCTAGTAATGATGAAGTCGATTTTGGCAAAACTAAGCTCATGTTATCAAGCGATGAATTGAATCGAACTGATGATATCCCTTTATCAGCCAGAGATCGTCATCGAAAGAAAGATAATTCGGTAAGAACATTTACCTAATAAAACCGCATTAAAAATACGCTATAAATAATAATGATGCTATAATGCTAAACTTTCGCATATAGCATCATTATTATTTGAGAAACTATAGAGTTATAAGGCATATGTCTTAGTAAATATCCCTAGTATGACAGTGTATTATTACCGGTATTTTACAATATAGTATGATAGGTAAATACTACGTAAGTGAGATGGGAATTATATGAGTTTTACCAAGTTACAACCAAGTGATGGAACTATGAAAAATATATTTATAAATTGAATTATAATAGTTAATCGCCTTTGCTGCATGCATATAAAGTGCGAACAAAAATAGTAAATAAATATTTAATTATCAACGTAATTTAGAGTCCAAAATAAATACTGTACTACTGTACGGAAATAAATTAATAATCCTTGACACCTAATTTTGAATAAATGATTTACTTTATCCTTATGGGGAAAATTATAAACTATCTTTATACTTATACATTAGCGGCGGATTACTAATTAGTATCGGATAGAATTAGACCATATTAATGACAATTGCGATCCAAACGAACATTTTCTGTCTGAATCTGATTTATTGAATAGAACAGGATATAGTATATCGTTTTATTGTACAAAATTTGTGTTAAATTTAATAATTAAATTAATCCTATTCGTAGCCACTAAATAAAACTCTACCACAAATTGGAAAGCGACAATTAGCACCGTTGAGAGGCAAAGGACTACAAAATGAGGGTAAGAAAATTATATTTTATTCGATAATTGTGCCAGTTACAATATTCATTGTTATAAAACCATTGTTATATATAGAAGACGGATTATTTAGTGCACAAAAACGATTAGGAAAATTAAAACTGCAAGACAGTGATAGCGAAGAAGATGACTATCGCAACAAAAAGGCTTCGAAGAAGCACATTAGCAAAAGCAGGAAGGATGAAGACAATGAAAGTGAAGATGAAGAAGAAAGTAGATTTAGCCGTAAAAAAGATAAGAAAATGCTTGCTAGTAAAGACTTCAAGAGAAGTAAGCAGCTGCGAAAAGAAGAATCATCAGATGAAGAGGAAGAAGAGGATCAGTCTGAAGATGAACGATCTAATAGAAAAAGAATACAATCTAAGAAAGTAAATAAAAGAGCGAGCAGTGATGATGACGATGATGACGATGATGACGATGATGATGACGATGATGATGACGACGAGGATGATGACAACAAGCCAAAATCTAAAAAAGAACTGGAAAAGCGTAAAAACCGTAAAGACGACGATGATGACGATGATGACGATGATGACGATGATGATGACGACGAGGATGATGACAACAAGCCAAAATCTAAGTTAAAATCTAAAAAAGAACTGGAAAAGCGTAAAATCCGTAAAGATGACGATGATGATGATGACAACGACGATGATGATGACGATGATGATAGCGATGATACATCAAGGAAAAATACAAAGAAAGCAAAAAATGTTAAAGGGAAGCGTAAAGATGAAGATGATGAAGACAATGACGACGAAGAAGATAGCGAAGATGAGGATGAAAAGCCCAAGAATAGCAAGAAAGTAGTCAAGAAAAAAGAATTAAGGGATGATTCAGAAGAAGAGTCTGAAAGTGATATTGTAAGTAGTTTTCACACTAATACTGATATTGAATGTTGGCCAAAATACGAAAAACTTTAATTCCGCTAAAGTCAATAATCAATGGCAATTAGCAAATTAAAAGCTTTTTAACCTTCTACTGTACAATATAATAGCTAATTCAGTAAAAATTTATTATGTTGTTGCTTTCGTTGTACCTATCTCAGAGGGCAAAGAAAAAGAAACCGGAAAAGAAAGCCAGAGTAATGCCATCAGACTCTGAAGAAGAATTAACTTCAAATGTAACATATATCACTAAGAATTACTTTAGTAGGATAACTAGATCGTTATATAGGCTAATTTTTATACTAGATAATTATAATGTTAAATGGCTATACTATACTAATTTGAATTCTACAATACAGAGAAAAAAGAAAAATCGTAAGCAAAGAAGCAGAAGTGATGATGATGAGGACGAAGACGATTACAAGAAGAGATCTGAGGAAGAAAATGTCAACGCCACTGAAAGTGACTCCGAACCATCGAGAAAAAAAGGTCAAGGAAAGAAAGGCAAGAAATCAACCTCTCGAAATTCAGAAGAAGATAGCAAATCTAAAAGGAAAAAGGGTAAGAAAAAGAGGAGGGATACAACAGACGACGATGAGGACGATGAAGTGAATAAAAGTCAGCAAAATGAAAATGCTGAACAAGCGCCACCACAACCCGTGCAACCTGCACCCGCACCAGCGAAAAAGGTTTTACATTTTCTTACAAATATCTTCACTTTTAGATATCCTCATCTTTGGATGAGGAATGATTCAACTACAGTCTGATTTAGTCATTTCAACATCATCTGATTACAGCTTTAGTTCATGCAACATTGAACCAATACTGATTTTACAACATTTGTACAACAGGGTTTCTTTAGCTTCCTTAAACGTCGTAATGCAGCGGATGCACATAAAACTACCGCTCCAATTACAGCTAAGGAAATAGAGGATCAATCTACTGAAGCCCAAGCGCAACCATCAGCCGAAGCAATGCCTCAACAACCAACACAGGCTAAATCTGGTGTATGCACTTTATTATAGATTACACTAATAGAAATTTGTAGATACTGCCGGACATAACAAAGAATTTTGTGGTAAATTAACTATTTATCAACTATTACTTTTTCTTAAATCGATTCTCATTCAGAAGATAGAGTAAATAATAAGAATCCAAAAAATTGGCATGTACAGTATAATCATCAGCTGTTACAAGGATATAATTTGTGTAAAATCATATAAGTTTTTTCATTAAAGCGTTAAAAAATACAAACAGGGCGAAAAATTTTGCTACACTAAATAAAAATTCTCTCCATATAAAATAAAGCTGAAGTCTTACTATTATCCTAAAGCTTTAATATTATTGCATATGCTTTTCTATTTGAATTAATTTCCTAGTAAGCATTTGATTGACGTTCCATTATCGATTACATAGAATACTATTAAAGTTCATAATCGATAGTTCATTATTGAAGCATCCTAGCTATTATGATTATTTCAGCAAAGTAAAATTTTTTAGCCTTAAAATTTCAAATCTTACGACTAAGCAAAGCGTCTCAACACACTTTCTTTTATAAAATGTAACAAACAACTATTGTGAAAGCTGAGACATAATTATCAATTTTGTACATGAAAGAATTGGAAATACCGCTAAAAACGACGGAGTTAAAATGCGTCACAAAAATGAAAAAAGTCTAATATTATAATATAAATTAATTCCATATTACGGTAGTATGGATATAAACTTTAGAATCGTTATAACAATAGGTATACTTTTAAATCTGCCACATCAATAAATGATTACGATCACTTGAAGCACTGGCAGACTTCCTAATAAGTAATGTAGGAGTCCTATTCTTGGCATTGGATTTTGATAATTCCGCTGCACTTAATCGAAAATCTATATAGCCTTCACCTCCTGTAACAACTAAAGCCTTCGTATCTTCTTCGGTAATTCTTTTTGCCTTTGCAATAGCTCCTGATTTTGTCGAGTCATCGTTAGTAGTATGCAAAATAGAAGTGGATAAAGGCAATATAAACTTGACAGAGTCACGGTGTCCATGAAAAGATAATTGGGCATGAGCCAAGGAACAATATAAAATATTTTCAGCTATAACAAAAAAGATTCGTATTTTATAACGATTAGCAAATAGTTATTACATCCCTCAATTATATTTATTTACAATCAAACTGTGACTCTAAGATACTATTATACCAGTTGGAGTGCTAGATCCAATCGGAACGCCTTTCTCGTCATCTGGTGTATTGATATCATTATAATGCGTTGATCGCGGGACTATTAAAATTACCCCACTGCCAGTACCAACCCACAGCCTATCACTAGTAGCAAGGATTGAAGTAATCCGAACTATATTGAAGTTGCGATTACTGGAGCCTGTAATAATTAAATAACAGTTATTAACATAAAGTTGTGTTAAAATTATTAAAATTAATACGCGGCTATAACTTCACTTATGTAAAATATATATTCAACACACCAAGCATTTGCGTTACAAAGGGTTCAATATTAATTTCCTGCAGGCATTCATGAGTTCGCGAATGATATAACCGCAATTTGCTATCAAGTCTAATTGAAAGCCAGACACCATCTCGATAGCAAGACATTTGACGAACTTGACTTTCTTTCCTTGGATGGACAGTAATTCCAGTCTGCAATACGTATAACTTAGTTGGAGCTATACAGTAATCCTCATTGTACAGTGTATTACCCGAAATTAAATAAAATTCCTAAAAATTACCAGTAACTGCATATTTCTTGGATCGAAAATGAGAACTTGATTTTGGTAGCCGCACCATAGCGTTTCATCAACAATCGTCATACAACGAACGGAATGATTAGATCTAGATACTCGCAATAAGTGATACTCGCCCGTTTCCCAATAACCACCTGCAAGGATTACAGATTCACTCAGTTATTTGGCCGTCTACAAATTTAACAATCGATGACATTTGCACTAATCCATACCTCTTCGATTTCGATGAAAAATAGCGAGATTACCATTTGACAATGCAATCACCACTCTTCCTCTGATATGTCTACAATAAAAGCAGTACATTATCTATTTTTATTTAAGCATAAGAACTTACTAGATACTTACACCATACTCAAGATAGAATCAGGTAATTTAACGGAATGCAGACATTTTTTCCATGAAGCAACTGCAGAGTGGACATAAATGCTTGAAAGAAGAAATGATCAGTTATGCTTTTAACCATAATAAATAAAATAATAGAGTGATCTTCGATATCAACTATTTCATAAAACTTACTAGCCAGCCTGATCGCCCATCCATATTGTTGGCATAACACTGCATTTTCGGTCAGCTTCTTCATCATTATCAGGTGTTGCATTACCGTTACCACCATCAGTATGAATGGTACGTAATTTTAATTTAGTAGTATCAAATTCAAAGCCATTAAGTGAAGCACGAGATTGACTGACAGAATCGCCAGACAACGAACTTTGTTCATTCTCACCGCTACTACTCCCTGAAAAATGCAAGAATGGATTAAGACAGTAAACAGAAATTATACCACAAACTATTCAACATTGAATGCAACAGATAGCATCCTAACCTTCAGTTAAGTCCATTTGCGAACCTATATCTGCATGATAGTCGTCGGAACTTGACGACGGCACAGAAACAATACCGAATACATGAGAAGCACAAACAGTGAAAGTATCCAACATATCTGATGGAGAATTAGCATCAATGATAACAACTTGACTCATGGCATGAGATGCAGCACAAATCCAAGCTAGTGACGAGAGACCACTAGCCTTTACACTGGGGTTTGAAGAAAAAAAGATTAATGTTGTTAAAACTCTGTAACTGAATTTTTAATTATAAGTTAATCTTCAACTTGGACTTACTGTTGATCGTAGCCAGATAAATTCACCACTGTACCACACCATACCTATTATAAAAATATTATTTGAGGACGATAAAAAAATAATTTTATATTTTACTGATAATCATAATTATATAACTACTGACAATAATCGTATTTACATACCTTCAATCTGCTTTCAGCTACAGTTAACGGATGGCAACAAATAGGTATAGGCACCTTCAAGTTACGCGGAGAATCAGTTTGATCTTTAGCGAGATCAATATTTTCACTGCTTTTACCAACATACATATGCGCTGGACGACTCCATCCGCATGATAATGATATATCAGCTATGAAATAATTATTATGAAAGTTATAGACAGTATAACAGACAATAGATACTCTAAGGTAGCAAATTGCAATTACAGAGTATAATTAAACTCTTAAAGTGACTGTTAGATAAAAGACATATACTTACATAATCTCTTCTGCAAACGTAAACTATCTTCAGGAGTGAGTGGTGGGGGTGACGAAGAGTCACCATCGTCGCTACTATATATTACAGAAATTGAAAAAATGAAATAATAACAGATAGTAATGTTATGAAGAATTGTGATGCATAGAATAAATACTAAGAATTGTTATCTTGGCAAAACTTACCTGCTCAATCGAACATCTGGTATTTGTAGCTTGTGTGGACGATGATGATGACTACTTTTTCTGGCAGGCAAAACGTGATCTTGCGTTGCTTCAACAATTACCGCAGGTTCAGGTTTCCGAACAGTTTGACTAGTAGCCTTTTTGGATGTAAATAAGCCACTAAATCTGTAGGAAATTGCCAAAATTTCAAAAACATTTACTTTATTTCCACATTAAATATTACATATATGATTTGAAAATATGTAAGAGATTATAGATAATATTTTATGTTTACATTTGTACGTAATGGCTGTACTAATAAATACTTTTCTTACTCTAAAAAGTCCTAGCATAAATTTATAGCAACATTACGTACATTTTCCATACGCCTTGAGATTTCTTTTTCGGTGTCGCAGCGATCGCCGACTCTTTGGTCGCCCTATATTACATAATTTGATACATTCACATGATATTAATTAGTACAAGCAGTAGCACATCCAATGCAACAAGGATGCTATGTTACCGAATCATTTCTGTCCAACGTAATATCTCTTGCAATTCAATAACTTTTTCTTTGTATTGGTTACGTTCTGATATAACTCGAGCTATTTCTTCCCGAGTAACGATTTTTTTCTTCATAGTTGTTACACCAAATTCCTGTTATATTAGAAGTAAAAGACTTATGTATCTGAAAACTACGAGCAATTACTTATAGCGTATACAGTAATGCCTACTTCGAATTCTTCATCAATCTCAAATGTTCCACTACGGACAGATTCCTCCTTAATTCTATAAAATAGCAAATAGTATTTAATACCAAATGTATAAAAAACCTCACAATTTACTAATATAGTTCCTAGACCATATAATATCACGTGAAAGTGTCATCTTGGCTCCTTCATTGCAGGTAATCAAAGAGCATATACTGTACCTTCGTAATTCTTGTTTCATTTCGTTAATCCTTACAGAGAGTTTAGACTTGGTAGCACTAACACGCTGCATATCTTCCTGTAACTGTTCCTTTTCGCTAAATTCCATTCAATTGAAATAATCTTAGCATCTTGATCAATATATACATATCGTTTCAAGCTAAGAAAATCTTATAGACTTGCCTTTGCAATTCTTTAACCCGAGAGGATAAATCATCCTTACTAGCCTGTAAATCATGCTTTTCTTCTACTAGACTCCTATTCTCTACTACTAAATGTTCAATTTGATTACGCAAGCCTATTATTGCAAAAATATACAAAATCAATTAAGCCATAAACGTGCAATTAGCATCATAACAGAAATGATAAAAATTTAAAATTTCAATGCATTTACAACTAAATAAACTACTGCTTCATGATGTAATTCCAATAATTAGACAGCACATACTATTGGGAAGAGAATCCTTTTTAACACTTCCTAGGCTTATCGATTGTTTTATACCACCATCAGAAAGCACAATTGAATCTGTATTATTATCGGAGTGGCTGTCCGAAATTTCAGAATCATTATCGATATCAACTGTCATAGACTTTCGAGGTACATCAAGCAGGTTGGGTCGCCTGCCAACTCCTTTGTGAGGTGTGCGATTATTGGATCTCGCCCTTCGTCGTATTGGTTCAACATTAATTTCTAATTCATAAGAGACAACCAAGTCCCTGTCAGAAGGATCATTACTACTTAAATTGCCATCATTTTCTGCATCATTTGCGCTAGCATCTTGCGTCTGTTGAGAGTTAGCTAAATCACTAATATTAGCCTCGCTAGTGAATTATAGAATAGGAAAAAATTATGCAAATTAATCGCGCGTAGAGTATTGTCAATGATAAATATTAACAACTAACTTAACACACCTTTGTTCGTTTTCGGTTTCCTTATCATTATCTCCCTCCTGCTCTTCTTCATCATCTTCAGAGATATCGCTTTGCCGTCGCCGTTGGTGTTGCGCCAATTCATCAGCTAAGGATACATCATTGATGGGCGATTGTGGTAGATCTCGCGGGCTTTGAGAGCTCGTATCTTCATCAACGCTCAATTGTCTTGAATTTTGAGATGAAATATCCGGGACAACTATTTGACTATCGTCATGTTCAGTTTCTTGGTCCAAATCAGAAAAATCATCGTACTCTTCATCAGAATTTCCTTTCTGTGGAGTTGCAACTAAACTACTTTGATTTGGTTTATCAGAGCCAAGTGATTTTACTGAAGGCGGCGGTGATGTTGACCGCATTGGTGACGGACTTCCACTTGCTCTATCTAATGAATGGACTCTCGGCCTATCAAGCAAATATAAGAATGTCTAGACTAAGTACACTTACATCATTAAGTTGATTTCGTAAGTAATTAATCCATAGGTTTTTTTATGTCATGTTAGACAACATTAAATACGATATAAAAATGTAGACTTCCCATCGATAATACTACGTTAATTGATATTACTGATGTATTAACTTTCTATTTCTTTCACTGTATCCCTTCGGCAGAAAGCTTACAGTTGCCTATCAATTCCTACTAATCTTATAGTCGATAGCATCATAAATATAGAATAAACTGCTTAACTCACCTATTACTAGCTCCAGTTTTGCGGGTTTTTCCCAGGAAGTCATGTACGAGCTATTTAAACGAGTTATATAACGATCTCAAGTTATGTAATATGTTACGGTTACCTTAGTAGCTGATGCGTAAATTACTATATATTGATTTATAACAAAGGGTACAAATATCATGCTTTGTAGTTAGCGATCTATGTGTTTACTAAGTCATTCCTACATATAATGTAAAGTAAATGTATTACTAGCTAAAACAATATCAACATATTTGAAATTAAAGAGTCTCTAAATACGTACTCGTATTATTATGGAGCACCTGAATCAGTACTAATTTTAATCTTGACATCAACCAACATATTAAATATAGTTGAAGAAGAAGTACAGTATGATTTAAACTTGAGTGTAATACTACACGCTGACTAAACAAGCAAGTCATAACTACATTTTGTTGATAGTTTGTATATAACTTGATGCTGTAGACAAGGATATAATTATTGCATACTAAAGATATAATGTAATTAATACACAATTCTTAGGAGATAAAAATTTACTTAAAATTTAACTAATCCCAAAAAACAGCTACTTCAATAGAAGTACTGCTTTATAGTATATCGTACTAATAATAGTATTAATAACAGTCGCTATATTAAATTACCCTAAGTAATAGCAAACTACTAAGGCCACGAAGATCTAGGATACTGTACAAACGCTCAAACTATAACTTGATAGTATTGCCGCTAATCTCATCTTTATTTAAAAATTAGGACCTATAACATTCCATTCATTTATGAATCGCTGAACGAGAAATAACGTTTTGCTAGCCAAATGCAAACACTTCCGGCGTGACGATAATAAGAAATTTACACTTGGTAGAATATATGGTATAACCGAGATAATAGCATAATCAGTTAAACTTACATTGTGTTTCTTCAGAGTTAAATTTTCTTTTCTTAATTCTGATAATCTTTCCTCTAATCGTTCAACTAAAAAGAATTTTTAAATTTTTATCGAGATAAAATTGCCATTGCAATTTATATTACCTGATATAGGTACAATACATGCATAACTTCAAGTAATACTAGCTTAAAACGAACATGGGAACTCTACAAATCTACTTGGCTTTTATTTTATCCCCAAAATGGTAACATGAAAATAAATATTTATATTTTTAATACTAATTAATGTTGCCTGACAGAAGTAACATGGAATCAAGATTTATTTCCTCGTGTTGTACAACATAATAACTTACAAGACACGTATAACATATAGCGATACTAAATTAATAGTAACATGGAACAAATTAAAATATTACGACACTTACAAAATCTAAGTAGGCTTTACTGTAAGTACAAAAGTAATATTAAAGAGATATTTCGATGAGTGAATTACCTTGCTGTATTAAAGCTTTGCATTTACCATCCAACTGCCGACTTTGTTTATTATTGCTTTCTAGCTGATTTTCTAACTCTCTTTTATCTTCTTCCAAGTTATCTTCAACGGCTAAATATTTCTAAAAAAAGAAATGAAATTCATGCTAATCAATACTTACAATCTAATGTAGATCTAAATACGATCCTATCTAAGGTATTACTGATCACTTCACTGAAATAATCATAGTATAGGTTATTTTATGGGTATTTAAGATAAAGCATTTAAAGCCATGATGCACGCAAAAGATAATTCGTTTTAACTCTAGGTGCACAGACGTACGAGATGACATTGTAGATAATATTTACGGTATAACACAGAAAATCTATCTAGTTCCATAAAAGCTTCATATACATCATGATTACTAAACTTCATTCTAGGAATAAATGATAGCATGGCATCTCTTTTACAGCTAACTAAAGTTCAATAAGAACTGCAACTTGAATTCTATTTCGGATGATGTTATTATATTCTTATTGTGGTTTTTAACTTTTGGATATAAAAAGTTCATCCAAAAAAAAAGAGATTTAATATAATTCATTAGTCTGTTAAATTTGATCCCTGCACTATTGATGTTTAAAGAATGAAAAGATTCTGTAAATAAGTTGAGATGAAAAATCTTAATTTGAAACTATTGCGCATTTATTTACGTTTTTAGACAACACTTTTGCAAACTATAAACTCTGTGTAATGACTATTTTTTTTCCATTTTTTAAGTTAAAAACTGATCAGGGTCACGATACAACACTATCGTAAACTATGAGATTTTAAGTTCTATTTCCAATATTCGCTCGCTTATACTAAGACTACAGCTCACGTATTTATTTGCCGGTAAATAATAATTGTTATTATCTAATCATCTACGATAACATTTCCCTTTACGGGTAGGATAACCTTTGTACAATATTGCAGTACTACGCGTAATTTCACACAATGTAATCTAACAATCGCTTTGCATTCATTATATCTTCTTGGACAGTGAACTATTATAATTCTTAATGAACTTTTTGACGATGGATTCATATTGTCAAAGTAAAATCAAGAATCTCATAAGAAGTCCTTTATAAAGCAATCTTTATAGCAAAACAACATTAACTAATTCTAATTAAGGACCATGGCCTTACCTCTTCAGCAATTTTACGGAGTTGTTTTTCACGCTCATATTGGGCTAACAATTGCTGTTTATCTTCATCTACTTCTTCCAACTTAATCAAATAATCATGACTTTCACTAAAAGCGTTATCAAGATTCTCTAATACTGATACGATCATTGGCGTTAAACGATCAACAGCTTCATTGCCGTATGCGTTGATCAACACTTGTAATTCGTCGAAAAAATTAGTAGCTAAGGCGGCAACCCTAGGCGATAAGCCTGCACTTCGCGGATCATCGCTAACGTCAGAGCTATATACGGTCTCCGATAGCATATCGTCGTCTTCGAAGTAGTTTGATAAGCAATTTAATGGCAATGATTGATCACTGCCGATGCAAAGAAATCTCAATTAAAGCAATCTTGAATCTTTTAAAAATCACTCGTTTTGGGTATTGAGCGACCAATAGTCCAGTTCTTATTTCAGTTGCTTTATGCTTACTGTTACAATTGGTTATCTTTCCGTAAAAATATTTACTGTTTATAAAAGAATCAGAAAAAAATTTGTATAAGTTTATGCTTATTTTATCAACAGTGCGTTGTTGTACGTTATTTTATTTCGGATTTTCTGCACCATTGAGAGTGCTCGTTTTAGTTTAGTTGAACATGATGCAGTATTTTCGTACTAAAATAAGCCTTAAAGAATGTGTAGAATAAGCAAGACATGGAATTAAATACTGTCTGTACCTTAAGCAGTTATTTTAAAAACATCAGTACAGAGCCTGATTACAGATAGAATCCCTTAAGTTGACGGTAAAATCGTCAACATAGTAAAAAGAAAGATATGGCAGATAGCAAGAATGCGATCTAAATTGACTCAATAGGGTTCATTGTCGTCTACTGTAGTGTATAGGTAAATGTTGATCGAAGATGATCATGACTATAGGCGATTTATTATAGACAATACTTAACAAATATATTTATCTACTTTGTACCAAGATGATGAATTTATAGTATTCATCAATAACATACAGTATATCAATTTTGATATGTAGGAACTACAGTCTACAGTAGATAACCTTACTTTAGAAGATGACAACAAATCCACTCCAATTATAGTATGACTCGTCGATCTACAACACTGTAGGTAATATGTCGTCATTGCATGATCGCTAGACCAAAGATGATGTATTCTAACGATAAAAATGAAAACGATTGATATTAAGAACGTAGTCAATACGCGTCTAATTCGAGTTTGTTATTGGATAGAATTTATTTATGTAGACTTGATGACCAAGTATTCAGTCGATAGCAGTGATGAGGACTATACGATTGTGCTACTGATATCGTCTCTTCATCTACAAAGATATGTTTGGGTCCATGTTCATATTGTGCAGTCGATAGAAATGTGTGTACTCTTGGAGTAATACAAAAATGTAGAGGAAAAAAATCTGGATCGATAGCGATATACTGTAGTATGAGGGTAATATATCAATTGGAGTTTATAAAGGTATGACTGATGGATCATCGTTAATCAAGGTAAAGGCAAGAATAGAAAACATGACGATAATATAATGTTGAGAAGGTAAATACAGTTAAAACTCGATGGATACCATCGACATGGATTGTATGTAGAAATGATCGATATACCCGTCGATCTATTCTATCGATTGGATATTCAACGCCATTATCCTATCCACTACGATTTACTGCTACTAAAGAAAGGACTTTGGTAGAATTGAAGGATAAGACGAAAGCATCGCAACACTGATAACATTGACGCATATTAAGATAATTTTAAAAATTGAATGCGATCGCGATAAAATTGTCTAAATCAATTCACCTTGGGCAATACTTGCTAACATGCGATGAATGATGATCGATATACGCGTCGATCTATTCTATCGATTGGATATTCAACGGCATTATCCTATCCACTACGATTTACTGCTAGTAAAGAAAGGACTTTGGTAGAATTGAAGAATAAGACGAAAGCATCCAACACTGATAACATTGACGTATATTAAGATAATTTTAAAAATTGAATGCGATCGCGATAAAATTGTCTAAATCAATTCACCTTGGGCAATACTTGCTAACATGCGATGAATGATGTACGTATGGCTATGAGTATGGCTGTTGTAACATTGAAGTAGTCACTGTAACCAATAGCATGGTTGTTGCGATGCCAACATGAATGTTGGTTGTTATACTGTATCTTAACAGGATGTGGATTATTGAGTAAGATCGAATGTGGTTGTCCTTGATCATGGATGGGGATAACATTAGGCATGGATTGAAGCTATTTCTTCAATTGATCGGATAGAGCATATTGTCATCAATTACTCATCTTGTTATGATGCAATCTTATCCATCATGGAGTGGTCAAGATAGACATCATTAAGCAGGAGCATCTTGCATCGATCGTAGCTAATGATGATGATGATCCATAACACACTCTCCATTGACAGACACACACCTACCGTACTATCCTTAGTTTACAAGGTAGACTAGAGCAATGGGTAACAAGACTTTGATTATGTTACTCAATGTCGAATGATGGGCCAAAAAAGAAAATCGACTCATCACAACGATTCCATTACGCTCTTTCAGCTGGAATCGATTAGTAATTCTTCCCCACCCGTTTCTGAACGAACTACGATACTTTGAAAAACTATTCCACTCAAGAATACACTTGGCCACCGACATATTTCATCTCCTCTACTATCCTTTCCAGTGGATAATATTACCTTGTCCATTCTACAGTAGTTGCCGATGATCATCCTTTCCCCTTTCAAACGTCAACAACCATCCAAACTAACAAGATCAAATGCTTCATAACCAATATATCAACATCGATACCTGCTGAGCCTTGGTTGTCGTATTTTTTTTTTCTCCTCCTTTTTCTTCCTTTTCCAAGCGTTGGTCGATGGTAGAATTAATTGGCAGAGAACAGATGCAATCCAACAATTTGGTGGCAAGCTAATTTAGTGGAAAGATGTCACTCTAGTGTCTTTCACCCTCTCCACTGTGTCAATACTGTACAATTGAAAGACAATAATCAGTCTATTATCCGGTATAGTATCGTTGCAAAGTCGTGAACGCCTACTCCACTCGATACGGTACCCTACCTGGGACACCATGGTCAACTCAACAATACGCTACAGTATGCTTGTCTGACTGCCCAGTGGAGCATAGTACAACTGGGCTGTCTTTGTTGCGGGTGACCCTGATTACCCTCAATCATCCTGTGATTGACAGGTTACAGTCCACCTGACCGATATTCGATTTTAGTACTAATGACACTGCTAGCGCTTTCTGCACTTGCGCAAATTTTAAACTGAAACGCTTCAACGTGGTTGGTCCGTTGAGGCTTCGAGAATGGATCCAAGCTTGCTTCTATCTTACTGTACAGTACAGTACTGTACAGTACAGTAGTGAATAGGACAGTGAAATACTCTACTGTAGTTTCTTATTGGCCTCAACGACTACGGTTAACCTTCAAAATGGCCATTGGTAAAATGAGCAATGCGGACTTGGTCAATAGGGTTGCTTAGAGGGGCAGCAGGACACTATTGCAAACACTTTACTCTAGTTTCTTATTAAGCTTAACAGCCTCAACGACTACGGTTAACCTTCAAAATACCCATTGGTAAAATGAGCAATGTGGACTTGGTCAATAGGGTAGCTTAGAGGGGCAGCAGGACACTATTGCAAACACTTTACTCTAGTTTCTTATTGGGCTTAACAGCCTCAACGACTACGGTTAACCTTCAAAATGGCCACTGGTAAAATGAGCAATATGGACTTGGTCAATAGGGTAGCTTATAGAGGGGCAGCAGGACACTATTGCAACTTGCAAACACTTTACTATAGTTTCTTATTGGACTCAACAACCTCAACGACTACGGTTAACCTTCAAAATGGCCACTGGTAAAATGAGCAATATGGACTTGGTCAATAGGGTAGCTTATAGAGGGGCAGCAGGACACTATTGCAATTTGCAAACATTTTACTATAGTTTCTTATTGGGCTCAACGACTACGGTTAACCTTCAAAATGCCCATTGGTAAAATGAGCAATGTGGACTTGGTCAATAGGGTAGCTTAGAGGGGCAGCAGGACACTATTGCAATTTGCAAACACTTTACTATAGTTTCTTATTGGGCTCAACGACTACGGTTAACCTTCAAAATGCCCATTGGCAAAATGAGCAATACGGACTTGGTCAATAGGGTAGCTTTAGAGGAACAGCAGGACACTATTGCAAACTATAGGTATTCATTGAATGGCTGCAGCAGCCATGAAGTCGTTTGTTTGAAGCTTAACTTACTACTGACTTGAAGTCATTACACACTGTTGCAGGCAGCCCACAAATGGACGAAAGCAATAATCAATAATATGAATATTATTTTCTCACGCCTGTATTATGTATTTTTATTCTCAGGAAATCTCAACAAGCAGAATAAAAGCTTCAATAATACTCTTTCTCAAATCAATTCCACCGTAGAATCGAGTGGATCCTCTTTTGTTCGATCTGAAAATAAATAAATCAATAATCGTCAACGAGTGTGATAGTAAAGCGAGGACTCGTAGCATGAGTAAACAGTGAGTAGGACCATTATCCGTGATCATGAAAGAAAATAATGTCAAGGAAAATAGTAGAACCACAGAAGATACTGCCACCTTATAGCATGATTGCGTACACGTATTGGATGAAAATGGATCATTCGCATAACACAAACTACAACAGCACAGTAGCATGGAGATGAAGCTTGAATTGCTTATGCACTATCGAATCTAACAATGCTTGATCATTTACTAATCCAAAGACCGCTACGCCTACTATGCAAATACGCATATTACAGAGTGGAAGATCAATCGAGACTTGGCATCCCATTCTTTCCCCTTAAATTCTTCAACCCTTCTACAAAACTCACAAGGGCTTAATCCTACTCTACTGAAGAATCCATACGGACAGTAACGATCCACTGTATTATCGCTATTGTGAACCTTAGATTGGGCCTATCTGCAGGCCAGACTGTAAATACAATCGCCCCTCTTTAATGAAAAGATGGCTAAAATCACTCGCTAAAGATATTCGCTTTGAAATGACCCTTTTATAACAGCTTGATTGTATAACAGAATAGAATGCATGGCAAAATTGTGCACCAATGAAACAATCTCTATTTTGTAATACAGTTGACTTAATTTCACAGACTTGGAAGTAAATACAAGCCATAAAGTAAATAAAGATATGTTCGTAATGAACTTCGTCAAGTCTCTCTGAATTCCAAATAAACCCCATCTATTTACGCCTTCAAATACGATAAAACGGCCGATTTTGCTACAAATAGCCTACAAAACGATACGATTTTAAAATAAACAAATTATTATACAGGTGATCTGCCCAAAATTTGAACAGTGAGCTTTTCAGCGCGTACAGAGATAATATGCGTAAACTAGTAAAAAGAGTTCATTCAATTGGATAAATTAAAAGTTACCGTATTCCTAAAATATTGATAACAGTTTACTGCTCTAGTTATACGCGTGCTGTATGAGGAGTTTTACCTCCTTTTAATCTCATGCGATTTTTCACACCAAATATGCTTAAAGTTGAGAATTAGTCATCAGTAATAAGCAATATAATGCTTAATACCTATCAACATTATTCTTTCCTATTCGTAAACTGCGCTGACATAGTACTCATCTAATAAATTGGCAATGATAATCACATTGCTTCACAAGGCGAATTCTTGATTAGAATCGAGGCAATTTGAGATGGAACAGCTAGTTGAAGGCATTAAGCTAATCTTAAGACAGATTAGAATCATATCGCCAGTAAGAAAGTACGAGCTTATTAATACTAACTGTAATTGTAGAAATGGCGACGATGCAGTATATCCTTTAAAGCCGACAATTAATTTACTATATATAATTGTCAAAATCAGTTGATCTTTCGTAGTCATGTACCAAGTTCCACTAAAATAGCGCAGTTCAGTAACTAGAAATTGACCTATTCCATCCACTATTTTGCAGCAAATTGCAAATATCTTTCTATTTATTAAAAATACTCTATTAACGGTAAACATGAAATATGCAGGCGATATGTCAATCGAGTTCGCTAAAATTTTTGAAAGAAATGAAATGAAAGCAATTATCGCAAGTTATATGTTGAGTTGGGTGATTAATTGATATGATGAACAAATTACAGAATATTAAAGAGGAAAGGTTATAGCAGTAGTAATAAACAACAAAGCCTATGTCTAGGCGAATATCAATCGGCTACCGTATCCTACAGCCATGATGAATAGGTAACCACAGAGTACGTGAATTAACGATTGTGAATTAACGATCAACAAGGGCTAAATTAAGTATGCATATAAGTTATAAGAAAAAGGAAATGAAAGCAAATACGAACGTTATGCAATATGTTGATTAGACTTAAGTCATACGATATCCTAGTATGTATATTAGACCAGTTTCCGTGCTAATATCAAATAACAATACACTTATATCTATAATCATGATGATAGTCGATTAGAGAGTATTGATATATGTAGAATGAATGATAAATGAAGAGTAAGATTGAAGTAGTAAGTTCCCAGCAAAAAAATAAATGGCGAAATTATACGCTCTGACAACAGGATACTTAAGGCCGGAATAACTTTTTAAATTTGCTTAGCAAAATATTTAATTACTATAGGTATTGACATTCCTATCGTGCAACTACACTTTCATAGTTTTCCAGTTTCGACGACTTCAATTAAAAAAATTCGAAATGAAATTCCACTTTTTAATATCGCTTAAATTGAGGATATCACGTTTACGCATATTAAGCGTCTTTCTGCATTTGACATTCGCGTAGTCAAGCAATGATATCAATCTTATCAAGCAACCCAATATTACTAAGTTAGATTGCAACGCCACATCGCAGGGCGGCAACCCAATTAATCTAGAAATATCAAATTCCTTGCAAAGAAACAAAATCACCTCTACAAGGTACATTTATATTTTTGCACTTAAATCGCGTTTAAACATTCAAGATTGATTTATCCATAGGAAGAAATATACTATACAATATTACGGACCAAACCATTTTCTTATAATAAATTATACCAAATAAATAGCACTGAAAAAAGGATGATTGCTAAAGCCTTCTATTTTATTATTATGTAATGATAACAAGGAAGGTACTTTACTGAGCTTAGAAATCTAATGTAAAATTCGTACATTTTTCCTGTTGATAACTCGTGACTGTATCATGTCCTAATTTTGAAATTTTATTCACCATATTTAATCAGGTTCTATGTTTACCCAATAGAAGTTAAGATAATGAGATATATCACAAGGTTAAAATATTTTCCACTGCACTTACAGTCATAGCTATCCATACCTGGTAAGTAACGCTAGAAGATCCTTGTTATGGACACGCAATAATCCTTGAGAACTTTCGCATAACTTGGCAAGAAATTGCATTCTGCGACGTTTTCCCTACTTTCACGGCGTTTTGTAACATCTTATCAACTTATTCTCTCCTATTTTCAGGAATAGCTATAGCAATACCTTTCTTTCCATATACTGTACAACAAATAAAATACAGTAGATTATCCATTCCATTTCGTGACTGTAACTCTTCATCAACAATCCAATCTACCAACGACCACTTTCTGGCCAATTGCAATAACTCAAGGACAATCTTTGCTTCGATTTCATTCAAGACTATCTTTTCAATAGAATAATAATGAATAATTATACACCAACTGATACCAAAGATGAGCTAGGCAAAAAGCAGTCATTTTCACTGGATTATGAGCCAAAAGTAAAAATAAAGAGTAATTTTCAAATAAATTTTTCTTATTCATCACTTTCATACAATGATAAAATTTATCTTTAATTAAATGTCAATACCTATAATTTTAACTTGTACCCTCCATTAATCTGAAAACATGATCATGACCAATTGGCCATATACGTTTGTAGTTGAATGAACAAGTTAGGAAAATCAAGAATAAAGCATACGATGATACCAACATCTTGAATGATATGAGGTTCTCTCTTACAACAATTCTACTTTACTAGCATAGTTTGATGATCACTTTATAATATACCTCTAGTTGTAATGCTCAGCATAACATGGTATAATATTTCACTACGTGTTCTCTTTCGAACTTTTTACTTAAAATTTTTTATCTTACAGGACATTTATCAATAAAATAGCATCGGCCGAAAAAAAATATGCTGAGGTATGCATGTATTTTATCATCACAAACAAATCATTCAGAGTCAAGAAAAACGATTTTACAGTCTAATAGCTAAAAGTAGTCAATCTTATTTCAATACTTTAATCTTATTCCCTACGTTAAATTCTTTTGCTTAGCTATCTAATTTCTTTAAACAATTAGAGACTAACAAAATTAGCAAATCAGTATTTGAAGAATTGCGAATCGCAATCTACAGATGACCTGGAAAATCATGATGACCTAGAAGAATAGTAAGTGAACTCTAAAACCATCTTATGTGTCCATTTTGTACGTATTTTTCATATAACAAAACCTGTCTTTAATATAAAAATCGTACCCACCGCGGTATTGCTAGCCTTATTCAAGAATAGATCGTTTTTTATCATCATAATTTCAACTTGTTTTCTATTCCCAATAGACCAAATAGGCAATCTCAAGCAATGTGATTTTAAATTTAAATAACTTCTAGCGTAGTTTTCTTTTATCATTCATTATTATATTTCGAACTGATTATCGGCCTTATTTCAACACGATGACACTGTTTATATTTCTTCAGTTCCACTAATTTGAAACTGCTCGTGTAGATTATAAGTTTTAAAATTCAGTATTAACATATTTATAAAACTGCAAATTAGAATTGGAGAAGAACGAATAAGAGCGTAATTTATATTAACCTTTCCTATAGAAAGATAGGGCGATTTTCTATCTTTAGCATTTTTGATGAAATAATTAATATACCATTATAGACTGGAGTACACTCATGATGATCGTTACTCAATCTTAAATCTACGGTGCTTTTACTTAATCTCTCCATATCAAATTTTCTTCATCAATGACCTGATTGTTGGATTTACACTCATTTTTATTACTCAATATTGCAACTACCCTCAACAGTAATAAAATACAAATGCAAACAAATACCAGCAGTAATACATCAATACCATTTGCCAAGCTCTTATACCTTAAGAAACGTATACCTCTGCCCAGGGACTTTCTAATAACACCATCACCAAGAACACTTGAGAATTAATGAGTAATTGTAGCTTCGATTGTTTCAAATTACAAACTCTAAAGTGAATGAAAATCAATTTTGCTGCTCCAATGTTTTACCATCAATTAACTCCGTAAATATCTACATAGCTAAAGTACTGAGACAGATCATAAACTCTGTTAAAAAATTTCAACTTTCATATCCATCTACTAAATAGAAGATCTATACTGTGCAGATAAACTATTAAATTATTGTAAGTTGAATCATTAGATATTCTTAAATTTCTTTACAGTACCATAAAATCGCTATGGATAAAATTTCTGACTTACTTCAACGAAGAAGGTAAGCTACACAATAATTGGGCAACATCCTTAGATGAATATGCAGATACCATTAATGCTGCCAGAACGTCAGAAGAAACTCAATTGCGAAACGTAAGATTAATGAGTTTCTCGCAGTTCAATTCTGTAGGAGTTGATGTCTATTTATGCATAATTATTATAATTGGCAACATTTGTCTTCTTCTCCTATTACTAAATCAATTGCTTCTGATATTGTAGGCTATCGCTACGATGACAACTTCACATGGAGAAATTCGTAACCTACATAGCAAAATGATAAAAGTAAGACGGTATAACATTTCGAAAACATATGTTATGCTGTTAGTACTATGTTTATCTCTTTTTACCTTTTATGTCCTTTTGCAGGCTCAACGCATTTACATTTCTTGCCAGAAAAAGCTAGTTTCTAAAAAGAAAAAGGCTTCTAAAGCGGGAGAGAAGTATTTAAATACAGAAAATGTTGCCCTTTTTTACTCAGCTGTGACATTAAGAAGTTATAGTAGACCAATATGAACGATTTCAATACTACCTATAGCGTTATGCGGCTAATTTTTTAACATGGGGATCGCTTAACTTTTCTGAAATTAATTTTTAACAATCTTGATATGTTGATAAAATAGATTGACTGTTTGCATCGATGATAATGATCAATCGACCAAAGTAGAATTAATTTCAATTTGTAACACCATGTCTAGAGCTAATCAAACAAGCCGATTCACATTTCCTAGCATGCAAAAGACTGTATCACTACCCAAATTTAAGGTAAATACATGTAGTATACAATACTATAATACCCCTATGTACGGATATGGTAATATTTGCATTAGCAAATTTATCCTCGGTACAACTAAATAATAACCTCTCTCATTAAATAGTTTAACAGTGGCACTACTGAAGCCGAAAAACAATCTGAAGCAGCTCTTAAAGAATATCAACGAAAAGTAAACGAGCTCAATGAATATTTCGTGAAATATCAAAACAAGCTACCGGAATTATTCAAGGTTTTTTTGATTAAACGAAGCTTAATTTATTTTAAACATAATTCGCAATAGAAAAGTGGATGATTATTAATAAATAAAAAATTTATCTGAAAGAGCATAGATCAAGGTCTGTACTCAGATATGCCAGTAAATTTTAATACAGTAGCCAATGAACAGATCAAGACTTTACAAGATTCAGAAAATAGAATGAAGAAACTAGTCGAATTTTCAGAAATGGTATGTTAACATACATAACAGATTGGGTTGCAATTCCAGTTTTGGAGATTCTATGGTTTATTCTAGCTGGTATAAATAAGTTATTTTCCATTTTAAGTCAAAGTGTAACATTTGCCTTTGAAAATATTAGGTCACACAAGAACGAAATTTAGACTTGTTCTTGTGCGAGACTGGTACACTTTACACAGAGCCTATTACATCAAGTGCTATAGAATACCAACCAGAAGTATATGTTGATTATAATCCGGTCCATTTCTAAAATTTGTTTATTAAATCATAGACTCTTCATTGTAAATATGTACTTTTATATATCAATTACTATAATATCGTTATAGAAAAATAAGTTTGGAAATGTAACATTTGAAGAATTCGAGAAAGAGAACGGCGGTAAGCTAGTGTCCTTCATGGGGAATTGATAGAGTATATAATAAAAATAAAACTATTTACTATTAGTAGCTGTATCATAAGCATCGGACGAATACAGAACAACAAATTCTGAAAATTATTGTCGATAATGCAATCAGAATTGACGTATTGCCATCAATGTGGATGATTTAATATCGTTTAACAATATATTAATGTTTTATTAACCTTGCTAATTATTACTCAATCATTCCAATCAGATCTTGACGCCAAAGGCTATCCTACAGTTCGCGATTGTAGTCGCGATTCGGGAGAAGACAGCTTTAGTGATGAAGATCGACGTGACAGCATGGACACATCTGTAAGTGAAACATTCTCGACACCATCGGTCATGCAAGCTAAGGTGTTATATGATCATGAGGTAATTAGAGCAGTAAATAGTATGGAAACATTGCTTAAATTTGGATAACTAATATCATTATAATACAGCATCTGTATGGTTAACAACATAAAATTTTGCAGGCTCAAGGTAAAGGTGAATTAACGGTCAAGACTGGAGAGTATGTTGATGTATTTATGGAAGGAAATGAGAATGGCTGGTGTAAGGTATCTTATATGCTTTGATAAATAACTATTTCTGTTAGTGTAATTTCATCATTGCAATCTGTAGTAATTTCAAATACACGATTTAGGTTGAATCCAAACAAGGTCAAATCGGATTTGTACCAGAGCAGTATCTATCATGGGATCTTGAGACGGCGAAATCCGATGCCAAGGTATAGAAGCTGATGTATACCCGCTTTAAAATGTTCACATCGCAAGTATCTGCAAACTCAGATATACGTCCTTCTCATGCATACTCGTATTTTATATTGCTCTTATACTTAAACTTATGATACAGGAATATTTTATTTGGTATCGTCTAAAAATTTATACAAACTAACGCAATTATCTCAATTAGGATACACGCGATTTGATGCCAACTGCTTGGTCATCGTCGTTACTAACTGCTGTTAATACGGAAACAGACTACCGTCGTTCTTCCTTAGGGGCCTATGATAGTTTAAGACCCAAGAAACAAGGAACATATAGAAATAGAGCACAATCAGCCAATACAAGCTTGACTTTACAGCTTCCTCGCAAACATTGATTTAAAACAATCAATAAATTCATCGCCTCGAAGATGGCGCTTGTCGATAATGCTTTCTAATTGGGAATCACAATTCGATATTGTCTCTATCATTCTTTCAAAGTTAAAGAAAGTAAAATAACCCCTTGTGCTGCCATCGTAATTAAGTTAAGTTTTGTAGTATTATTAGTACTGCAGCAATAAGATTGTTTTTGGTTGTGTTTGCGTTAGAAATTCAGTTTTTCACAGTGTCAGAGTAGGTTTTAAGGCCGTCAACTTAAATCATTATCAGTTTTGCTCATAATTTACTGTGTATATGTACTCTATTCCCTTACTATGCATCTATTTCGCTTCGGAACGGGGCTGCAACGTGACTTATAAAGTTGGAAAGTGATCATTCTCATCAATTAACAAATTATAAATATCGCAGTGACCTTTACAAGTTTATGAACTACTTGCAGCTTAATGCTTTATAGGATGAGTTGACTACGCGAAGAAAAAATGGCTTTTCCTATTCCTATAATAAATTGATATATTTTGTCTTTATTGGATCATACCCTTCTTTCGCATTTATATGTACCTAACGATTTCTTGATAGTCCTTACTTATGTTGCTCGTAAAGTACAATGTTGTTAATCGCTTATTTTAAATCCGATCATTATCATTATCGATGTGACAGAAAATCTCGATAATTAAGCAGCTAGATTGCAACTTACTTAAATCAGATATTTTATAATTTCATGTTAATTGACATCCTCTACCATCTATCTCTTCGAAAGTTCATGTTATGCTAGCTAATATCAGCCAATGTTATCTACTTAATTGAATAATACTGAACTGTATTTAGTAATATCCTTTATAGCACTATTTCTATGAAATAAAATTTCGTCAAAATGTCATACCCCTAGATAAAGAAATTAATTTCAACACAATTAATCTTCCTAAATACTATGATCAAATTTAAACTGCTACAATTTATATTGCATATTTAAACTTGGTTGAGTGGATATGCAGTCGAAAATTTGGTTTCATTTTTTTGGCAATCAAACTACAGTTAAATTGCAACCAGCTGTACTACTGTATATTTAATCATTCATTTACTGTAGAATTTCCAAGTTCTATAACAAATAATATAAGCTAGCATGCCCTTGCATGCCCTCTATTAAATACTTTGTTAATAATTAATGTACAGCGGATCTTCTCATTCCGAGGAAATGATCACAAGCAATAACGCCATTCCAGCCCGGCTTATTTGGACGTCGGGAGGTACGGATTACAAGTCTATTCGGCTCCCTTTAAGTAATATTATTTCTTAATGAAATGATCCAATTGTTGATCTGACCTAGTGCTTGAGAAACGAGAATTTCTTTAAATGTATCAGTAGCATTTAGTAGTATTTCATGCATTTCTCGTAAATAGAACTATTCTACTTAACACTTTCAACCGGCCCCTCCAGCATCTCTTGCGTTCCGTACTTCCGTACAGCTTTCTATATAAACCCTTTGGTCAGGTCCTAATGCTATACTGATACGGATAGTAGTCAGAAAAGTTGCTCTACTGTATGTTAACAGTGATATCCACCTTCTCCACGATCAAGTACTTTATATTAGTCCACCATCAAACGCTGAAATCGTCAAATAAGAGCAAGGCTTATAGTATAATCGTTGCTAAAGGATTATATTTCCCTTGGATGGAAATTACAAAGTTGAAACTACGTCGTTGTAGATACAGATCGTAAAGTTTGATTTGTAGTTTAGTGCTACTTAGTACTTACTGGCTTGAGTGCACTAATATACTGCATATACCGTGACATATATACGTAGCCTAGGGATCGCTTGAAATTCTGCTAAAGCTGCAATCCAACAACGACAAAAAGTATACAGGAAGTGGATATACTGTACTACGCGTCTACTTGTACTTCGCTAGGATCCCTTTTATCACGTTTGGTTACCGCTGTTATTATCCAATATCCTCAAATACTGTACTCTGGGCATTTTTGAAGCATAAGCCATATAGTCCTCTCTGTTGCAGTGAATCTTAACGTCAAACTGTGTAGAAGACGATATGGAGGCCCAGCAGACGGCAGCGACAGTCCGCCTAACATTTCCAAATGACCGTTTAGTTGGCTGGAGGGATAAACAAGAATGGTTACAAGTGTTTAACTGGTTATTCAGCAATGAATGGTCGTTGCAAGAGAGAGGCATTGAACGTGTCGCAGCTTGGAAAAGCAAACGCAATGAAAAATTACCTCTTGCAATTGAATGCACAATAATGTTAATTCGAGCTTATCTTAATGATGTTTACCAACTGGTTGATCCATTGTCAGCAAGATTAACCTATTCCATGTCCTTAGTTCGGTAATTTTACTTGTACAGGAATATTACCTAAGAAATATTATAGATGTCATGAAATATCCATCTACTGTACTAATATGATACAAATTGTATATACTTCGTATATATGAACAGATTTATTAATTCCATGACTGACCTCATGCAAAATAAATTATACGCAAGACCTATTAGTTATCTGGCAAACACGGTTAGTGGTTGATACCTCAGTGCTATTTTAACTTTGTATAACATCCACTATTTCTCTCTATCTTTACCTGAATAATAATTGCAGTAATTTATTGCACTATGTTCTCCTTTTTCAATATTTCTTTTACAGATTGGTTTACCAGACTGGTTAGTAGATGTACGACATGAAGCGACTCACGCTGGTCTACCATCACTCGACGTTTTGAGAACTGCATGCAATGTTGCATTAGATTGGCTCCGTACTCAGTACTGGGAGAGTCAGTTAGTATCATTTCAAGAAACTGAAGGTATTTTGATGAATAGGACAATCTCTCAGCATAAGCAATCGACTTTCGTTTATAATGATATGTCAACTGGTTTGGTTTAGTCTTAAATCATTTCAGTGGGTAGTAGATCTATTAAGATTCGCGTACAATTCGGTTTGCTCAATTTAGCCTGCCAATAGCACAAAAATATTTAATTTGTATCTCTTAAATACCGTTTGTGGACAACTATCTTTGTTTTACAGATTTTATAGCACAATCCCTAGAAAAGTATTGGCTGGAACAAGTCGAAGTAAGCACTATAGTAATGCTAAATTATATTATTGTGACACAGACTTCCTCGAAGGATCTCTCTCTCTCTTCTGTACTTATATGTCTTATTGGATATCATAAGGTTGTAATAAGTAAAAGCAAAAAAAAGAAGCGTACATCTCCTACTGCAATATCGCTTATTAACAAAATTAAAAAGCGTGTAACATGTGATGACATTATGTAAGTGAATTAAGTGTTGTTTACATATTCTATTGTGAACTTTGATTGCAAGGGAAGTCGACTTTGCCTACAGTAATATACATCTTACCAATGTTTAAGATTATAATTTCAATAATCCGTGTAACTGTAGTGAAACGATGATACCCATGCTTACGAAATCGGATTTTTTCATACCGACGCTTGCTAATCTTAAGCGACTGAATCTGGATCACACAAGATTGAATTGCAAAGGTTTGCATTACTTGCAACTATTCTCACATTACGCTATATAAGAATGATGTCATTATACTAACTTGCACAATGCATATATTCCAGCTACCCATAAGGAGTCCACGTTACCAGATGAACTTATTTATGTTTGGGAACCCATGCTACTTGAACTGCAAACCGCTTTTCAAATGTTTTTGCCTCATTTAATAACAGAAATCTTAACTCAACTTGATGAAGGTTAGCAATGAATCACCATTCGCGTACATATACAATCGAAACTCAACGTAAAAAGTGATAGCTAGTGATTAAAATTTCTGTAATTTGTTTTAGAAAATGAGGATGGCAATCCATCAAGAGCTTTTATCATCACTGCATGGATACGTTATATTTTTAATCAAATATCTGAAGGTATAACATTCTTGGCATCATTATGCTGACAGTAAATGTGACAAAATGGCAATAATTTGCATAGGTAAATTCATTATCAATGGCAGTCTCCCAATTTGGTGGACAGTTTTAAAAACAATCTTACGATTTCCAGACCTTTTGTCTTTAGAGATTACTAAAAGGTAAGCATTACCTTTGAGTTATAGTCTTCGTTGCAGATACCGTTGAAGACGATTATTGCCCTAATTTTATACTAAATGTATTTCCTAGATTATTCCAACTGTTAAATCCAGAACCGAACGAAAAATTTAAGCAGCAAATTGTCAATTTAATTAGCATTTACCTAAGAACTCGACAAACTGATACAACTGAAGATAATCAGGTTTTCATTCTATCCAACTTAGATACTGTACAAAAAATTTAACTTGTGCCATTATTGTAGCTAACTCACTGTAAACTGTGATTTTGAATACATATAAGATTCATACGGATAAAGAGGAGTACACTCCAAACCAATTAACGGATATATGGAAGACTAATACAAACAAGTTATTGAATAACGAATGTTCTCATTTTCGTTCATGGAAACGATGCGAAGGCAATTATACGTCACCTCAACTTAGTTCAAATTGACGAATCGATTATAATTGTCATCAATACGAGATATGACCTTTATGCATTTATTTACTTCCTTGCTGTGTTTTAATATAGTTACTAATTTTTATAATTTATATTCAAATCAGAAAGTAACCTCAGATGGAGTCTAATGCCTATTGGAACTATTCTTCATGAATCGGAACTCTTATCTGATGCAACTGTCACGGAAGGTATCGTACTGTACAATATTCTATTCCATGCAAGAAATTATAAAGCCAGAATTGAATGCCCATCGCCAAGAGTATTACATTTTTCAATATATTTCTCTCCCTAATTCATGCATTGCAGGTACCCCAGATGATGAGATGGATGACCGACGCGCTGAAACGTAAGTATTGGGAAAATGAACACTACTCTTAAAATGAAGAAGTATTGTGATGTATGATATATTCAATGTTATGTCTCTATAGTAATTATCATGATCTATCAGACGATTACACTAACACAAGCATAGCTGAAAGCAGTACAAGGTAATGCTAATAAACATCATTGTAAACATAATTTAATTGCTTTATCCAGTATAACGCATATTACTTCATCAAGGGTACAAGAAATTCGACCCGACAATCATCTAGCAGATTCTAATGCAATTCCAGCTTCCGCGATTTTTTGTAGCTTGGAAATGGAAGAAAATCACGATCAAATTGAATTATTCTAATAAAGCGACATTTAGTAATAAGTTCATGCTACATTTTCATTGAGAAATCAAATTGCCAACACAAAGTGCAAAATGCCCATGCAATTGAATCTGTTTATGGTCAATTTCAAACAATTTCGATAATAAAACATGTATAAGAAAGTTATCAAATATTTTTAACATAATGGATGATGGCAATGATGGAATTGCTCCCGCATGTGATGTAGGATATCGTTACATTGATGCTACAATATAAGCATCATTCTCAGTTTTGTAGAAAAAAAACCTTACATTAAAACGATGGGTATAGCGCCTACCATGCGTATGCTACTAGTGGTATATTGAGTTATAACTTATATTATACACTACAATACTTGTTTCTGTCTTCAGTGAATAAAAGTCCACATTCAATAATTTGCTAATCAACGATACGATTGCAACTTGCAGTGTTTAAGTAATAGGTAGAAGAATGATTGTTAAAGGAAGTCTAACTAGACGTGGCGACCTTCTTTTCTGACGCTTTACCGGTATCCATACGTTGTCTAACATCCCAGTTATATATCCTAGCCATATCTAAAATAATCTGTTAAGTTCCATATTTATCGTAATCAAGATAGATGCAACTATCAGCAAAAAATATGCAAGCATCATTTCAAGTAAGCAAGAATATAACCTACAGAATCCTCAAATTAATCGTAGCAATAACGAATGAAAAGATACTGACTTCCACAGTCGTATACTGATTTCTTAGAAAATTTAAGTCCTCTTCCATCTTGGCTAAACTTTGTTCAGCTGAAGTTAAATTTTTGGCGAGCAATTCTATAGCATCGTCGATCTCATATTCAAGCATGACATTAGCCTGTAACAATGTAGCAGAGAGCTTAATAGAGTGGATATGTTCAATGCATTATTTTATTATACTTGGATGATAGATAAAAGCTAGGGATAATGTAACGCATTTTTATATCGATCAAGAGTATCAACGAAAGCTAATAAGGGGATTGATCCAATGGCTCAGTTGCAACAGTCATTTATCTTCTCTATAAATGCACAAGTAATTGTTTATTAATCCGACATTAGTCCTATCTTACCCCAAGCCACAAATAAACATTATCCGTTGGAGGAACAGTAGCTTTGGCATAGACTTGATCCGATAGTAAAAATTTCGATTCAATGGTACTATCAGACTCCTGATATATAAAATATAGAATTGCGATAAAAAACGAATTTTCCAGTCAGTCCTGTTACTGTACGTCTGTTCAATCATAGTTCAATTAATCCCTTTTAAAATGGATTAAATGAAAATGGTAAAGGGATAAAAATGCCTTTGAAAGCATCGATTGTCGATGTTACCTTTCTAGTTTTCAAAAATTTCACTGTATCCAATGTCTTTTTAATATCAGGAGCTTGCTCGCGTAGCCTAGTTGATTCAAGTAAATATCACATCTTTCAGTCTAGAAAGGCAATACTGTATCTACAAGGTATTCTGTAACGCCTCCATTCAACGCTTGAGTACAGATTGGTAAAGTATCGTGCACCCATGATTGACTAGGTATCGAATTGTATAGTAAGATATCGAATAACATACAACATCCTTCATTTCGAACTGATCAAATCATACTTTTTCTTTTTCTGCAACAAGTTCAATTCCATAAATTTATATTTTTGATGCTGTTCGTCCAAATCCTTCAAAACAGACTCTGCGGTTCTATCACCAGACATGTATTCATCGACATCCTCCTACAAATTGTTATAACATCCATTATTTTTAGCCATCAATGATTGTCTATGAACAAGGACATCACTTCAAACTTATCCATTGTATCTTCATGCCTAAAAATCAATCCATTGCTGCAGAATAGGTTGGTTGGAAAATCCAACTCTATCCTATCTAATTCTAAGCAATGTTGGGATTTCTAACAGCATGATCATGATTCCCTATTACTCTCTCGTCATTTCTAACATTACTGTAGACTGTTACCCTATTCCATTCCACTATAAGTGTATCAGCTTACCATGAAAGTAGCTTTCGGTATGCCATAATGTTTATTTTCAGGTTGAACAGAAGACTCTGCAGTAGCAGCGGCGGCCATGTTGGAGTCAGACTGAAGTTGCACACTGGCTATAGTATGGCGGAATCCACTATCCGTCAGTCAGAAAACAACTCACTCCAATCATAGACTACGTAATACACAAGCATGTAGTCTGTACTGTGCTTTCAGTCACTGTACAATCGGCTGCCTTCGGTTGCGCGTGCGTACTGTAGCACGGTGCACCAGTTGGACTACCCGGACCTTGTGGTCCAGTCCACTACTAGTACCGTAGTGCATGATAGTTAAGGTTACACCAGCTCAAAGTTGATACTGTACAGTATGGTGTATCAAGGGTGATTCAAGCATGATAGTAGTCGACTGCGAGCGATGGACGACGCTGTTTTGGACTCATTCGTGTTGTGGAACATCAGACAGACTTGTACAAGATAGAAAATCATTATAGAATTACTCTTCTGTACAGCAACGTTGTTCCATCACGGATAGTCCCATACAGGCAAGCTTATACCTGTATGATTCCGTCAGGGACTTGTCAAACTAACACTCTACAGTCTTTAATAGTCGCTGACTATACTAAGAAGAAAAATTCTTTCGAAATTTATACCGTCATTGCTCAATTTCTCGCTTCTATCTAGCTGGTCTTTAGTGGTCTAAGTCTACAGTAACCGGACCGCTTTGGCTACAGTACAGTACTGTACCAATTTGCACTGTACAGTACTGTAATATTACTGTACTGTACACAGTGTACAGTAGTCTTACAATTCCCTGATACTGTAGGGTACAGTACGTTGCGCATGCGCTAATTTCCTGTCGTGGACAGAAGTGGACTGTACTGTAACTGTACCTACAGTACTGTACAGTATACTGTACTGTACTGTATGTACTGTACCAATTTGCACTGTACTGTACACTGTACAGTACTGTAATACTGTATTACAGTACTGTAGTCTAACAATTCCCTGATACTGTAGGGTACAGTACATTGCGCATGCGCTAGTCGACTGTCGTGGACACAACTGGACTGTACCGTACCGTACTGGACTCCGCTGCAAGCCTGATGTAGCTGCAAGTTCGAGCCTAATCGCCATTTGTCAAAGGAAAAGACGCCATCATGGTGAGTAAGCAGTGGCAATGGCAACTCGTAAAATCTTCCAACAATTGCTTATTTAGCAAGTAGTAGTGCCTTACTGTTGAATTAGTTGCAAATTAAATACGAATCATGTTGTTGCAGTGGATTTGGACACGATTGTAGTCGAGTAACGCGTGTCAATACTGTTTGAAAATTTCAATTCAGTATTGTCGATTCCACTGATGACTTAGACAACTCATCAGTTGTAATTGTGTTGGTTACTTCTTCATCTTCATTCTTCTTCTTGTATTGTACTATCCACTTAGGAAAGCCGAATAGACCCAACACATGCTAATCCACAAACAAATATGGTCATCAACCCCAATACCAATGCCTTTGGTGTACATGATGCCATGAGATTCGGGTATGTAATCAAGATGGATGAGACGTAGTGAAGCTAGCATAACCATGATTCACTTTCACTTAGCGACTTGACTTTCTTGTTGGATAATTATGTCTGTTGATGACTAATTGTCCTCCAACTTACAGCAACCAAGTAATTATACTCAATGATCTTTTAGACCTGCTAAAGTTAGAACTACAACAGGACCTAATCATCCCTTATATCAATCGGAGCTACAGGTATGTAGGAATGAGGTAGTTTTATCCTTAGGCAGCAGATGCCTATTGTATGCCTTAGCAACCATGTTTAGTAATCATTTTAGGAAGATTGATGCAATCTTATCCATAGAAATGTAGCACTCTCAATACATGATACTATCAATCTAGCGCATTCGGCTATCTTGCCAGTCAGTCTTTATTGATAAATGTGACATCGGTTTGATCAATCGAAGAGACTACTGTAACGTACATAGGTTGAGGATCCAACTATTTTGCAGTGGTATTGCTTAACAAATTGTAGCGCAATCTAAATTCAACTCTTCATACTCGTAGCATGCCAAAAATGCGGAAGAAATGAATCTGTCATTAATGAAACGTGTACAAGGCGCACACGGTCCTTTCAAATTACACATGGAACGTTCTGTAGCATCGAAAGTAAGCAATGTGCTGTAATTACACCAATAGTAATATCGATTGTTAACTAGTCACTAGTCGTCATTGAATGAATATAAAATAAAGGATACATCTCTCCTAGTAATAGTTATAATCCACCAACTTGGTTTCGTTGGAATGATACCATAATTAGATCAAAAATCCAAAGTAGAAAAGTAATATACGTCAAATTATTCAGTATGAAATGCTTAATCGTTCCCACACTTTACCTTTGTAGATGCATAGATTACCCGGTATGCACAGTCACATGGTTGCCTTAGACTGTTTAATGGGGACAGATGAAACCATCGATTTTGAAGATTTCCTAGGAGGTCTGCTACAACATATATCGATCGATTTAGACGTGTATATGCTACCGTACGCAGTTATTCTGTTACCAATCATCCATAATTGTAACGCTGATTACATCTCATTGTACATAGATGCTAAAGACTCCGAAACACAAGTTGACATCCATGCTACCATGGAGGCGAAGTACTAAATGATTGAGTTAGCTTCGTGTGTAAATTCTATCTAGGTCATTACTTTCTGCTTTCAAATGATCATTAATCTACGACTTGAAGGAAGACTGTCTAACCATTGAAGAAACTGTTCCATTTTTCTGTCTGGATACAGCCAATTGCTAATATGGACATTGGACATTATACTTATTTTACAATATCGGAAGGGTACTTTGACTAACCGTTAATAGCCAGTGTAGAACTTCTATATAATTATGTTCCCACTCTCATGCGTCATAGAATAATTTACTCTTGTGGTTAACTAAACTATCGTACTATAATCTCTGTGTATATTGGCTTGATATTCTGTATTGTATACAAATACGTAGGACGATTTGCAACTATGATCAGAACTCATTACTAAGAGTCATTTTCACAATGCTGCAGTCTTAATTCTCATGCTATCATCAATAAATGTTTCTCTTATTCGTTATTGAGATACTAACCTGCTCGTTTTAAAGACAACTTGTGTCTACTACATTAAGTATTTCTCAAGATTAATTAGTCTTTTCTACGGCGTTACAAACATACACCTAACTCGTATGTCGTTACGAAGCAATGGTAATCAAATTTAATTTGTTACTACTTACTTGCTGTAGTATGCATGTATCCAATATTGTAAAAGGTATCCCGCGAGGGATATCCTTACAGCTTAAACACACTTCCTAGTGTCAACTAGGCGAATTTTTTAATTCATTAGTGATCGATTATGAATAAAGCATATACAGTACTTAACGACATCCGGTAAGAATCAGTAATTTTATAGATTAATTACTGTAATACAAATAATATTTGTCTTCTCTCGGTTAAAAATTTCTACTTTTATTAATGATTTAAATTACAAAAGTAATATAGTGCAGGCTACAAGACAAGATTCTCTAGCTGGAACAAGTGATACAAGCATATCGATAGCCGTACCTAGTAACCTACGTTATGGACCATTAGAAATATACTTAGTAGTCCATGCCTATGTTAAATTCCTTTACTTTCTTCTCACACTGAAGTATTGGGACTCATTTGCACAGACTTGAAATACTGTACGATAGCTATGCATAATATATAATTAATGTATTTATATATTAAATCGATTATAATTTTACAAAATGAGCTCAAAGTATTACCATTTATTACATACTAAAACCTTACTTACACGTTACGATGGAACATAAAGTGATCCTATGTCTGAAGATCACACATTTATACAGTAATCAGACTGATATCTTTATCTGGCTAATTATAATCCAAAGCATAGTATCAAGTTAAATTTATCAGGTTGTACCTTTGCAAATTCGTTAAATCACCAATATATAATGATAATAGAATAGAGAACTAATATTACCCAAAATTACACGATGACCTTAATTCACTTAATTGTCTGTCCATATTTCTTGCAAGTACTCTCAGTAAAATACTCCAGTTTCTTACACCGTTATTGATCGATGAAATTGTCCTGATTTCGCAATATAGAGGGTATACACGATTTTATTCCCTTTTATCATAATCTCCTATGGCTGATACCATACGTGCCTTGCTGTCAAATTTTCAATTAAGTCAAACCTTGCTCATCCTAAATTGCAGCTAACAGTATTAAAAAGAAATATGGGAGACTACCAAGAAAGAATCTTATTCTAAATAAGCTACCTTAAAGAATATGTAATTAAAGAACAATTTCAAACCGGTATTACTTCCAGTCAAGATTTTGTTTAAAATTAAGTAATTAATAATATTTACTACCGATGGCTTGCTTTATCATCACCAATATCAGCATATGCATATGAGCACTCCATATTCAATTTTATTCAATCGGAATAAAATAAAATGATTTAAAATCATCGGGAGTCGCATATTTTATAGTAAAGAAGTATAGAAGAGTATAAACTAATTATCAACCCTGAAATGTATTCAAACAAGACGAGACAGCTCTAAATATTCAAATCGTGTTCTACTACGACCCCATACTGAGTAGCCTGCAATGTTTTAATTTTCTTTATTGGTTACAGTACTTAAAAAAATTGGAGTTTAGAGATTCAGAAGAACTCCTATTTCGAAAGAAATAAATATCTCATCAATACCATCCAACCAAGGCTGAAGCAGGAACTAATTTTAAGCAAGATTAAATTTGATAGATGGTGTGTATTGTGCAATCGTTGTAAGGGCTTAACATACTCGTATGCATATTTCCTGTTATGAAACACGAAAAGCTCCTTCGTAATCGCCAGCCGCAATTTTTTATTAACAAACAAGTCTTTGTCGTCTATACATTGTTTATTCGATCAAACTTTATTAGGATCTGATAATTATACGCCTATAGTCCACTCACTGAAAATTAAGTTATATCAAATACTGCTCTTAATTTGTTTATTTATAAATAAAATCTTTTCTCTGACATCGATACCCCTGATAATTCAACATCAAGATGTCCCTATTGTCTCCTATCTTTACTACAATATTTGGAATATTATTTCCATTTTAAGACAGTCTTTTGTAGCCTTGTTATTTTCCATTGGATCGAATATTAAGAAATCGTACCAATTATTACATAATCGTGACTATAAGCTTACTAAATTTATATTTCCTCTTCCTTTATTCAAAAAATGCGAAATAACACTATAAAGCCAACAGCAACAACGCATCACTCTTTTACAAATAATCGTATGAGAACTTACTGGTGATCGCTCTTATGCCTCAAATAGTTAATTTAGATAGATGATAATAACAACTGTATCTTAGCCATGAATGTGTGATGCTTCTGCTAAACATGGCGAGAATGAATCAACATCATCCATACATTATCCAGCTATTCGTACTAGTGTTATAAAGATATTCTTACCTTCTAAGTTTTATTACTGGACTACTAAATTAACCCCCAAAATGAGTTGAATGTCTTGTATTCCAAAAATTAGCCGCTAATTTATTTATTCAGCCACAAAAAGGGCTTGTTTTATCAATAAAAATTTAGACAAAGCTGTATAGTTACGCTAAGAATAGAAGTTTAGATTAACAAGCTAATGCCATATCGAATTTCGTCTATAAAATAAATGCTAGCGTGCAAATCTAAAGCATAGCATTTCAATGTCAAAAGAGAAGAAAACCTGATATTAATGGTATATAAAGTTCCGAAAAATCATCAATATTTCTGTCATGAGTGCTATAACTGGTAGTAACGAATAATAAATTATTTTGCTTGTTACTGACAGTATCTGAATAAAAGAAATAATTCCAAAATTTTGAAACTTAATATTATTATTTGTGAAACTTCTAATATCTATTGACACATAATTGAGAACTTACTGCTGTAACAGTTCATTCTTAATGCCGTTCTAGTTACAATAGCTTCTTTTTATTTCATCATCTTTGTTTATGTGTATGACATGCTTTTTCTGTAATTATAATTTTCTGTTTACTACTTGAAAATAACGCTGTGTGTATTTCCAACTCTGAATAATCCTATACCACCAACCTAAATTTCAATTGGTAGATATATATATGTGATCAAATGATTGTTCTATCATAACAGAACAGCAATGTTACCTTAACTCCTTTCCTAGCATCTACTTATGTAATTGAGTAAGCTATTTATTGAGCTTGTACTGATTATGAGCTATATATATCCTAGTTCGTTTAAGGCATAAATACTTTGTTAAATTCTTTCATTCGTGTGTTGCACAAAGTGTAATTCTCCAATTCAATCAGATATGTTATTATAAATAATGCACAAAATACCTCCATTAAGTATGATAACGATTTCATAATGAAATGAGAGGACGATAAGCAGCTTTCACTAGCATAAAGAAACAATGAATTTATTCATATCTTCTATACCAATATTATTAAACTTTTCATCGATTCCTATGTTATTCTTCTGTAAATAACTTGCACATTTTATGCCTCCAATCATTTCTACTATTTAATTTAATGTATTTAGTCAGCATTCACGGATACTCTAGTAACAGGCTGATAATGTTAAATTAATTAACTCGATCAGCAACTTAGCATATGTATGTTATAAATGTGGTAATGTAGGTAAACGCAGAATAGCACAACATTCGGGAGCAATCAGTTTGCTATTGCCATTGTACTAATGTTACTTAATTCCCTATACGTTTGTTCCGGTTACTGCTAGGTAAAATATCCTATTTCTATCATCATTTCTACAAACTAAAATGATTGATATCCTTAATTTTCATTAAATCTTTACCATATTTTTATTGATGCTTAAAATATTCAATGACCATTTTTATAATAGGCAGTGCGATTTCACATATCGCATTTATTAACTTAATCAAAAGACGCTTTTGGGTTATAGACATGGATATAATGCGACTCTAAATATTACACATTAGCATATCATGCAAATTTGCTTGCTTTAGCAAAGAATGATATTACAAACATCTTAATTTTTCACGGGGTTACTTTATTTACGATACGTAACCATATGATGTTCTTGTGTAATTTTACGTCATATATTAATCATAAATTATTAATTCATTTAGGCTTTGGCGTACTCTTCCATTATTGCACAATTTCTCAACTGGGATAGATGTTGAAACCACTAGACAACATCAATCCTCAAAAATAACTTGTGTAACATTTACGTTTAATTATAATTTATTCAATACTTGAATCTATTATAAAAATAATAGATTATAGTGGCAATTTATCTTGTATCATACTAATGATCATGATTTTATCCTTTTTATTAATCCATGTTGTCCAAATATCTTGTATAGGTAATTATTATGAGAGTACACGGCAATTAAAGTTGCGACATATTTTACGATATTTTCGTCCTAACAGCATGATCATTTGTCGTAGCAATATCCTTCCTTTAATGCAAATCTAGCATCAGACAAAGACATCGACGCTATAAAACAGCGTGGTGTCGTTATTTTGATTGTTTTTTACTGCATCTTGTTATGACGACTGAGCATTGGATGTTTTAGTCATTACAAACAAAATCAAAAAGTAGAATTGTATATTTATATTATTACTAGATGCACGTATACGCCGACCTGTCTGAATACCTGTTACTTAGTTGTCAGAGGTATTTCATACCTCGTTATGAACTAAAATCGAATTATATATATATAAACATTCAATAAATTTTGACCCTAGTGGTCTGAGATAATAAAATCAACAGCCAATCCAAATCGTCAAATCTTACATAAAAATATAAATAAATCATTTTATCCTTCGGCAGGTGGTTATTGATCACAATTCAAAGAAAATAACGCTACAGGACGATGTTTAAGAAAAGAATTATACTATACTGCTTTATAGCTAATGAGAATTTCAGTCCCATTTTTCTACACTTGCAGTACAACAGCCAGGCAAGTATTCTCTTATCAAGAGGCTCATTCTAATTTTATTAAAATTGAATAATTTCGTCATTTCATTCTCATTCGAGTACCACTATTAGTTCAATAGGGTCCAATATATTGTAAACTTTTTTATCTAGACTGCTTCTCTATGGCGCTATCAAGATTAAGCCTATGGCAGTTGCTAGTCAATCTTGGATGGATATTGCTGCTACCTAGTTTAGGTTAGAGATTTACGGATATTTGCTATTACATATTATTCATGGTGTTCTTTGAATGTCAGCTATTTCTAATGGAATGTTATCATTGCTTACATTTCTTCATCAATTCTTTTTACATTTTTCCGATAATTATTTTTACAGTCCTTCTACTCCTTTCGTAATATAGTAAAACTGTAAAATTATTTACAATATAACATCCAAATTTAAGAGCATTTATTAAAAAGATGCGAAAAGAAAAATTTTGCACTCATGTGAATTGATAACAGTACTGTCTACGAGCATGGCAATAGATTTATACCCCTCCATATGTAAAATAACAAAATTTTCCAGTTATGTAATACACATTGTAGACAATTAAGGCTTATATGGCAAAATAATTTTGATTTTAAACTAGACATTTTGATGCAATATTGAATTAAAGGAATTTTTCGTGAAATAGAGTGCAATTATCTGCTACTATTAGCAATTTAAGATAGATAACTCATTTAATTTCTGAATCCTTTCAGTAAAAAATATTTCTTGTACGTAAAATCGTATCGACCTAATGGATAGCATTTGCAGATAATACTGCAGTAATTTATATACAATTCACTCCATAAAGTACCAAGTAATTTATCGTGAGACTAACGATATCGAAATTCTATCGTATTATCTAGGAACAGTTTGATCGATTTTTAAATTTTTCTCATCATTCTCTACGCAATGCGACCTTTATCCTTAGTTTAATTTTTATATAAATAAGTAATTAAAGGCGTTAAGTACGTAAATAGTCATCTGAGTAACATGAAATACTATAAAATTTAATTATATCGAATCCAGACTATGGTATTATAGCCATCAACCTGAGAATCATGCCATGAATTTCTCTATTAAGTAAACAAAAATTATGAGCGTAAAGTAAGCACAAATCTTTGACCTTGTATTTCGGGTAATATAACTAGATTATTTAAAATGAACATTCAGACTATGTCTTTGATGTTGCGAGATGTTATATTCAAATAGTTGTAGATTTTTTTATTTAAATTACTTAAATGATTGCTATCTGCAGATCTATTATGGGTTCTTATTGTTCATACGAGAGCTAAAATTATTCCAGTAGCAGCTTTTCAGCTCTATATGTATCTATGCGTAAACCGTACCTGCAATGGACATTTTTGAAATATTTAAGACATTATACGAAGATACAGTGCATACTTGTATTCGACTAGCTTAATCCATCATTGAATATATAGAAGAAAGAAGTGTTGAGCAGTGAAGGCATTTTATTTCTAGTTCTCGAAGCTAAGCCTTCTTCCCAGCAAGAGGCTTGAGGGGTATCATTTTATCCATCTTAAGCCCTAATTAGCAGGAAAGGTAGTAATTTAATATCCCTTATTGACCGTAAGCCAGAGCTGTCTTCCTTGAAGGGGAGAAGTAATATACCGAATATAAACAGACTTCTAAGCTAAAAGAAATTTACTACTTCAAATCATGCTTAATTCACCACTTGATCATGTTAGATGTGTAAATTAAATTAGTGATACGAACCATTTTTTCAGATCCATTCAATTTTATTCCGCACAGCGGCACAATTACTGCAATAAAATCTTGATTTTGTGGGTGACATTTCAATATATGCTATATAAGCTTCAGAAACTAGTAAGGATTTACGATTTTGCACATAATCGCAAGTTTTAGTGGTCATGAAAAGGAAAATAATCATAGGAAGGCAAACTACTAATATTGAAAATTAAAATGTTTCATTTGATATCTTAATATTTATTTCCCATCAAACTAAAGATCATTCTTTCTTCCCTTTAACTTGGCAAGAGTTGAAAAATATATGCTGTGTTTAGTTCAAAGTTTAGAATATATCCTTCAGTAAGATTTTCACGATTCAGTTTTCTTAATTTAGACAACACTTTTCTAGAAAATTCGGTGTTTAAAAATTTACAAGAGGAAATTAAGTATAAGTATAAAGAGTTTTTAACTGATATTGACTATAATATACCCGTATATCAAAAAGGAATATAAAATTACGTTCGAAACTAAATGGTAATGTAAAGCTGCTTAGCTAATTCGGTGTTTAAAAATTTACAGTAGGAAATTAGGTATAAGTATAAAAGTTCTCTATTGATATTTACAATAATATACGCGTATATCTAAAGGAATTAAAATCATGTTCGAAACTAACTATTGATGTAAAGCTGCTGATCTAATTTGATCTTTAAAAATTTGCAACACGGAATCAATCATAAGTATTAAGAGTTTTCTATCGACATTTATAGTAAAATACACTTACATCAAAAAGGAATTTAAAATTATGTTCAAAATTAACAAGTAACGTAAAGCTCCTTAGTTTCGGCTCACATTTTACAATATCGATCAGTTTTGCACAATGTATTAATAAATTATACGGGCAACTATAAAGTCAGCTGAAAAGTTATCACGCTTTAATATATGACCTTTATCCTAATAAAGTTGTCAGCTAATCCTACAATGCAGCTAATTTGGCTCTTCTTCTGTAATTGTAGGTTATAGTCAACAAACATTATCGAATTTAGAATGTTATATACGCCAAGGCAAATCCTATCGTGGATATCATAATAAAACGAGAAATGGAATTCCTTGCCAAGCTTGGAAGCTTCAAATGCCTCATTCACATCCTTATGGCCCTGAAAGTAACCCTAATGCCGGATTAATTAGCAATTACTGCCGTAATCCAAGCAGTTCTGATCGTAATAGACCATGGTGCTATACAGTGTCTAAAAATATTTCTTGGGATTATTGCCAAGTGGAAAAGTGCAGTAAGTTTACCACACTATAGTATTACATTGATATATATCACTTAGCTATTCTCTGTTCTACCGGTTCGGCTACGGAAGTTAAATTATTTTTTCAAGTAAATTACTAAACTAATATTCTGTCATTAAAATATTAAAAATGCAAACCACTTGTTACGCTTTTAGTATTTCCCATTAGATTATCATGCAATAACTATGTGAAATACTGCAATAGAAATATTATTAGAATTACAGCATCACTAGATTTACTTATGTATTAGACTGTCGCTTGTTTGATTGCTATATGATACATGTCCCATTCTTGATTAGATGAGGATTGTTACATCGGTGATGGTGCTAATTATCAAGGCACAGCAGCCATAACACAAAGTGGTCAAAAATGTCAAGCATGGCAAGATAATCAATTAAGTTCCGACGAATCACCCAATGCAAGGCATAATTACTGCCGTAACCCCGGTGGCACTAAAAGAAAACCTTACTGCTATATATCTCAAGAATCAAAACGCTGGGAATATTGCAGAGTAGACAACTGTAAAGTTGGTAAGCACCCTAAGCTGTCAAACTATACATACAAGCTGAATTTTGCTTTCATAAAATAAACTTAAATTTAAAAGGCATTCTAGTCTATAAAATATCGTTTACGAATTGGAATTCATAATTTTGATAACACTGATATCAAGGCAATTCTATTCGTTAGAGGTTGTCTCTAAAAGGAGCTATTCAAAATTATAGCAACCAATGCCAATAGGCAGATATTATATTACAAAGCCAAGCCTTAAATTACCATAGATAATCTGTTTAGAAATCAGTAACTTAGGTAAATATCGAAATACTATGCTGCGGGATCATACTTTAGCGTAGACGAATCTGCTTAGACTTTTGTATTCGATATCTCGTATCTGCTTGCAAATTACATCGTTACATTAATGTCTAGCTAAGAATGCTTTATTGCTTATAACATAAGACCACATGTTATAAATATATAATAAGTGCAGTTGTAGTAAGTTGATACTTGATCGATTTCTTTGGGAAAAAATATTAATTTATGATAGAAATACGGAAATTGTTAAGCATTTGAACTAAACTAATTTAAAACCTGTTGTGATTATATTGTTAGTCAATAAAACGATCAACACGATGCCTACCGAGGAAAGTATCCAATTCTATCCTATCACTAGGGAATGTATGCTAGGTAAAGGTACAACCTATCGTGGCGGACAAGATCGTACAAAATCAGGACTAATTTGTCAGAACTGGTTGTCACAATATCCACATCGGCATTCATTTACACCAGCAGCTTATCCTGAATTTGGCCTTGGTGATCATAATTACTGCCGTAATCCAGATAATTCAAATGATGGACCTTGGTGCTTTACTTCATCAATTAGCAGACGTTCAGAAGCATGTAGCGTTCCCCGTTGTGGTAAGACCTTAATTTTTTAAATTGTTCTATAATTTCCTATATCATAACTTGCATGATTTATGCAACCTTACATCTATTTTGATATGCAACAGTCTAACTGAATAAGTGGAATTGATATTTCAAGTTGATGAGCTCTTATTTAGATAAATGCATGTACATCGACTTATTACGTTCGAAGTATCTAACTACATGTACATTCAATGAGCGACCAATGCATTCTCTTCCGCTTAAACCTAGGATGTACCCTGATAATATATAACCAGTATACCATCGTTTTCATACTCATTATCAAATTTAAGTTTATAGCGTCAATTTGCTACGATTTGAATCTTATGCATACCTTACAATATTTCATTTCTCTAAATAGGTATGCACTTACATAATCACTACGGTATATTATCATTTTCCATATCCTTTCATTCGATTTAAATTGGTAGCATCAATTCGCCGACATCCTTAATCTTAATTAATATACAGCTCTTTCAATTCCACTATATGCGCATCTTTGATGAAAATAGCAAAATAGATTTCTTGCCCAATACTGTATAAATCATCACGTTTATAATGCTAAAGTATGTCCGATTTGGATACTCGATATACGTAATCTAAGTTTTTCTCCAGAACCAAAGGATATATTTTCGTGTAAGCGTAGCATATATTAATTTTTGTAAGACTATTATTGTACTCTATAATCAATATAACTGCTATCAGAATCCTCGTGCTATGTTATTTTTGATATAAAGAACATTTTAGTATTCGATGTAGGTCAGGATAGTATTATTTATTTGTTAACAGCACTTTATTATAACCCGCAGCTCCACCCGTAATTAATCGAGAATTGGCTAAATCACAAAATGAAATATTGCCTAACGCTAGTAAACCTTGGAGTGTCTGCTGTCAAGCTGATGGATTACCCACACCAAACATAACATGGTGGACAGTAAATAGTGGTGAGAATAACTTAATGCTGCCAACTCAACGTGGTTGTTACATATTGGATTCTCGAATTCAAGATGGGAAAGCGCAACTACGATGTATAGCGCAAAATGTGGCCGGAAGAGATTCAATTACTATTGATGTTGTTATTCCAAAGTATCAACCAAGTAATCTATAATCTGAATAAGATAGAAATTTAATCAGATATCGACAATATTTACAATTTGAAAAAGTTACAATTAATTGAATTACTCATGCAGTCAAGCAAAGGTTATTCTATGATGATTATATTAAAATTGAATTTACTAAAGCTTGATATCTTCTGCCTATATTCCAGCATCTAAGCCCATGACAACGTCAGCAACATCACAAGATATTCAAACTATTCATCCTGAGGATAATACAATAATAAACATCATTTTACCTTTAGGTATACTATCAATAATATGATAAATTAGTTTCGTGATTTATTGACTGCATTAATTCAACTATTATAAGTAAGATATTTTAGCACCATTTCCAGATAAATAAATAACATTTCGATTTCGATCAGTCATGTCTAAAATAACAAGTCAATACTAAATTTCATTCTGATCGAACTATTTTAATCAGGACCTAATATTATTTTATGAATAGGTGGATATAGAAATATTTACAATTCTAATAATTCACCTAATAAAATAACAGGAGATTAATTTGTAACTCATTCTGTCCTATTTCACGGTCTTTAGGTATAACTACCTTATTGGTCTTGCTAATTATTGCGATATCATGTTTCGTGTTTGCCTATCGTGTTTTATTGCGCAAAAATGTTCGAATAGAGCGAAACGGGGCCCATTTTCGTAGTGTAAGGAACGATGATGAAATGGCAGGCATTCGAGCTCATACAGAATTCACAGATATTGATCAATCATCGAGCGTATCCTCTTTTCGTCGACCATCAGAAAGAGCCAGTAGCATTTATGCTAGCATTACTTCTAACTTACCTTATCCTAAACATATGCATGTATCTAGAGGTCGGATAGCAATTGGTGAAAGATTGTTTGAAAGTACGATGCATGGTTCTATTCATCGTGGATCCGTATATAAAATTGTACCACATGAATGGAAATCTACCGTTCTTGTAAAGCAATTATCAGGTAAAAACAGATTGCTCTAAGGTTACATATAAAATTGCATTAAAAATGAATTAGATTTAGAGTATTTTGCTATTCGTAAAGTTTGCCTCTGCAATAGACAGCCAACATAAAGTGTCATATAGTTGGTTAATGATCTTCATGCTAATCATTTTTTATAGACGGTTGTACAATTCAGCAACACAGTGCTTTCTATGATGAACTAAATATGCTATTGAAAATTGGAGCGCATAAAAATTTATTGTCGTTACTTGGAGCCAGCTTTGAATCTAAACATAGCAAAGGTAATATTGGCCGATTGATTGAAATTTATTTTTCATATATTTACAAATAAGAACAGTTGTCATCTCTCATGTCATGAAAATTGCATTATTTCGTCGAACTTGCATGCTAATTTAACATAATACAGGCGAGATTACGTAAGATACTATTGCAAATAATTTGTGTTATATCACTTTATACTAAATATTTAATCGATTAAGTCTACTGACACAGCTAATTCTAGGTTATAATAATTTAAAGAAAACTTATAAACTTTTTAGGCCTTCAATAGGTATATAATTGTAAGATAAATAGAAATTACTCTAGTTACCGGGGAAAAAATAGTATTACTTTAACACGATTAAAGCCTGTAATTTCAAATTGATTCTCAAGTAAAGAAAGTATCGCTACAGTATTCTATCTCATTCTACGCAATATGTAGTGCATTAATTCAAAATTTTTTTTTCTCTAATTTAGTAGAAGAGCTTTTCGCTATTACTAGAATCTATCAACAGCATTCTTCCTTATTTTACACAATTTGTAGACCATAAAACTACCTTGCAATTTCATATACTTATTTAATTCGAGAGTTTATTACTGCTATTAGAATATATCAGCCGTATTCTATCTCGTTTACACGATACATAGAGTATTACCTTACTTGCTATTTCATTTCTCTGTTTTCATTAGAGAGTTTACTACTGATATTAGAATATGCCAGCTATGGAGACTTAGAGTCATTTCTACGGTACAAGAGAGAAGAATTTGAACCAAGTTTTGATTATAATGAAGCAGGATTCAATCTTGCTACTCTTGGAGATTTTGCATGCCAAATAGCGAAAGGAATGCACCATTTATCACGAATGGAGGTTGGGCTTTGATTCTATTCGATAGCATGATTTTTAGAAACTTGGCTAAAAGCAATAATAGCAGTAGAGAACTAGAACGCATCAACATTGGTTTATATCGACCAATATTCTGTAGAAAATTAGATTAAAGAGTAATGAGAAATCAACATCTATATACGTGCATTGATCAACATGATTTCTTTCTAGACAATTCATGGTAACCTACGAGCAGCGACCGTATTAGTTTGCTCTAACATGGTACTAAAAGTAGCTGATTATGGAGTCCAAACTAATACGAATGAGATGCAAGGAGAAGAAGATTCGGAGACTACCGCTGCAAATAAGGTAGCGAGAGAAATACAGTAGGAAATTCTTGCATGATCGTATCCAAGTTCATCTAGAGCAGTAGAATCTGTGCAAGTACCAATCTTGACCACAGTCCAATTTTGAATAATTTAGGTTCAACTTCCAATCCGATGGATGTCTATGCAAACTTTAAGCGATGGGATTTTAACTGTTGAAAACGATGTGTACGCCAATAAAATTGCTTTAAAATTATTGTCACTAGAAGGTTTAATAGCACGAGATGATTATGCAAAATATAATTTGTAATTTATTTTTTCATTAGTTGGTCTTATGGCATTGTTTTGTGGGAATTATATACATTAGGTAAGTATAATAAAGGTGATTGGTAGCGATCATGTCCAGTATGATGTTGCATTTTACTTTGTTAGGATTAATTCATCTTGTCATTTCTATTTTTTTCAAGGGGAATTGCCTTATTATAACATTGCCGACGATGTCGATGTATTATTGCATTATGTTAGTAGCGGCTATCGACTTAGCCAACCCAATCATTGCCCTGATTCAATGTAAGTGCTTATAGCCGAATTGAGTTGTTGTTATTGTGACCAAGAGACGGCGGAAATTGACAGTTTGGGCTCTATGTTGTATAGATATGATATCATGTTGGCATGTTGGAAATCAAAACTAGCGGAACGAATAACATTTCAAGCAATTGTAGCCAAATTACGCGAAATTAAGGTTGCTGAAGTGTACCAACTTGATGATAGTGACCATCCTAGCTTGCAAAGGTGCGCTAGCACATTCCTATAAATTAGTCTGGGAAATGGAAGTTTAATCTTTTGCAGTTTGTTTTATTTGTTATGGTGGATAGCTAATCTATGTAGAATTTTTTAATTAGTATTACTAAGATGTAGTGTGGACGACTAAAATAAGCCAATTGAATAAGGCCTTGTTCTAGTGGTCCATGGCTGCATCAACTTGATGATTGTACCTATTTTGGCTCAAAATGGTATTTCAATACCTCTCGATAAATCGGTCAGAGAAATTGAAATACATGCAAGTCGTTCGTCATGATAGGAACAATTTCATGCTGTATAAATGTAAACTGCATACTTTAAGTTATAAAATTGCATACGCTTCAATATGCTAATGGACACATAAGAAGGGATGTTTATCCACGCTTCAAAGTTATTTTAATTTGTTTCTTTTTTATGCAAATATTATATTATATAGCAAGTTTTCCTTAGAACAAATGATAGCTTTAACAATTTTATTTTGCAACTAGGCCATTATGGTAGTTCTACTGTACAGAAGCATTTCTACTTTAATCTCATTGACTCTATACTCTTCTACTGTATATCTGAAAACTACTGATTCTGGCCTAGGGATTGGGAGGGGGGTTGTTTTGGTAACAAATTTATTCTTGTCTTGATTGAATCAAGTATTTTCGTTAAGAAATCCAAGAATAGAAAATACTTATCTACTGCAGTTTCGTATAGTTTGATGGGTTGTTGACCTTTAGATTTTATTATATAATTGTTCAATATGATTGTTAATATTGCCTTTATATTCACTGTAATGTTATGAAATATAAAACGTCTTATTCTTGCATTGAAACTTCCAATATGGAAGCATTCCTTCAAGTTGAATAAAGTATAGTGAAAATGGATAAAGTTCAGGTATTAAGCTATTCTTCATATCTCTTTTTAGATAGCAGCAATAATTAATATGATCGGTACGTCTGCTGATTTAGTACCAGTCTATGCTATAGACTATTGCTAGTTTTGTCAACATTTCTTAATCGCTTCTGTCACCTAAGAGTTTAAAAGATATATGCAAAGTCAAGACAAGACCTGTGATATCCAATAAGCTACACGTTGTAGACATAGTTATCAGACACTAAAGTCAGTAAGAAATAAACTAGTTTGCAGCCAGTATACAATATGAATTACATGGCTATGGTCATTCGGACTCTATCATATGCACGCAGACAGTAATCGCGTGCCCACTGGAAACAGTTGGTCGATGTACAATAGTACAAATGCCCTTCAAAATAAATACAATTTTTCACCAGACACATAGTTTGTGGGGTTAATTGGAGACTCCAAAATATTCCTCATTGAAGCTGTTTCTAGTACAACCTCACTGTCATAATGCAATTGTCTAATCATGGACTACTCCATACCTATCCGATCCCATGGCACGATAGGGGATAAAATGGAGTACAACACAATTCTCGATCACGGCTTGGGTATTGGGTAGTCCATCGGTAGTCCATGTAATAATATGCCTTTCTTGTTATAGACTGTAGACGAGAGAGAGATAGCTGTTTTAGAGAAGAGAACTTTGTTACCCTAAGTCAGTCAGGTACAAGTTTCAGGAAGAGAATTGCTCACTTTATTTTCTATATTATTGCATATGTAGAAACAGGTTGAAGTTAAATGCGCTTAATCAGATTGATCTAAGTAGTTCGGGAACAAGTCTATGGATGGGACGGTCAGGTTTTAATTTTTTTGAAATCGGTCAGTCATTTTAAACCATTTCGATATGCTTAGCGTTAGTGGTCGAGTGAGGAGGCAGGTAGAGGAAGTATGCGGATCAATAGAGTAATAGAGTATAGTAGAAAGACCAGAAAAATGAATCAATTTGCGCAATTTTTTTCCTTTCTTGTACTGAACGCCCTTATTCACGTTCTTCTCTCGACCTTAGCTTGCACATACGGTACTAGCGAGTCAGACAGTTTTGATAGCTGCAGTTAGCTTTGACTTCTAAAAAATATAAACATTTAATATTACAACAATATCTATCAGTTAATAATATCTAGTTTTAAAGCACGCTACTTGGCAAATGCCGGGTGTAGATACTACCACATAAGGTAGATTTTACCCTGCTACAGTAGTAAATATGGACATAAAATATGCTATGATGCAAAATGTAAATTGGAATTTTAAACCAACTTTAGGTTTTTTTATTGTAGCATTTTTGAGGAAATGAATGTCTCTAGTTTGAACTTCTCTAGCTTATTTTTGAGGGTATTACAACCAATTTGGTTATAACATTGGGCAAATTGAAATCTTCCCCTACAATCTGTCCTACAACTCGGTTAATGACGTCTATCGTTGCAACGCGTTGTACATTACTGTTACATAGGCGCGTGGAATACTTGAAATTCCTACTTAAAATTTGTAGTAGTCCATGATAGAGCGGGAAATTCTCGATAGAATAAGAGAAATAGAATTATTATCCATAAGTTCCTGCAGTTATTTTAAAGCTAGCTATTTTAAAAGTGATTAGCTTAGGACATTATGATCGAGGTATCAGGATAGAAGAAAGAGAAATCCCAGATCACGGACGGACAGAAAAGGATGTCCATTTCGCCTTTCAAGTATAGAGTTTTAGGATGCCTCGATGTGTCCGACCGTCCATTGTCCAATCCAATCGCCATTCAGTTGATGATTTGTAGTGATTCTAATTGGTACGTCCGGCGGTCTGGCACCTCTGTAGCGCACCAGCTTAATGTCATAGTAAAAGCGACTTACCACACGGTCATGCGCAATCGTACTTTTAAGGAAGTGAATCAATTTGGCTAGAAAGTAATCGCAATCTTGCTGCTGCAAACTTCCACTATGGCTAGCGATCACTTTCATCATTGATACGAATCAACTGATTTAAGTTGAGGATATTATAGGGTTATAGTCAATCTGTTTTTAAAGCATCTTGTTGAGAAAGTTAGACGATAGGTGAGTTAGAGAATTGAGATGTAAAAGATAGCCACGTTGACGTGGTGATGGGACAAGATCAACCATTGTATTGTCCTTCCATTGATTTATTGATTGAAATTATCAACAAGATTAAATAAATCTTCATCATACTTACCGTGAATATCTTTGCTCGCTGTTAATCTACAAGTAATCAGATTAAAGATTGCACAATATACTAGTGTTTAGACGCCATGATCTAGTCGATGATATCCTACTCGTTTTCATCAATGTCGTGTGTATTTCGTAGGTGATCCAGTAAATCAAAATGATTGCTAGTGTTGCAAGTAAATTAAGAAAAGAATGGTTCTTACTTGGAATTGTATTATCCATCTTATTGGCTAAATTGCAACCCACTATTGGCAAGACTGGAGGTAAGAAGGAAATGAACTTGAGTAGATCTTGTTCATCTTATACAAACTTGCTGACACTGTTGCGCTTGATTAATCCTCACCTCAAGGTCTGCTCAAACCTGAAATTACTATTAAATACTTTGCTGTTTCCATCATCTTCTTTAACAGCGGTATATCTTTACGCAGTGAAGTAAGTCAATTTTGATGTCGGTAGGCTGAAATTTATGCCTCCTATTTGAAATCCATTACACTATTTGATTAGAGTCTGATTGCCACAGTCATGACTATCAAAGCGACCAACAACGAGTATCACCACGTATTACAATTTCGTCTTATCATCTGATTTATTACTAGTCATAGTATTGATCATCGATCATCGAAGAATTTTAGCTGGAGCTCCACTGTAGATTTTTTATTTTTTTATTTTCGGAAGTTATTCCTTGCTATAGCATTACATAAACTATTACATAACCGTAGATAAAACTCTTTTCTAATCACAAAGTTGACAATAAATAAGCTCCAGTAAAAGCAATGATAATGATGGTTAGAACAAACGAGTATCTTGCGTAATACGCATACTATACAGTGATTCTACTGCGATGGTTTTCAGTTTCGAGCATGGATTACATTGTAGCAAACTAATTCTTAATAAGAAGCTTCCTCTTTACTGCATCATGCCATAAAAGTAGAGATACTGTAGTAAATTAGTATTTATGTTCTTCATTTTGAAATACCTGCATTTTACAGTCACTATTCCCATATAAAACTTCATTTACAGTACAGTACTGTTGTAAGCATCATTGAAAAGCTACAATCAATTCTATACATTTCTCTGGCTTCGAATAGGAATTACTCAAATCCTTTACCAACTATCGTCTGCACGCGCTTATTCAAGGATTTACCTTTATTGTCGTGCCAATATTTGTTAATATTTTAGTGGCAATGCTGAAGCACTTAGCGATTGATGAATGGTTATTGAAAGGGTAAGCTAAAGAATACAATTGAAAAACATTGCTGTCATCATGTCGACTCTGTACAACAATTATATTGATTCGTGTACTACATTGTCCTCTATTTATTGACTATAAATCACAGATTGATCGTTGTAAGCTGTATGCCTCCTCCTGTCTCTTCTGCTGTAATACTCACTAAAGCATCTGGTGGTAACGAGGTAACTATCGATTATAGTTATTAGATATAGGCTTTATCATCTATTCCATTATTGAATTTATACAACTTCCAGGCTGGTGCCATCTTTAATTCAGCATTTGGTAGCTTTCTGGTAAGATAAGCAAAGTTATCATGTCATGTCTAGATTAATTTTTTATAGCGATTAACATTTTATTTCTATTCTATGACATAGGATAACTTTATCATATCATGATTACATCAATTCTTGTAGCAATTAATATTATCAATGTTTTTATTCTATGTCATAGGGTGTCATTGTAACACCGTTATTGCTACTTGCAACTGTAAGTCACTAATTTTGAAAGATTGCGCCAATTTCACCTAAATCACTATACAGCAGTACTAATATTGCCTACGATCATTAATTAATCGTAACTTTTAAAACAGCTTGGATCTGCCGCTACTGTTCCATTTCTGTCGGTATTTACTAAATTAGGATTAACTGTAGTTTTACCATTGGTATTAGGCCAGGTAAGTCCTATCTTTCTGCAGTAACCCAATTCTGTAGTGACTACAAAATTTGATGTAGCTTGTTACAATTACCTTGATGCTAGAGCAAAAGAGTCTTCCTTTCTGTGTTGTATTATACTGTGAATATAGATTATGATGCCCTAGATTATGTTGTCAAAGTAGAATTATAATCTTTATTATTAATAATAAATCTGATTGATATACAATATGTTTTACTAGATTGTTAGAATGTATGTTAAAAACTGGTTAGAGACTACTAAACCGCCCATTGGGACAATTGGAAGGTTAATTCAGATTCGGATTAGAATTAATTATTAAAGGAATACGTATGGTACTTATTTTCATACGTATAAGACTAAGAAATGATTCATTTCCATATTTTGGCTTATAGTTGTATCCTCCTAATCATAATTTATACCACATTCTGTGACACCTTCAGTGGTAACTATGACATCTTCATTCCACTATCCATTGTAATCCCACAATTTACAAATATAAATAACACAAACATGCAAACGATTACCGTTGTTGCAGGTGATGCCGCAAGTAGTATTCCAATGGGCAGTTTCTTGGCTATTGTTCTTTTAGGTAGCGTGAAAAATTAATTATTGTTATTTCATGTTCTACAAATATAATCTTTACGATCTTGCTATTGCTTTTATAAGTATTTTTATGTCAGGTAGTCTTCATGGCTTTCCTCTTTCAAGCATCGACGAGGTTAAAATAAATTAAATTCAACACCAAGTATTCCCTTAGTATCAATTAACGACAAATTAACGATGTACTGTCCTTTTCGTATTATCTGTAGGCTGAGATTCAAATCGAAAGATGTCGTGGCGGCCGTCTTTTGTGGCACTCATAAGTCTCTGACTCTAGGTAGTTAAAACTCTTACTTGTATTTTAATTTAATTAATTAATTGATGCTAATACTGGATTTATTGATCGTCATTTCGACAACTTTCATCTATCTTACGTATGGTTATGGTTACGAAACTAGGTATGCCAGTACTTAAAATTGTCTTCGGTGGCTACAGCCAATTATCATTGTTATCTATTCCTCTTTTGATCTACCATCCTTTGCAAATCTTATTTGGTGGTTTATTAGTTCCAACCGTTCAAAAATGGTTATCGCAACATCAGGATGCGGAAAATTTAGAGTCGGTTTAATTAATACTGCATACTAGATAAAATTGGCTATCGTCCGGTACATACTTTGAAAATTTTTCCAAATGTTACATATATACTCGCAAGTATATATTCAGTGTATACTTACACATATTATCTAGAGTCTGTTAAACTAAAATGGTGTATCAATTATTAATAAAACTTCTTGCAATATTTCATTAAATTTAAGACTAATTTTCGTGGAAAATTTATCGTATGTATTCAGCTACAAGCCATGAACAGTTAGTTACGCTCGAAATCTATTACTGCAAATTTTTGTTATTCGCATAAATAACCAATAGATCTGTCGCCTTTTGTACATGAGATATAATAACATTATGAGCTAAATTAATTGGGTCATTTATTTGTAGTAGCAGTTATTGAATACATATATAAGTAAATTCGTTCGTGTTTTACTAGTGCATCGCTAATGTTTATATCACAAGAGAATGCATAAATGTGGAAGTATTATCTTCATAAGTAACGGACAAATGAAGTCATAATACCTTTACTGGGAAAGATCGTTATCTGAATTAAAATGGTTTTAAAGCATTCATTTGTAATACAATATAATGATATCAACCGTAGTCTTTTCGTAGCTACAACTTCGTTAGGCAAGATGCTTGAGATCAATACCATTTTTGCGATACTTGAATAACTGATTTGACGTTACAGTTCCTGAACTTCGGCCGAGTTCATCAGATGATGGTCAATATAATATTATACAAAGAGTAAACTTTCACTATTAAAAGTGGTTCTTAGGTAGTTAATGATTAGGAAGTGCGAATTAATGAATTATGTAAACACATTACAATTCAAATCAATTACAAAAAAACTTTCATGATAATCTGTAACGACTTTTGTTTGCGAGATAAGTCATTAGCTCTATACAAATGTAATCGGTTTTTCTAGCTTAGGCAAGTACATTTCCATTACTAAGTTTACAACAATTTTATCGCAAAAGGTAACGAATGTGGACCATTAATAGTATTATTTGATATGAATTTTTAACCAATCGATAAGGTTAAGGATGGATATAAATTCTACATAACATTACGGTAGATATACGAATATTAAGCAATAAAAATTGTACAAAAGAATCTTCTATAGATTCTGTTATACACAACTGGCTGTACTATACACCATAGAATTTTGCCATCTAAAGTCAATAGCCAGAACAATCGCATAACCATAATTTGGATTGGATATTACAACTCCTGATAACAATTTACTTAATTGCAAATGATCTATATAGCAAAGAACATTAAAGGACATCGAAAAGTAACAAATAGTTATAAACAAGAAATCTTTCTTTCGTACATGTTGCATAGCTTAATTTACAGTACATTAAATTATACTAATAAGAAATTCATTCATTGAAGCAATGTCCAATAAGAAAATAAAAATTTAAACTCTATCGCCTCCACGGCCTATCTTCATCAGCTTCATCCTCTTCATCCAGTAACAAACTATCCTCACTGGACGACAAACCTTCATTATCTGATACGTTCATAGAACCTTCCGGTTCCTAATGTGATAAAGTAATTGTTTAATTTTTACCTTCTTCTTTATCATCTTTTTACGGTAAACAATATAAGAAAGAAAGTTTATCAACCTTATTACTATCTTCTGTCATGTCATCAGCTAATAGAGCAGATTCTAAGTCTAGTTCCTGTTTCTCCTCTGTTACCATTTTTTGTGGCTCCGATTGGGGCTTAGGATTATACCATGAAAATACTAAAGATTTCGTTTTGTAGATGACTCCTTTTACAGCGGCCTAATTAACACATAGTGCAGAAAAAAGGATATAGTGTGATGTTAATGTTATATAAATATAACATTGTTACTCAAACTAAACAACAAAATCTTATACTAACAATTTCCGCCTCTTTCCTAGTTGAGAATTTAACGATTACGTGATCATTTTCGCCAACGTCAACTCCAGTAACGTTACCAAATTGCTGCAATATTTAAAGAAAATTATACTATAATTATTTACCAATGAAATCATTATCAATGCCATTCAATCAAAGTAGCTATGAACAAGGAAGAGAAATTAACAAATCCCTTACAGTAAAATGTGTAATAATGTCGTCTTTATCGTCCATTGATAGGCCTTGGACGCTTAATTGTGATGTCCTCTTATCTAAAACAGATCTACTTGAAACAGCAGCGTGTCCTCTACCACGACCTCTAAATCTCGTGCTCCATCTACCACGTAGTTGCTTTCGGCGAATCCTTCCATGAAATGGTTTGTTCGGGCTTTCAATTAATCCAAGATCTGTCGCCTTTCAAAAAATATAACAATAAATATACAGGATAAATCAAATAATGTCAGTGATCAATACCTCTTTCTTTAATAGTTCAACCCTTTTTTCTAACTCTGCAGTGTCTTCACCGCTATTTTGCTTTGACAGCAGCTCTAATTCTTTATCTAATAGCTCCTTTTGGGCCTATTAACGGAATTAATATCTTATCCGTACAATCAAAGAAATATAATGTTCTATGAACCATTTTTGTATTACACTTACATCTTTTCGAGATTTTGGAACTGAAACTAGCCTATTTTTAACCGAATCGATATCTTCGTTTAATTTTTTAAGTGACTGTAGGAACAAGTATAGTTATCAATTAGTCCAATGATCTATAATTGTAACACTAATTATATGATCATTCATTAAATGGTAACATAATGATGACCTGAAGTATAAAATCACGTTCTTTCGGATTTTTTGTATCATTCAATTTCTTAGCAAGAATCTGAAATGAACATTAACTAATCAAAATCCTAATCTACTTTTGTATATAGTAACAACTTCTCAGAAATTCATTTCTTAATATGTTACCTTATACTGCGTAATTAATTTCTGATATAAATCTTGAGACTGTTTTTGTATTTCTAATCTTTTTTGTACGATATCCTGAAAAAATTATCAATAATAAGATATACACGGATGAGTAGGAGCTATACTAGCCAAATGTAATAAGCGTAAGCTTACCTTACTACTATTTCCAGCAGTGGGCGTTGCTGCTGCGCTACGAGACATCTTAAACGCCTCAGGATTATGAAACTATGTCATAGAATGTGTAAAATCATCATCATATTTCTATTTTCGTATGTCCTATAAATTATATTTTGTTTCATTAACCGTAAGCTCACCTTGTTTGGCACAACTGATGGTTTTGAAGAATTATCACCAACATTCGCAAGCTCTGTAGCATTACTGGGCTGAGAATCTTTATCATCATCCGGTTTTTGCTGTGCATAATGCAACAATAAAAATTTATGCTCTGATAACGTTAATATTTCCATGATAATAGAAATAAGAATACACTGATAACTACCTCAGTTTCCGGTATTGGGTCAATTTTCCAAAAAACTTTAATAAATCTATTATTTAGAACAGCTTCTGGGCTATCATGAGCACTTTTAGCTTCAGCGTGAGTTGAAAACTGAATTAATGCAGCTTGTTTATCCCCTTCGACGCCAATCTAATGGAAGTAAGTATTAACACAATAAGACAATTAAATCTGACAACTAAGATTTATAAAGGCATAATCAATGCCAGTTAATGATCAATTTTTATTCATGTCCTCAGTTTTAAGTAACACAACTAGTTGCTTAGTTAACTAGCCATGGGTTGCAAAAAGAGATTAATTTTGCACAATATTTTGGTAACAAAATCATGGATATGCGATTTTTTACCCTGTGAACTGTGCCGAAAAATGGATAGCAAGTTAAGGCAACATACCTGAATATTCATAATATTACCAAATTTTCCAAAATGTTCGTTCAACTTCGTTATAGTGTTTAATTCCTGTGGAATTTTTCTAATTTCTAGAGTAACTGAATCTCTAATTCTGGCCTTGCTTTTAAAGCCAAGACGATTATAATCGAAGCGACGTTTTTGGGGAGGTCCAGTATCATCCATTTCAGCAACTCGTTTTTTATTCATTTCATTATTAACATCCGACATGGGCGGTTTAAACCTGGGTAAATCTGTATAAAATTATATTCAAGAAATATTATCAATGTCATGGAAAAAAAGTACTTTATCATGTAAGGGAAAAATTTCATATTTACCTGACATAGGTTTACCGGAATTCATTTCTGACGTAGGCGTTCTAAGTGGCCATACCGGTGGCGGCATCATAGCTCTACCTTCAAACGAAGGCTGTTCAGGGTTATAGGCATCATTCCCTTTAAATAGTGAAAATAATATATATCCATATATTAATGTACAAGAATTAGGAAAACTAGTACAATATTTTTATAAGGCATGATTCAATCTGCAGATCCATAACTACAGGGTGATGATTTATTGACAACAATACCAATAATAGTAAGTGTGTTTGCATACCCGAGAAGGGTAATCTTTTACCGCGAATAGGACCTCCTGGTTGTCTAGGTGGCGGCATAGACATTCTTGATGCTTGCATTGGCGGTGGTGGAGGCATAGAAGATCTTAATCCAGGTGGAACTGGACGTACAATGGGCATCATATTAGGCGGAGGGTTATGATGTTGCATCCTTCCAGGTCCAACGCGAAATGGAGGTCTATTACCATTATCAACTACAAGTATATCAGATGCTGGTAATCTTAATTGTTGTGTGTCTTCAACTACAACCGCGTCATTGCCATGGTCATACGGACAAGTTTCACCGCGCACACAAAATCCCTTTTCTGTTGAAATTGTTGAATAGTACAAATTACTACAAATACCACTTTTATAAGCATATCCGTACTCGTGGTAAGTAATTATTGCTTAAGTAATGAATGGCTATTAATGATATACCATCGTAATCACGGCATCGTTGTTGAATTTTCGGAGGGAAGCGTACCCTAAAATTTAAACCATTAAATCTATTGATTAAAATAGAATATGACCGACTTGTATTAACAGCTAATCATTATGATCATACATCTAACCTATTATTAGCGTTGACCGTGCCCGGTGCTTCCCTATCACCAACATCCGCTAAATTTTTCATCTCATTTTTTCCACGATCTGACCGTCTATCGGTTCGCTGTCTGCCGCGATTAATTCTATCATGTTGTCCTATTAAGAATAATTACCAAATATCAATACATTTCGAGTAAAATCTATTTAATCAAAGGTGCTAGCTATAATATTCAATGATTAAAGCATCCTTTATAGGATAATTAGAATCATGCCATGGATACGTACCTATTCGTCCATCATCTTCCGGTCGACGCTTAGATCTTCTATTGCTAGTGGAGACTACAACATGAATGCCAGTTGGCTCATTATTATTATTATGTTCGACAGACTCTTCGATTCTGTCTTCGTCGTTACGCGACCGTGGTGCCCTCCTAAAATCTCTCTCATCATCATCAAGGGTCTAGGTAAAGATAAGAGAGAATGAGGAGAATAGAATAATCAATAGAAAATTAATATATATATTCCACTTAAAATAGCCGCTACAAGTAACACAGACAAAAGTAACTGTCATGCCAACATTCTCTAAGAGATATTATGATTATTTTTACCAATAATGAATATTACTATGTGCAAGAATAAAACCACTTGTAATATTTGTACACATAAGTATACCGATTGAGTCAACAACAAAAGTATTAACATTTCTACCTCGTAGTGTGATATTCTTCTATCAACATTGGGTGCATTGTCGATGCCTGGAGCATCAGTCGTAGTATCATCTACTGATAAATATGCTTTCTTTTTCAAGGCATCAAATAATTCATTGACGAAGTTGGTAGTTTCTACAAATTGAATAATTAAAATTAGACTAATAGTATCCGGCATGGATAGTAGACAAAGCATCTGTACAATTTTGTTTTTATTTTATAATTTATCGTATAGCAGATCAATATTATCGTAGCTAATTCGTTATTCCATGTACTCAATTGCAATACAGCCTATTTAGACAATGAACATTAGCCGTAGAAACATCCATCTTTACGCTACACCGTGGAGAACTAACATTTATACTACTCGTATTGAACCAATGAGTCAATGATAAATGAAAAGATGATATTTTTACCGTTACTAAATAGAATGTTATCGTATCAATGATCTACTCGTATATACATTGTACAGTATCATTGTAGCAGTTATCGCAAGACAATATCATTGTTAAGGATAGTATTTTATTAATGACAGTATTTATAAGCTAATACGTATTGATTTTGACACAATATACACTCTAGTTTAAGAATTCATACGACTGTGATGAAAAGTTAATTTTTTACCTGAAGCAAGAAAAACTTCTAACTGATTTAGACAGATATTCTTGACCTCGTTATTTGGTTTTTCTTTTTTAACTAAAGCTATTACATACTTAGCCAAGGCGTTAGGATCAGCATCGCAACTAAAAAATGAAGAGAAAAAGCAACACAATAAATACACCCGGTCAATAGATAGGGATAATTGCTCGGTAGCCATGAAGATGGCCAATTGTCTAATCTATGCTTCCAACTTTATCGAATAAACAAGAATAATATACTGTACGTCAACGTATCGATTCGTTGGTATGCAGGGAAAAGAAGACTTGTCATCGATAGCGGTTGGTATAAATAGTCTTTACCATTCCATCCTACTATTTTACTACTTTATACAGTATGTCCATAATGTAGCATTCTAGGCATACTCTTATCATGGAGTGCATGATTATACGTCCAAAAGCGTTCATTGCATACAATCAATGGCAATAGCCATCACGATTGATCATGTCAGGAAAAATGCATCAACCCATTACTAGCTTTCATTGACGTTTACAAGGTGCATTGCCTACAAGTATTTGGTAGACGATCAATCGCTGTTGCGTTCAATGTATGATGATCATTAGTCTTTGGAAAGTCCTCTATGGTGATCATCAATCATTCTATCCCTTACCATCAACACCGACTATTTTGGAAATCACCCGCTACGTGTATGTTAACATTTCGATACTAAATCATACTATCAAGCGCATCAGTATTTTGAAACAGTTGTGCATTGAACGAGGGGAAATTCTAATGTAAGGCAATTACATAACACACTCTTTCAGCTGTATTATCACGGAAGAACCATTTTGATAATGTTTAGTAATCATTTCTACACCGGTTAGTCAATCTCTCTCCTCAACATTGTACGCAAACGATAGGACCTATCGACCTTACGTAAACACTGTATAATGCATCAAGACCGGACTTGACATTGCTACCTTGTCAGGCAATTACGTCGGGGTCAGTGTTGTACTCTCCATTGCTCAACGCTAATTATCTGTCTAAATGGAATAAAAATGTGTCCATGGACTTGAACTATCATCCTGGATAAAAGAAAAAAATAGAAAAACTGTAGTAATTATGGATCATGATGCAGACATGGCACGTACGCCATTAAACTATTGATCCATACGACGAGGGATATCGTAATCATGGTTTAAAGATGAGATTTTGTTTGGTTTGGCGAGCTAAGAGTACAGTAGTAGAAGCTGTCACGATGTCGAGATTGACATAGTGCAATGAGTAATTAATTTTGTTCTTTCTTCCAGTATGACTGCTTGATAACAAGCTCTCAATCTAACCTTTCTCTGTCAATAGAATGCTAACAGAACATTAACGTGTTGTCCACGATTGAAAAGTTGGATAGTGAGTGATTGCATCAAGTAGCCAACCAGGATTTGACCACGCGGACATACTGTATCAAAAGCAAATCTACTGTCTGTACCTTCCCTTTGGCTACAGTGCGTAGCGTACAACGAGAACAGTCATGTCGTCAAAGAGAAAAGTGCAAGATTGCCAATGACAATCCACATACACAAGCGTTGAAAAAGATAAACTAGATTTACAATACATACATAGGTTGTAAACGATTTGTTAGCCACACTTTAAGCGCATCAAAATCTTCGATATGCATTTGTTCCTCAACGTCTCGTTGACTTGCTTCTTTGCCAAAAGAAGAAGCACACGATGTCCGACCTAACGATGATACACTGGCAGTGGATATGAGCCAGGCAGGCACTAGTGGCATCCAGTACAGTACAAAGCTTTTGGATTGACGGTTTGGCCTTACTGTACAGTACTGTACACTGTAAAGTAGGTCAGCTGCGCGTGCATTTCACCCTTGAGGTGCGTAGCGCTACGTAGGGTCAGTATAGTACAGCTGACTCGGCTTTTCTGTCTGGGTGCAGTTCTCTCTGGCTACAGTACGCTACAGTCATGGAGCAGCAGAAATATTTTCTTCTAGTACAGTAGTCCATGCTACAGTGCACCGTCATACAGACGACAGCAAAATGAACGAACAGTGTCTACATCTCCACCAACTACGATACTGTACTGTAATGTACAGTGTACAGTATGGCAAGAGAATGACGACACCATTGGAGTATCAGACTGTAGTGTACAGATTCTTGTAATTGAACTCTTCCTCTATCGATTGACTTGTATTTTATTGAAAATCGACTGAAATTTCATTATTTTATTTTCAAAGTTTTTGGGCAAAATGGCCTGAGACAAGCTGTACACTCAACAGTATAATCTACTATTGAGAAGACTGTACTGTAGACCTTTTTCCCTGTAGAGCATTTTCTTCTAACCACCTCACTGTTCTAGTTTCTATCGTGCTGTACAGTACAGTACTGTACAGTGTACAGTACTGTGTACTGTAGGACTGACAATGTTTTGACAGTGCTTGCACAATGCACACACTATACGTACAGTACCATGACGTAGTACAATATGACACTGTCTTCATTTTGGACAAACTCCAACTGGAAAATCTCACTCATAAAACGTCAATATTCAGCAAAAAACGCAAAGAAAACAGAGAGTCTTATAGAAAAATTCCACTCACACAAACCAAAAATCAACCTTGGGTGAAATTTGAATTGCACATCAAGGATTTTATTGGTACACAACCCGACAATACGTTTACTAGGGCCAAGCCGATGTCAAGTCATTATTTTTGATGCAAGTTATCTGTAGCGTCATCCTTTTGCAAAACTGTGGTAAAGACTAGTACAGTACTTTGGAGTTCTTGTCTACAGTACATACTGTACACTGTACACTGTAGTGTGCATCCAATTAGATCCCTTCAACTTTCTCTACTGGACCGTACTGAAATTTCTTTGCAATGGGAAGTTGCGAACCTTCCTTTAAAATCATGCAGGTGAATTCAATAAATAATACTAAAACTAACTTAGCTAAATACAACCATCAAGACCCAGCTTGTTATACAGTACCAGGGACTACTGAAGAGAGAAAACGTTTAGTAGTCCCTAGCAGGACTGTATTTGAACGCGATGGCACAGATTACTGTATAGACTACAGTAATGTCCCAATACTCTGTTAGTAGAGTAATCATGGTGACATAATATTTTGCGAGCGACCTGCTCTGCCCAATGTGCCGATGGACCAAGAAAACCGTTGCAGTGGTCCATGTCAGTATTTACGGTGGCACAAAAGGGCCAAAAGGATTTCTCTGTCAAGAAACGAGCGCTCTCCTATACAAATACCACATTCCTATGGAGAAAATCATACTCCCGTACAAAAGTCGCACTAGGTGTGGAGAAATCGTGCTCCTGTAGCACGTCTGTACACCACTTGGCCTGGCCATAATGTAGTGGATGTGAGCAATGATTACTGACTGGATAGTGAATACATGCGTACAACCTACAACTCCGACTGACTGACTTTTTCATCTGATTGGATTGGTAATGGATTTCTCGTCGTTTGGAGGATTTCATAGAATCCTAACAAGCAACACCAATCGCTTTTAACGTTAAAAATAAATAATGTCGTGCCTGGACTACTGCCTAAGGATGAAATCATCGCTAGTTTGGCAGAAAATTGGAACTCATGCTATTTTAGTTCGATTGACAGTTAATAAAATATGTAAAAATATTGCACAATGACATAGACAATGAAGACTGCCACAATGCATTGTGTATTGTGCCAGCCAGATTAGCTGTAGTACTCGACTACTTTTCTGCTGCTTATAGCACTTTTGCACCATGGATTGATTACTGGAATTGACTACACTAACTGAAATCGCACACCATTGCGTGCCAATGAGAGTTTTGATACTGTAATATGAATTAATTAATGTTATACTCAATGCACGTTTTAGGGATTTACTACTTGCTGGTACCTGACTACCATTAGATAGATGTTGTAGTGATGCAGCAGCACTGTATTTGAAAGTAAACGCATGTAATAGCTCGTCGAGAATCGCGTTCAGCATACCGCAATATGCAGTACTGTAATTTGAATTTTCGATCAAGTTAAAGACAGTAATTAAGAGATAATAATACAACAAGTATGAATATCTTCGCATAACACTTACAACCTAACATTTTTCTACATTGTATCATTAATACTGTAACACTGACATTTAATAAATATCTAGTTTTGTGTCGATACTGTAAATTGAGTGCATATTTGTTGAGAGGGAAAGTATGAAAGAAAGCGTCCATAACTATCCATTAATGTACAGTAGATCCAGTCATTTCCCTATGATGTATCCAGAAATGCGGCTATATATCTTCAATGTATTTATCCAAAATATATCTGCCATTTCTTAGCAAAATCAATCAAGATAAAATCTTTGCTCATTTCGTTAAAACTTGGCAGATTTGCTTGGACAAAGTATAATGAAGGTATACGTATAAAGAGCCGTTTCAGCGGTATTTCTAAATGTCTCACAGGGAAATATTGTACAGTACTAGGATGCGTATTGGCTAGCACGCTAGCACTGATTTTAATCATTTGTGCCTATGGCCGCTTGCTATCGGATTATGCACGAGTACAGCGCCTAATAATATCGATATGGCAGTCACAAATATGATTCGTTAGCCATAATTACATACGAGTACGTACATAATTGAGTACATTATTTTCCAGCATGCAATTCGCATATACTGTACGTACACCAAGATACAGTAAGTAGGGGGTGATAATGATGATCCATGACTGGTTTATGGCTAATTAATATTACGCGTATAATATCTATTTATTCAGGTCGAACATATGGCAGATAAAATATGTACTAGTTTTTAACATACGCGTACGTGTAAGCTCTCTTTACATTACTATACGAATGCGCGTATGATGGATGGTACTGTTTGCTTAATAATAAAGTAATGAATATACGTAAAGTAATACTAAATTGCAGAAGCAGCAATGTAGTAATAACAACAAAAAAAACTGAATACCTTTTGCTTACACCTCCGTTCTATAATTAGTATGCTCTAAATGGTCTGATTACAGCTAATATATCAATAGACGGAAACAGGGATTACTAGACGAAAACATGACATACTAAATTCAACATTAAACGCGTACCGTATTCAACTCGATATAGCCATCCAGTATTTACAGTTAAATTACTACACCTTCGATAAAAATTGTGCCAGACAGTCAAATTATAATCTTTAGCGTTCTGTATGAATTTGAATAAAATTTAACTTTTAACCATCTCTTTCTATTGCACTCACCGTTACACTCCAACAGAATAAACTATTTTATTATTACATCTTAATCGATTACCGTATTTAAAGTTTACTTACAATTAAAATAATACCGTAGTAACTACGTATTAGTATCGTGTAGCAAACAAGTTGTCCAATTGGAAATCTCAATGATTTAAACATGAATATTCGTACTTTGATGCCATGTGTATATATATTTTTCTTAATTGGAGTTATCGTCGATTGCTATATTTTAATCAAAAGTTATACTCCGCATCCTGGACCGGGCGGATATCAAATTATCGATTCTTGGTCTGATGATATTAGTCGTCCTATGAGTGGTGAAAACTTCCATCTGGCCATCTTAGTCGATTCTAAACCCCAGAACGTGGCATACCGTTCAGGAATTAGGCGTTCGTGGGGCAATTCAAAGTCTACTTCATCTAAAAAAGCATGGGATGTCTTTTTTATTTATGCTAAGCACAAAAATTCGACTATTAATAGAATTATTACTGACGAAGCAGAAAAAAAGAAGGACTGCCTTATCTTGGATGATGTCGAAAGTAAATCTATCGACGCAGCTAAATTAGTGAGTGGGATGAAATGGCTATTAGATCATACTACATTCGATTACTTGCTAGTTACTACAGATATATCTTACGTTAATGTTAACGCCGCCGTAAGATTACTGAAACAGCTTGAACATGATCATCGGACAACTGATACCGTTACAGTAGCAAAAACCTCAAAGGTACGTAATATGGCAGATAAAGGTGGTAGTGGAGGTAACATTATCGATTCCGTTTATATTGGCAACGTTAAAGCAGGTGCTATTGATGTTGGAGCTCTTGTGACGTCTTATAGTACAGTCCAGTATTGCACCGATTTAGGTTATATCCTATCGCGCGACGTTGTTAGTGAAATAGTTCAGTTGTTTCTAACAATTGGGCATACACCCAAAAAAGCAAAAAGTGATATATTTATTGGCTACATGGCAAACAAGTTGCAACATACCCCGGTTCATAGCAAGTTTCTGGAAGGCGCAAGAAAGTGTAACGAGTTTAAAAAGTTAGTCATGGATCCAGAATTATCAGATTCAGTGCGCCTAAAGATCAATAAAAGAATTACCAAGCTATCTAATTCTGTCGTCTGTTGATAGAATAGAAATTGTATGTAATCATTTGAACGATTATTATGCAAGGATATTTTAAACAACTTTAATACAGAAAATTGGATGGGGCCAGTCCGACATTCAATTCCTAAGCTAAAACCAGAACTTAAGTGCAGTCTTGTTAACTGCGCTGTTTTATCAATATGCTAAATGATATTATATTGTATGGCAGAACAGACAACAATCTATTCTACTACAGTTGCTGCATAGGATAACTTTTATTTATAATAAATCAGAATACAGTAGATATCGATGGCGTTTAATATTTTGTTTCAAATTTTAAATTTTATTTCTGTACTATTAAATACTATAAAATATTGACTGCTTGTATATTTTGTTTATTTATGTTTTCGCTTCCGATAATATTATCTCCAGTAAAATAGCCAAGATGTAATACTATTTCTTCAACTGTCTATCTTTATGGCTAAGTAGCTATTTAATAAGTTATAATTAATCATAATTGATCAGTCAGTCATTGACTGATATAATGCACTAGTCGTGAGATAACAAGAAATTGTACTTGACCGATCTGTAATTTCCCTACACATATGTCCTACCTGCCTTTGTAAGGCTGATACATCATCGCTACAAGGATTACTATCTACCGAACGCATTAAAGGCAACGAACTGGATATTAAAAGTTTATTGTACTTACTTAAAGGCCCAAGATCAGTCGAATGATGTACAGAATACATTACTCAATAATACAATCCATATTCATTTAAGCTATGGCTGAGTATATTCTTATATTACATATGCAATCTATAATCATTTAAAATCGCGATAACAAGAAGGAAATACACGAAATAACATGGATATTCGCTTGGCTAGATAACACCCGCAAATTCAGTGTCCTTGTAATATATCAGATTTAATCTAAAGTATTCATCTTCTCAAAATTGATCAAATCGCAGACTGTTACAGTATCTGATATCCCGATATCATTGTTATTCTATTTTCTTCATTATTCTTTTCTTCTGTCTTTCTCTGTTTCTGCCTGTCCCTTGAAGGCTGGTTTTACTTATTGGTAAAAAAATTCAATCTGTATGTTTACAAATGACACTATAGTATCACTTGGTACATATAGCGCAAGATTAATTAAATTCATAGAGTCACTCAGTTTATAGAGTGAAAATTTGTAGATGTAATAGCATGTTAATCAAGACGATTCGTATTGTAGGTTTACAGCTATGAAAGCAGTTACCATAATATATCATATATATGCGTATAAATTGATCTAAGCGGATCCTGAGCAATCCAGTACCAGCATGACTTCGAGATCGTATTCATCTTTGCTGTGTGCTCACGTTAGGATATTGAGTCCGTCATTGATGTTAACACTCGTGAGAAGGTTTACGATGTTCTAAATATTAAACGCTGCTAAGTTTAGCTTGATAATTTGTTCTGTAGACGCTAATGATATCATAGTTTATGAAGAGATCTTTGAGGCCGTTAACAATGGTGTGCTCGTTGTATATTAAGTGTCATTTTCAATTTAACACCTATTAAATGCAGTTCTGTGCGCTATTATACGAGTACTAGTAGACAATATACTGCAAGTAGGTATGTAACATCAAATATTGCGCATTTTGTAAGACTTTCAACATTTGGTCAGCATTACTATTGCGTTTCGGCGTATGTTTTATCCGTACTTTGTAATTATTTTAATTCAAATTTAGAAAGTATATGGCTTATTCATTAATTATTCATCAACAATTTTCTCGCCTGCCTGTATGCCGTACATATATAAATAAAACGAATGACATCTTCAACCCAATGCCTTCAAACAAAGTCCTGTACGAACTGGTGGTCATAAGGCTATGAAACAATGTACCAGTACACTCTAAATCTTTGGATGAACATCAAACTATGAATGGCTTAATTAAGTACACATTAATACAGGTTGTCTAGAGCAATCAACCATGAACAGTAGTCACTGCACGTAACATCGAAATCGATAAAAGTAAGAATAAGCTTTGCCATTGAAGTCTCTGTGTCATTTCTATTATTGGAATTTCCACCACAAGTATAGTAAGATCGTACGAAATCCTTTGAATCATGAACGAAAGCGAATTGTTGGTATGGTAAGATCTCAGTAAAACCTTGCATAGGTCTGGTATTGCTGATTACTGCATAAGCTATGTCCTGAATGAACGAATGATCGTCGCTAATATGTCAAGACCTCAGTAAAACCTTGAAATGGGTCTACTGCTAATATCTGCATGAATCATGAATGAATGAACGAAAGCGAATGACTGATCTTGCAAGGCCCCAGCAAGTACAATACAGTACAGTAGCCGTAAGAGCACAATATATACGATATACGGTCTGCTATTAAAACGAGTTTTTTTACTATCTGTTGAATAGGTCTGGTATTGCTGATTACTGCATGAATTATGTCCTGAATGAAGGAATGATAGTTACTAATATATGAAGACCTCAGTCAAACCTGGAATGGGTTTAATATTCCTACTGCTAATATCTGCATGAATCATGAATGAATGAACGAAAGCGAATGACTGATCTTGCAGGACCTCAGACTGTACAGTAGAGTAGCTGTAAAAGCAGGATATAGACGATATACGGTCCGCCATTAAAACGAGTTTTTTACTATTTATTGACATAGTACATTCACGCTATCATGATAATCTATCTGTGGAGATAGTCTTCTACAGGTATATCAATATTGCATAGGAATTTCAACGGAATATAACTTTCATTTTTTAACCAAGGGGTGCTGTCGAAAATAAATAAATAATGAATCAGGTTGCACCGTCCTGTGCGTCTGCGCATTACTGTGGTAGTGCTGCACTCGTCATCCGAGAATGACGTAGTGTATTGCAAAGGCTTTACGATCCATCGAGTTCAATTTACAGTATATATACTGTAAGCATTGTACTGTACACTGTGTATTTCTCTCGCTTTATCTTCTACTGCTGCAGTCGAAGAAGATCACCGCAGCGAGCATCGATACCTGGCTGGCCATCACTTTGAGAAATAGATTATAGCAGCGGTTATTGACTCGATCTTTACGGTAGATTAACTTTATAGGCTTTATCGTCTATTTTCAAATAGTACTGCTAATCAGTAATAATATACACGAGTACTGTACAGTAGTTGGAGTCGTTGGTATCAATGGAAGATCTCAGGAAACAGGTCTTCAATTCCGCGACTGGAGGAGCATTGCCTCCTAGACCGATGCCTAGGTAATCTTATTTTGTCAACTCCATAAAATAGATTATATTGAACTAGAAAGTTACTTAGTACTTGTCCTTAAAATACGAGATTATAGTGTATGCTACAGTAAATAAATCTCCAATATCTGAATCTTAATCCTGATCCAAATGGACGCTATCGATGCCATACGTGTATATTGCGATGTACAGTACAGCATAATACGAGGGAGGCTGTTTGTGATATGATATTCTGCTCGTGCACTGTCGGTATCAGCCTATCTTATAATTAATCATGTAGAGATATACAATACAGTAAATAGACTAATTTAAATTTATCGACAATACGACTACTGCTTTGAACATGGAAAGACATAACATGCAATTACAAGTATATATAGAATACATTAATAGTGCACTAATCGTATTCAAAGAATCAATGAATGAATGAAGGAAATTAGTATTTACGCAACTACACAATATAGAACACTATATACTCGTATGTGCATAATCCAAGTCTAGAATCTGTATTTCTAAATATGAAAACTTGCCAGTTTATTTGTTATAATATGCAATGATATCCTGCGATTGATTGATTTTCATTGAAGGCACTTTATACGTGTAGCCGTGTCAGTAGAGTATAGCATTACTTTACTCAGTAGGAATACGTTAGCTATGGCCCGCGATATTATAAATACTGCTCATTCCAGTATAATTCTCTTCACACCCTGAGGGATTACCGGCAGTCACCAATAAATTTAGCATTATCCAAATAGAACGATTAAATTCAAAGAACATCGAAATTGGTATTTTAAATGATAATTTCTTAGTCAGATGGTACCAACGACATATCATAAATCTGTTGATAGAAATACGCCTAGTTCTAACTCTGGTGCTATAAAGAAAAGACGTCGCGATTATTCACCTCTTCAATGGAGTGACTACTTCGATCAATACAAAGACGTAACCTTAGATAACTCACAAAATGTAAAGTAAACGTATACTTTCACCTTAGCTTACCTAATACTAAATGATCCTAGAAGCAGTCATTATTAATGTTAATTGCATTTTCTTGCAGGTATTTCGCGTCTATAAGTTGGGCACTCGCGGGCCTGTCTTATATTTCCTTCATGGAGGAGGCCACTCAGCTCTTTCTTGGGCATTACTAGCAGTAAGTTAGCTAATTCTATCGCTTATTTATTGAAACATACGGTACGCAATAACAGTAACCCTAACATAGGAATAGATTTGCTATATGTATCATAGCTCTTAACTGTTGTTATTTAATAGCATAATTCTATACATTTCGCATTAGAAAGCACTGGTTCAAAAATGTAAAGTAAGAATTGTCGCGGTGGACTTGAGAGGACACGGTTTGATTTCGTAACAATTTTTATAGCTAGTAATTCATTTTGTCATTACACATATGCATATACAATTCCGATCTAATTAGCTAATTTTTCAGGTATGACAAGGACCGATGATGATTATAATTTATCAACTGAAACACAAATAAGGTACAAGATAAACATACTTATTGTAAAGTTGAAATCATCATTACTTTCAGATATCCTTGAGGCATTTAATAATTTACTACACAATCTGACTTCTATGCCATGAAAACTAAATACCCTCTTATTTGCTATAACGATTATTAGTGACATAGCTGGCGTGCATAAAGAATTATTTGATGATCAACCTCCGACTGTGCTGGTTGGTCATAGGTATGAGACTTAATAAGTTTGATGACTAAATGAAAATTTTAGATGTTAGCTACCGAACTAGCGATTCAATTTTCACTCACAATAATTTTTGTCTTAGTATGGGTGGCGCTCTAGCAGTCCATACCGCATATAAAAGATTGATTCCATCATTAGTTGGCTTAGTTGTTATTGATGTTGTTGAAGGTAAATAAGGTGCCAATAGCTGCCTTTCAATTCAATCAATAGTATCGGACCATGAAGATACATGAATGATTTGTATTCTAATCATATTCTCTAGGTACCGCTCTTGATGCCCTATCAGCTATGCAAAATGTTCTCAGAAATCGTCCGTCTTATTTTAATTCTATAGAAAGCGCAATCGAATGGAAGTACGTCTGGACTTAATATTGCTAATCATAATGACTATTTAAATATCTCACTCAATACATCGGTATATTATAGTTTCCGCAGTGGGCAAACACATAACTTGGAATCAGCCAGAGTATCCGTTCCAGCTCAATTGAAAATGTACTGTATTTTACCTATAACAATTGCTTAGAATAATAGATCTGAGGCTATGTCACGGTTGTGGATTGATCAATGATTTATTAAATTGAAAAGCTGCGACAATTGTAATATCACAACGGAAGTAAAAGATTCAAATACCATCGTAGAAGAGAACGAAGATGCCGATCTAGAAGATGCTTCTCAACCTACCAGCAGTCGTAGTGATGTAATGCCAACTCCTTTAATTTAAGATTTTCAGAGTTTTTGTACTTAAACTAAAAATGCTAATAGTACCGTTAATCTCGAAACACTCCTTACATACTAATCAATTAACGTATTTAGAATACTGTAAAATACACTTGGGTAATCGATTTATGTAAAACCGAATGCTACTGGAGAGGTAAGTAATTATGCTGTTAGACTATCTTCGTCTATGCCTGAAAATTTTTTGTTAACAAACTAATAATCCTACATAGAATGGTTTGAAGAATTGTCTTCTAAATTCCTTGCCTGTCCAGGCCCCAAACTTCTCCTATTAGCTGGTACGAAACGTATATCATAATAACAACATTAAAAGCGTGTACACACTCTTCATAAATGAATATAAGATAATACAGTAAAGAAGTAATTATTCAAGAATACCATACAGTAGCCCACAATACCTTTATGGTTTATAACTATAGACTACTAGCGAGAAAAATATCCTTTCATAAATTCAAAGAATTAGGAGATTAATAAAAACTGTTCCACTTATGAAATTTTTACCTAGCTTTGCACTAGACTTATCTGGATATGTAATTTAAGAGACGATAATGTAAATAAAATATAATAATCATGATGGACCCTAGATATTTATCATATTGTGTTATACCCACAAGTGAAAGTATGTATTTTGTCTTCATGCGTAGGTGTTGATAGACTGGATAAAAATCTGACTATAGCCCAAATGCAAGGTTTGTAGTTAAAGAAACTGTCATTTACTGGCGTGCGAAGGTTCTGATACCGTATTAATAGGTTAATAATTACTCTTAACATCTTTACTATCGTGACCATTGCATCACTTAGGAAAATTTCAAATGCAAGTATTATCACAGTGTGGCCATTTAATGCAAGAAGATGTTCCTGATAAGGTAAATTATTGACTTGAAAGCGGCTCTTTCAAATTCTACGTTTAGCATAAGTTATTGACGTCTATAATAACTGCTCTTCTAGGTTGCGAATGCCCTTCACAGTTTCCTAATAAGAAATAGAATTATAAACACAAACAATAAGTGAAGAGAAAGAATCGTAGACATGAATAATGTGTGATCACATTGGAAAATAAATAGATTGAGTACCTTGGGAAAATGTAAAATTTCCGTGGTAAACAAAGTGGTCGGAATGTCATGCAATGATTTACAGATTGTTTTATTTATGGCATGCTATTACGTTTGTAGCCATTACACGATACACTATCTGATATTGCCGGGAATATTCTAAAAAACTATGATATAGTGAAAAATACCTCAACCCTCTTTCTCGTCTATCGTAGAATATTTTCACTAGTTATAAAACTATCTAGTTGAACTTGTAACTTATAATGACCTAAACGATCGATAGCTGGTCAAATATTTATAAGTATGTCAAAAGTATACTGACTGCTTGAAAGAAAAATTAAATGTACCAACCTTCCTATCTGATGCCTAGCTGTGATTACTTGAAATGATTGTCGATTTTCGTCTATTAAAATGTGGTTCATGGAATTGAGCTGCAAGCTTATTTCAAACTATGGTATTACAGCTTTGAGTTAGCTTTGTACAATTGTAAATTACTTTAGCACATAAGCAAATTCCTTAGCTTCATTTTTAATGTATACGTCATCCTTTTGCTAGCTTAATAAGATACTGTGTAGTAATAACTGGTATGACATATTGTGATATCATGCTGTAGTACTAATTTGTTAAAAGTTAAATTGGATTATGCAATAAATTTTGATAATTGTTTATCGATCTAACGCCTAGGCTTAATAACGAACGATTGAGCACAACAGGCTACCAATTGTTGGCATATTGTGATTTCGATTTCCATCGGCGGATTACTGGTAGTCTCGTACGGTAGACTGGAATACAAATTTGACACGAGTGATTTACTACTGTACAGTATTTTCCCGTATTTCAGCAATTGCCTCATTGCTAGACTTTTCTATTCGTAATGATCATAATTACTAACTGCGGTTCTTTTCGATGAAATAACTAAAATTGATTATTTTAATTCTCTTGCAACGTAAGGAGGTCAGACATGCAGGAAACACTTGTATACTCACAAAATCAATAATGATAACGTGAAATAGTTATGGTTGACTTTAATCTGCATGACGATAATTATAATACAACAACCGATGTAGAAGATTTTAAAAATTTTCTTGAAAGTCGATCATTAATTATCTATAATTTGTATTTTTAATTTTTTCACATTTATGAAGGTATATTGTAATACACATTGAACAGATAATATTTTAAATGATAATTTAACTTTACGAAATAAAATATATCAGATAACAAATCAGTGCACTATTCATTTTAGTCATAAGTTTCTGTTCACGTAAACTCTTCAGAAGATAACGTCACTGCGTAAAAGTAACATTTTAATTTACAGTCAGCTACCTGAGATCAATGAATTACTTGTATGCAAAGAATGTAATCGCTTTACACCCATAGATAGTACAATGATCTCAGAATATTCTTACAGCAATAGTGATATTGCAATTATTTTTACCCCAATCTTCTCTACTTCCTATATAGGACATTGCGGAGTCATTGGTGTCCACATCGTTATAAATATAATTTCGATGGTTTCCTCATTACTATTAACTTGAACCCTAGGATGATACTATAAACTATATAGTACATTAGACTCACACCCCAGGCGTTCCATAAATAACAGATACGTAACAAAAACAAATCCAGCATTTAAACCGTAGGAGGAGTAACTATTTTATCAGCATGATCAAACGTAAAATTGGCAAATGACTGTAGGTCAAGGCAAGAAAAATCTTTTCAAAGTTTTAGATAAGACAATATGCACCACTTTAAAGAACTGTATTTGAAGTTTGTTACATGTGTATATCTGTTGTCCAATTAAGTTATTCTTAAGTTCACTTTCAAGCTACTCAACAGAACAGGTACTCGTATATATTAAAAATTTAGAGTTTATAACAAGAATCAGTATGGGCGATATTAATTTAATATCATTTAATTAGCAACTATTTTAAGGTTCTTCTCCAAGTGGAACTTGACATATTCATAAGTCGCAAATATAATAGCCGTATTTGGCACTGAACGAATTAGTTGCAGTGAGAGTCCACCGTATAGTCCAATTCTACCTTCTTCTCGAGCAATTTTTGTTAAAGTTTGATAGAATGTGTTATATCTACCACGACTACCTTTTTCTCGTAGTCTGGTTCGGACAACCTACAATATTATCGATAGTGTTTGTAAAAATAAGAATTTATTCATATCGGTTTTGCTAGCTAGCAAAAGACGAATCCATACTAATTGACTGACTTCAGCAACACAGAAATACTCTCAGTATAGTTGCTATATACAATATTAAAAGTATCATAGCCAACTTGTAAAATTGATGAAGCATCAAGCACGAAGCGGAGTATAATACTGTATGTGATCTATAACATGATTACCTCATACGGATAGGTCGAAATTGATGCTACAGCCTTGCTTATTGCAGCGGCAACGGTGTAATTACCAAATGTACTTGCTGAAATGGATTGATCACCGCGTTTTCGAGAAATTATCTTTTTTAGCCATTCATAGATTACAAAATAAACCATACTCTCTGATATGCCTATGATTTAACGATAGTATGTCCAAATTATTATGTATTCGCTATACTTGATAGATATAATGTTGTATCATTTATTGTTGTTAACAAAGTAATAGGTTGGAGAATATTAAAAATAATGGAAACGATATTATTTGTAGAATGTTGTCTACAGTATAGGGTATTGTAGCCTTCAAAACGTCAATAAATAATTTATTAATCCAAATAAATTGCTGTTACGGAGCTTGATGGTCCTTGTTAAGAGGCTAGTAGTAGAGTGGTAATGGTAATGCGTACTATATAATTTAATGTGATCGATTAGCACCGGGGTATTTGTGTGACATTGGAGATTGTATTTACGTAAGTCTGATTATTCATTTTTAATCTCAGTTCCACTGAGGCTACGCTAGAGTACACTGGTAGTCAATTGTAATAGTTAGTAATAACTCTATTTATGAACCTAAACCTATGGTTGGACTCGATCTCTATAGTATAGGAATAAGTAAGTTTTCCTTTGGTGAGAATGAGCAGAGTTAGTCGGGGAACCGTCAGAGTAGATAGTTTCCTTTGGGTTCGATCACGAAAGCTGTTTTGTGACAGTCGCACCAATCTCTAGCGGCAATTTCTGTTAATGTGAATTAGAAAAACTTCAATCTTACTATAGCTACTACTGTAGTAAGTCGATTTAGCTAGTTTACCATCGTGGTATCATGTAAACTATCCTTGTGTACTGCAATAGAGTTCATTAAAAGGGAGTGTAAGCGATTTCTGGACACCATGAGGCGCTGTCTTTCACGGTGTTTTCTTGACAATCTCAGTATGGTTAGGATAGGATTGATAGCAATCTGGTCATCGTTCATCTTACAGTATCCACTTTAGCTTTTCAAAGCATTACCTGATTGAATTTTTTGATGAATAAGGCGATTGTACTGGCAGTATAATATCACTTTATGCAAAGCATAGACTACTACAAGATTTCTTTGGAATAATCTTTGACACAGACGAATGGTTTGACTAGCTATGGTGCGTGCATCTGGATAACTTGGCGCTGGTGCAACTACTTTACAACTGACTACACCTTAGCCAATCCTGTGTACAACTTGGGATAACTGTTTGTACGTGTACTTTCGTTGTAAACAAGAAATAATCGCGGAATTCAGTCATGGAAATCAATGATTCAATTGAATCATTTGTCAATTTTAGACGCTATCTTACGTGTACCCTATTTAAAGCTCATCATAACGATCATTACTATATCAAGTTGAGCGATCTTTGGATTCTATTTCAATCAAGAGCGATTGATTAGTAGTATGTCGCAATCCCTAAGTGGTTGTGGCTACAGTAACTACGCGTAGACTGCTCTACCTCAGTTGAATATGGAGCGTACAATTGTCCCTTTTGAAGTAAAATGGCGATTGTTACCTATATAAGAAGCAGTCAGGCCACGATAAAAGCCACGCCATCCATCAGATTGATAAATTTGTTGGCAGCAAGTTTTGACGGGTAAAATTTGATTTTTAGTATCGATATGCAATTGCATTCGTGTCTTGACCACCCAAAGTGGACTCATGATAGTACATGTCAAGAAAGTGCCAGTGGCAGCGGATAAGCCATGGGTTATGGAAGCATCTTTAGGCAAGTCATTGGAGAAAAAACTTTTGGAAGCATCATAGGAAGCTAAATATAACGCACGAGTTGGTGCAACACCAGCTAACGTAGGTATTAAACCTTTAAAAAAAGCAGTAGGTCCTTCTGTGGCTAANATATACCGTATCCAGCCAACTAAAGTAGTCGATGTTGGTAATGTCGCGGTAGCGGTCACCATATTGGATGGCAGATGGAGTGAACGAATACTGGCTGTCGACGATTGGCCGCGTGTTTTCAATACTTCCAAAGGCATGGTTGCTACAGCGCCTAAAGTACCGCCAAGACCGCCAGCCACAAGATTGATAATAAATTGACGATTATCCTGCATGATTGTCCTACTTTTGGCAAGATTGCTTCAATCATCAAGACGTTTCCTTCCAACGACTTCTACTCCTCTACTCGTCTTATTGTAACTTTGCCATTTTACAAATCTTCATCCAAAACTATCACACTACGCTAATAGAATTTCATCATCTTGTCATCCAATGACTCAATCGATTATCCACTACAACAGATCTTGATTCTATTCAACAAGATTGCTTTCCTCTCTAATAGACGACGACCATCGATTTCATTAATTAGATGGATGCGTTGAACCAAGTCGGTTGGCCATCATTTTTTTTTCCCCTTCTTTGCGCAAACAGCCACCCCAACGTTACTGCACTGCCGTCGAGTATGTTGATACTAGTCTGCCTAGTGGATACTAACCGATGTACTGACGGATGGACATGATACTGACCGATGCCAGCGCCCACGACAGTATCACTATCGCTTTGTGTTGATTTGACCGGAGTGGTTGACGCTTGAAGAGGTGTAACGTAGGCGATGTCACTCGCTACAGGTCAGCTTATTGGCTTCTAAACAGTGTACTGTACTGTAGAGTCAGCAGTACAGTGGACCACGTTCGATCGAGTGGTTCATTCCAGCGCGGGAGCAACAACGCTTTCATTGACCTCTTGATCAGATCGTGGTACTCTACGGTACGTAGGCACGACGCAATGCCATTTGGGTCGAACTTTGCTTGTGTAGTGCTGTACTGTACACTGTACACTGTACAGTAGGGCCAGGCATCATAACCCCCATTAATCAGCTACTCAGCGTCAATAGCTTCAACAATGATGCTTTATTCTCGGAGTGTATACAGTGTCGATCCAGTCGAGACTATACATCTGACGAGAAACTTTTTGCCCCATTCAAAATTCTGATGCAATTTTTTTTTTGTCCACCGCCCACCGACTGGTACAGTACTCAGTACTGTACTGTACTGTACTACCGACTCGTCGAAATTCCAAAGTGCTTTCGACTAGTCCACAACAGTATCGTACTATGATTGGTTGGTTTTTTTCTTGGCCGTGGTACGTCACAGTTGATTCATGCAATTATTGACGTCAACGCATCAACTGGTCTTTGTTTCAACCATGGTTGATTCATTCTGTCGAGTCAATCGAATCAGGCTGACGTACACTCATGCAAGATCAAGCGATTTGTTTCAACCATGGTTGATTCATTCTGTCGAGTCAATCGAATCAGGCTGACGTACACTCATACACGATCAAGCGATTTGTTTCAACCATGGTTGATTCATTCTGTCGAGTCAATCGAATCAGGCTGACGTACACTCATACACGATCAAGCGATTTGTTTCAACCATGGTTGATTCATTCTGTCGAGTCAATCGAATCAGGCTGACGTACACTCATACACGATCAAGCGATTTGTTTCAACCATGGTTGATTCATTCTGTCGAGTCTTGTACGATCAAGCGGTTTGTTTCAACCATGGTTGATTCATTCTGTCGAGTCAATCGAATCAGGCTGACGCACAGTACACTCATGCATGATCAAGCGATTTCATCCAGATGAACGAGTAAATCCACTTCAAGATACTGCAGGAGGATCAACAAGATGAGAACAGTAGTCCAATTCGTCTGTTCCTTATTGATGTCAAACAGATTGATGATCAAGGTACCGTCGTGTAGAATCACTTGATCAATCAGCTAGGACTAAGAAAACTGCTGTACTCTTATCACTGTCACAAGAGTTGAATAAACTGTAAAGTTGTTCTAATCAACACAAGACAGTACGCTATGACTGCATCCACTGCTAGAAGAAGACTATCTTCAACAAGCCCATGACCGATGGACGCTAGACAGTGTGAGTGCACTAGGATTGTATGGAGCACTGCATACCGTACGGCTGACAGTACGAGCGGTGAAACCCACGGACGGCTGATAGTACGAGCGGTGAAACCCACCGACGGCTGACAGTACGAGCAGTGAAAACCCACCAACGGCTGACAGTACGAGCGGTGAAAACCCACCGACGGCTGACAGTACGAACGGTGAAAGCCCACCGACGGCTGACAGTACGAGCGGTGAAACCCACCGACGGCTGACAATACGAACGGTGAAACCCACCGACGGCTGACAGTACGAACGGTGAAAACCCACCGACGGCTGACAGTACTAGTAAGGTGACGGGGCTACTGTAGTGTACTGTACTGTACACCGATTGTCAACTACAGTACAGTATAATGTACTGTACATTGTACAATCATTCATTTCCAGGTCAAGCTATTGCTGATTTGTCAACGGCCCTCAAAGGCCATCCGAAAGGGCATCCGAAGCCTTCCGAAGCCATCGACCCATAGGGTAGGACGGAATGAATTAGACGATGTTGTCCATGGTCGTCTAAAATTCATCACACCCAACTCAACTCGGACTCTCTTCGCTCTCTCCAGGTAGAGTATGTTTCCTTAAAGTTGGCATAACTGAGAAGTAGTAGGACGTCCTTGCAAAGTCAAGGAAGGAGTCATGAAGATGAGCATTACAATGACTCTATGTCTCGCTGTGCAACGTGCAATGTGCATTGCTTCTCCTCTCACTTGGCATGACTGGCCACTTGCGTAAAGTCAATAGTCTATCAAATTGTTATCCATTCAACTAGCATACTCATACTCACAGACTGTATCAATGCCAGGCTTCTGTACTAGAGTTTTTTTTTCAAATGGATAGCAATGGATGGCAAAAACCAGCATTACAGTATCTACTGCAGTATACGTTTATGCCATGATAATAGGATAGCTCCATCCTAGATGCATACGACGTGCCATACATGCAGCTATTCCATGCGCCAATTCAAATAGAGTAGAAAGCAATTCATTGATTCACTGCTAAACAACATGAATGCTTGGCTTATTATGTAGGAAATGCAATTGTCGCTAAATGGCTAATGGACCCTATTCAATCACCAACTGCCTTCATTTGAGCTGTTGAATGCTGCAACGATGAGTGAATATGACCTATACGAAGTCTTGAAAGTCAATCCTACGGCATCATTGGAAGAAATCAAGCGCAGTTACCATTCCTTAGTCAAGCAAGTAAGCAAGTCATACTATTTGTACTTAGTACGCTATTGCTAACGATGACACTGTGACAACTTGACACTTTCATGACAAACTAAACATGCGTTCTTGTTCACAACGGTATTAGTGGCATCCTGATAAACTCGACTGTAATTCAGCAGAGAATGATGTAGCCTCCGCTATATATGACAGAATCGATAAAGCATGGCAGACTCTAAGTAAGGACGAATTACGCAAAAAGTACGATCAACAAAGGAGAGGTATTCATTCTATATCCTTATATCAAACTCGACTGCTTGCTTTCATGCCAATAACTAGACTGTCGCATGGAACGCTTTCTGAAAAAAAAAAATCCGCACATCTGATGAAGGAATTAACTTGCGCTTAATTTTGACTAGAATAATAGAGAGTCATCTTTATATGACTCGACGTTATCTAAACTACAAACTGCTTAGAAATACAGTCTAGGATTTTAAAGTACATGAACTAACATGTAATTAGGACATCGGCTAATTCCAAATAAATTACCATCCTCAAGTCACATGCGTTTGTTTGATTGTTTGTTGATAGAAGTAAAAGTAAGGCAGGAATACCCCATTAATGACGATATCGATATCGATGATATGGAATATCATGAAGGTAATCAACATATTAAAATCACTAATAATATCATTCTATTGATTGTAATAGCTTTTATTGTAATCATTGGCTATCTAACAATTTCCGAGAACGGATAGCGTCATCCACTGACTGATAGTGATGTCATATTTACTGTGATCGTCTATCCAATACCTTTTTTAAAATGAGTTTGATGTAATGAATGCTTTCAGTATTGTAGTTCATGTAATTGGCTTGAAAACTTATTGACACTCACTGATCGTATGTTGATAATGTTATGTCTTTACCCCAGATGGCAATTATTCCTATGATTGTAGATGTGGAGGGTGTTACATTATATCGGAAAATAACTTGGAAGCTGGCATCGATATTGCTCCATGTACGACTTGTACTTTAGCTGTTAGAGTTTTATATTCTGTCATAAACGACAGTGACGGCGACAATTGCCCAGTTTAAAGATCTGCTAAGAATCGCAATGGGTAAAACCCCAGTTGAATTGCATTTGGTAAAGTATGCATTTATCCCGAGTTGGACTTACAAACCTAATTATGTTCTGTATGCACTTTTATTGTATTATTAGCTGTTATATAGCTTGCTAACTTGTAAGAATTTCTAGTGATGGAAAATCGTAATATTTGAGAATATAATGTTTGTTATATTCAATCTGAGTAATGTGTGCAATCTATTACAATACCAATAGACTGCATGATTTTATTATGATACACGTTGTATATAAGTATGGACGCATATTATGATGAATTTCTATGGAGTATATTTTACAATTAATTTTTTTAACAATTTATTCATTTCATGTTTTTACGTGTATATATATATAAATTACTAATTGAAATACTGTTGTCCGTTTCATAAGACATTCAAGTACTCTATAATGGACTAAAAATGGGTAACAATTTTTAAAATTGATATTCTTATAAGCTAATCCTTAGTTAACTGATAATTCCATATACGATGTAAGCAACAAAAATCTTCTTGCTTGCAGCCTTGAGGGAGACTTGGCGGCCCAATTTACAGCTTACATTTGTTTCTCTTGTGTCTCATAAAGATTGCAAGATTCATACGTGGGAACGTGGATCTTGCTTAATCCTATGCATTATATACGTTGTGATTGACCAAAAACCCAGTTTAAAGTATCAAAATTCAAGTACAACTTGGATTTTAGATAGAAACACCACGCTAATAAGATACCAATGCCCTTATAATACTGTACACGGTACAATGCTATAACGCAGCATTGCAAGATGCTGTGTGTTGTTGATCGATTGCTGCTATGCCGTTTACGAACTTTTAAGCAATCCATCAATGTCACAAGAGATCATTTCCAATAGCAATTATTATTTTCTACTGATTTGCCTCTAAGTAGCGATGCGGAATGATTGTTTTTCTCTGTCGCCCTATAACATTACGCTACATCCATGATCTCATGGTATTAATTGAGCAGAGTTCAAATTTTGTAATATTCAATACTTACGGCACCAATTTATCATTGGAAACAAGTAAAATATTTCCCTCTAGCTCGGTAAACTACGCCTTGCATAAAAGAAATGAATAAAGGTTGTCATGAAGGCGATATAAACCTATTTATAGGTCATCAAAATTTAATTAAATTTACGGAGACGAATAACATAGCCTAGTCAGTAATTTCTATAGCATATTCACCCCACAGCATACCAAAATAATCCGAAATAGACGCAGTACTTGAACAACATAAACAGAAGAGCACACGTTGTTCAATAAAGGTCATATTTGCATTGTAAGTATATTACTTACCTTTTGTCGTATACTTTCATATCTTGTAGGTTTCATGAATATTGAGAAGCAGATAACAAATCCTTTAGTATTTATGGCCAAGTATTTTTGTTTTCATTATGCTTGGAAAGCTTTTAATATTTGATGGAGAAATAATCATCCCATCGACGTGAATAAAATAATGGAATGATTTTAGAATTTGATTACTTTTCATGAATATACTGTCCAATGATACAATATAAATTGGCGAAACAGCTCATATCTACGCCCCCCCCCAAAAATTTATCAGTCATACGACGTCGTATATCTATTCGATTTGACGGTATTGCCGAAACCATTTTTAGCTAGTGAACTAGAATAATTTCAATGGATAACCTACTGCACCCTCTACTCTGTTACTAACTTCAGTAAATTATAAGCTTTGCTTTGTATCTAAGCACATCTGTGGTATTCCTCTTTACAAGATCATCTATGAGAGGAGTAAATTGATGGGTAGGCAGGCATTTTAAAATATCGGCTACCGTATTAATGCTCTGAGAATGGAATTGAAAGAAGTTAATCACTCAACAGAATACGCGTATATTAAATAACATCATGTCTTGGTAGCAATGCACAGCTAAGTGGTATATGACATCGGCTAGTAATGAATTAATTGATTAATAATTAATTGGAAATAACTACCTATCATTAAGAAATCAAGTTCTTATTTATTGTAGTGTACACTGAGCAATGGATACGATTAACTTGGGGTTCAGCCCTATTTCATCTGAACTTTTATTATTATTTTAATTAATTAATTGTTATAATCAACTAATAATTAATTAATAAAATACGGTCTTGCAAAAGGATAAAGGCCACCAAAAAATAAACCCGTTTAAGTAAACACCAGGAATGATTAAGATAAATTGTAAAAGTCAAGGGCATCAATGATAAGGTAAAGCTTTCTCTCTAACTTTAACACTTTCTTTACGCTCTCTACTGACGCATCACACAAGAAGAGAAGATAAATTAAATTAATAAGCAGGAAATCGACTATCTATATGAGCATTGGTATAGCAAATTACAGTAGCCATATTACCTATATTATTGACTTTCAAAATGATAGTGCGGTCATTCATCACTTATTGCTCTCTACAAGCTATCTAGCTTGTAGTGTACGTAGATATACTTTCAACGTCGATGGACACTGTTTGAGCGCATTTGAATTTATTGGCGATTTTATGTCTATTATTTGAAAACAAGTTCAAGTTTAGACTACAGCACTACTGTACTTTAATTAGGATTGATTGTGTTGACTTTATCATTGTTCCGTCAAGATCTCGAAATAACAGACGTAACACTATCAATTTCATCGAAATCCACAGCTAAAACTCACACAATCATATTGCATGTCGTTGATTTTATTTATTGAAAGTATGCAGATAGATCTGACAACATGAACAATATTGAATACTCGTATGGAACGTGACAGTTAAACGCTAACTCTAAAAAAGGTCCAATTATCCTGACAATTTTGTATACAGTACAGTATGTATTACAGTAAATTGGCGTCTGCTGAAATTGCTCTAAATTAATCCATCTAGTTTACCATTCTTACTTGATCGATTGCTTATTATTGCTATTTAAAAACCAGCGCGATTTATGGTTGCTATCCAATTGGCAGTCAGTCCATTGCGCAGTAGAACTACATTTGACAGCTCTTGTGTCAAATAGATGTCGTACCGTTGAATATACAATTGTAGAAAAGATACTGCTCGTGTATATCTATCGTCCATCACTTGATCGATTGCTTATTATTGCTATTTAAAACCTGCGAAATTTATGGTTGCTATCCAATTGGCAGTCAGTCCATTGCGCAGTAGAACTACATTTGACAGCTCTTGTGTAAAATAGATGTCGTACCGTTAAAAACCTTGGAGATTCATGGTTGCTATCCAATTGGCAGTCAGTCCATTGCGAAGTAGAACTACATTTGACAGCTCTTGTGTAAAATAGATGTCTTACCGTTGAATGTACAATTGTAGAAAAGATACTGCTCGTGTATATCTATCGTCCATCACTTGATCGATTGCTTATTATTGCTATTTAAAAACCTGCGAAATTTATGGTTGCTATCCAATTGGCAGTCAGTCCATTGCGAAGTAGAACTACATTTGACAGCTCTTGTGTAAAATAGATGTCGTAAGCTAAGTCAGTCATAAGAGTCCAACAAAGAAATTGCTACGACATCTATTTTACACATTTTGTCTTGCTAACCATGGAGGAAGATTCATCGGTCTACTGCTGGCCTTGAGCACCTGGAGAATAGGATGGTGCATGCATAATGACATATTGTGGTAATCATGATGTGCTCTATTTGTTTTAGTGCCTATATTGTAGAAGTTGCATGACCTATTTGTTGTTTCTTTCCTTCAACTTTGCCTGTCCTTGATACGAGTGGACAGTTCTGTTGAAGGGTCTGTCGTCTGTTGATGTTTTCGGACCTTGCCTCCTGTTCATTATTGATCTCATGGAGTCCGAATTTAAAGTACTGGATACTAACATGAAGGACTTTTTTTGTGTGTGAGGAATCCTTACTGGTGTGCTGTGCGATATGCAGTAGTATTCAAATATACTGTATATCGACCAGTATTTCTACGTATATATATATTCAGTCCTATGATACAGTAATATACTGTATATTATTAATGTATATACATGCACCATGTTGAAAAAAGCGATACTTGCATGAGCAATTGAACTTGGATGAAATGATTTCAACATCTCTCATGGACAAGTATTTCATAGCATATAAAACTACACCGTATAGTCTTGTATGAAATAGTGGAGAATAAGCATTGTCAATTTATCAATGAGTGTCCAGTGTACAGTATGGTCCAAGCCTGGAAACCTTCCCTCTCTCATTATGCAGATAAAATAATTATTACCATCATTCTATAATCAACTGATGCATCAATGAGGAATACTCATATTATCCAAGTGATTAATTCAATTAACTTGAATTGAATAGTGTGAGCCATAGTACAATAGAAATGGTATAAAATTGATCCAATATTGAGCTAGTCGCTGATGAAAGGAAGACTATCCTTGCCCAGTGGAGTCTATGGTAAACCAAGCCATCTTGACAATAATCCACTAATCTCCACCGTTGCAACAGATGCAAGGACAACATGACATCCTCTACCAAGTGCAACAAGCCATGATGGCCTGCTCAACCTAATCCAACACAAATCATGCTTCTCATGATGGCCAATCTCTACCTCCTTTTGCTCATCAGGCTCATATTGACAGCAAGAAAGTAATTCTTGCTATGCCGCCGCCATCATGCCCCCCAATAAAAAAAAAAAATAAAGTTAACAATGCTTTTGAAAAGATGCAATATCATTGTGCCCTTGTGTACATTGCAGAAACAATCATATTATATTATCATATCTATTGTTTATTAATCAAGATTTTACGTACTAAAAGCATTAAGAATCGATTGGCAATACGTATTCTAGTCAATAATAATTTGCAGGATACAATACGTATTTGGACATCCATTGCTTATGTAAAAGGATTGATTCTTATTCTTACAACGTATAGAATAATTGATTGCAAGGTGAAGAACGCGGAAGGCGACTGCCATGCTAGTTGATATTGCACTGGATATCCAGTTGGATTGATTGAAACTAGTTTGTAGTAGATAGTGATCGAGTCGAATTTCATTTTCGTCTCTTGCTCCAATACAAGTCCTCATCGAGAACACCGTTCATTATGACAAATCCATGGCAATACGTTGCATCATCTGTTGATTTGGAGTACAAGGATTAGACTTTGGTGTCATTGCAAAGGCAGAACGTATTGACTCCACGGTTGGATTGATCTGATCGATTACAAGGTGAAAAAAAAAGAAAAAAAAAGTGGATTATTGTTTTTTTTCTTTCCTTGATTTCATCCTCCTTTCCTACTTGTCATCGTCTTCATGTATTGCGTATGAGGAAGAGTAAAACGAGGAGAAAAATGCCTTGTTATTAGCTACTCATGTTGTAGACGATCGTTGGTCATCATTGGATCTACCAACTGCAATCTACTTCACTGCATTCGATCGATGATTGTCGACATCAAGACTGGCTAAACGAGTAAAGAGAGACATCGAAAAAGAATGAATCAAACTAACGTGGTCCAATCAAACCCTAAAATCATCACCACGGCCCATGCCATCAGCCAATCTTCAAGCCAAACCATCAACAATCAAGCTCAACAGCACAGTGGTAATAATCAAGAAGAATTTATTGAACATAGCTTTAATTTGACCTATTTAGGTTATACACCGATCGATCGTCGTTATACACAACAAATCCTATTTTGGGTTGTTGTTGAAACAAAGCGTAAACGGATACGCCAAGAAGTTGTCTTAACGGTGACCAAGAGTACCTTGAAAGGTTTAGACATTGAAACGGAGAAATTAGCCTTCGAGCATCAAATATCTGGTATTACTCGTTTCGCACGAAATAAAGATCAAACTAGCTTCGCCTACGTTACTCGTAGCCCATCTGAAAATTTGCCCTGTTATTGTCATGTTTTTGAAGCTTCTGATCTTACCAATGTAAGTCAATATCTAATCTATCCTCGCTAACTTGCCGTACCATCATAACATAACGTTAGCTTAAAATAATGATCAAAAAGTCAGTTTTCTACTTGAAGAATACATTTACAATGACAACTTGAACAGGTAATTATTTTATCCATTAAAACTATGCATGCATTCAAATTAAGTTTGGACAATTTTCAAGACATAATTCAATGTATCCAAAAGACTAAGATTGCAGCCCTTTACGAGCGATGCCATTCCGCGCAAGAAGTAGCAAAATGAATAACGGACTTGATACGTTCCTAATTTTTTTTTTATCAACAGTAAACATCATAATATTAAGATTGGCTGCTGCTGTCATAATGATCATTAATACATACTTGTACATGGGTTGGGCTCCATGTTGACGGCTGTTGTTATACGCTTACCAAAAATGGCCAAGCAACATCGCCAATCAACACTAGAACGGATTCGTTAACTACTGTACAGCGACTTGAACACCGTCGCTAGCATGGCTACCCCTACAATTTCCAAAATGGCAAAAACTTGAAGCATCAATAGCAAGAGTAAATGTCAAATACCAATATGTCATTAAAATGGTCGTGGAGCCATTTTGAGTAGTAATAGTCGCTAATTAACGATACTGTATGTTCAACATTAAATCGATACTCCACTAGAATTAATGGCCAGCATTGTGTGGCATGTATCCTACCTCTAACCCTACAACATCCCGCTTTCCAAAGTGCTGTCCGCAGTCGTGTTTTCACAGCGCAATGGAAATGGCCGCAGTTAGTTCAATATCGTAACAAATTCGAGGAATCTATTTTCTTGATTAGAAAATGGTTAGTTGATTCGTATGACGTTAGAAATAAAACTGGAAGCCAATCTTATGTTAAGGAGTTGAAGAAAATGAGCAAAGGCTAATTTTTACTTCGCCTTTCCTACGTATGATGAACTTACACTATAACGACATGATATTGTAGAACTAGAATAGTTGCTCACAACAGCATCCTTGTGCTGTCAGGGGATATCGACAGTAAACATCATCTTACTTGAGCGATTATCACTAGCCATATTGATGGATTGTCAACTTGTGAAATATTACTCCTATAACTGGACCACACATACAAGTGTGGACATCAGCAGCCTTCTTTTTGTTGACCTCCATCAAGCAAAAGGATTGTACTCTTTTGATACAATCCTTAATATGATCCAGTGAATGCAAGATCCAACTGTTAGCTTAAGTAAAGCAGGAAAAAACTTTACTATTTCACACGATGATACACTGCTTAGCACAACAGCAGTAGAAATGAATTTGTCAAATACTACATGATTTTAGAATGAAAAATGATCAATTTACTTCATGTTCAAGATTGTTTTTATTATTATTTATTTATTTTTAATGTTATCATTATTCTTCAAATGAATTTCTTCTCCACTATAGCATATAGTTTCACGTTTAATGCAGTACATACGAGTATATGGACTACCTGGTGAGTTATTGGAGAATGATTTATTGTTACTTTCTTTGAGAGCACTTTCTGAGTGGGTTGGTTGATTACTAAGTGTAAGTAGGCCATGGTGATTCCCTTCAATGGATGTGCTTGTTTCGGACTTGAATCTGCTGGCCATTTTATTGGCAAACACCTTAATATTACGCAATCATTTGCATTCTCATTTGCCTTACAATCTCTTTGTCATTAATCCAATAGTTACTCGTACTGTAAACCATAAATAGGGCAGTAATTCAAATAATACAATTATGCAGATTAATTGAAACCGTCTTGAACTCGCCATGGCATCGACCCGACAAAAAAAATGTCCACAGAATAGAGGAAAATAGACGGCGTGCCGCGAGAATGCTATGGTAATGACACTCTCGAATTGGATCATTTGATCCAATTCGAGAACTGTCAGTTGTAGACTTGACAGCCAAAGGAATTATTAGTAGATTAAATGACTGACTGACTGATGATCATCATTATCCCTCAGTTGCCCTATTTTGTACACACACACACACTCTGTCTACAAGGCTACAAAATAATCTCCAACACATAGTATCAAAGTTGAACATCTCACTTCCAGCTTGCTTGAAATCCTAGTTGTCCACATTGCTCGGTGTATTTATTACATTCATCCTTGATAGATCGCCCATGTAGTCATTAATTAATCATTAAATAATTAAATATTGAAATGTATTATTACAGTAAGCTAATGAGTAGGATTATAGGCCATGGCCATGAAGACGCGTATTTTGAATATGGAAAGCCGAATAGAACAGCAGCAATCAATCACTACAGTACCAGTATCCTACTAGTAGATTGTATATTTCAGTCAGAAGATGATCAAAAAATACCAACCAGGAGTTGAATTTTATTTCAACAATAACATCTTACATCGTATGACTCTAAAATATGCTGAACATCGATGAATGATGAGTAAACTTGTCTTGAAATTGGATATTATTGTTGTCATACTGTTTAATTTTTATCCATGGCCGGTCGCAATGCAATTTTACAATTGCAATCAAATTATTTTGCAACAAACTGAACCAACATAACAAGTACAAGCTGCATATACAGGAGTGAATTTGGTTAGTAAAATAGAAGTTGTTAGCGTCGATCATCTCCAATGCTCTGATCAAGCTTGCTGTTTATCTTTATTTTACGTTTTTAACATTTACTGGCATTAGCAGATGTTGATACACCTTCCAAGTCCTCATTTCGGAGCAAATAGCAACTGAAATGATACTCTTTTGTAAATCCTGCTGGCAACAGTTCTATAATGCTGTAGAATACTTCACTTTATAGCTTATGATTATTTCAACATCATGCAGAATGAGTGCAAATTAATGAATTAATTAATTATAATCATAAATCCTGACACAAATAATCTTCAATATACATGCGAGCATAATGACCACCATGATCAATATTTTAAATCCATGGCAGGACTAAGGATCTCACACAAATAGACTGATTATACAGCAACAATACCGACTCAAATTTACAAAACAAAGCATTAGCATGCTTAAAGAATTATTGTAACCCTTTTAATCAAATTAGATTCCTCTATTTTATTCTTCTTTCATGATATTGCAAGCCTAACCTTTCACAATAACTTATTTATTTATCTGCAAAAGAAAGAATTGGGTCATACTGTCTTTGTCTCGTGCTAAAATTGGGTTTAGCAGGTTATGACAAACGAGAATCTATTACTGTCTAGTTCCAATCATACCGAATTACTGTTAAAGACATGATCAATCTATCTTGCAGACAATATGAAAAGGCAATGTTTCCTATTTCTACCATGTTTGATATAATTGTATATCTGGTGTTTCTAATCTTTATTTGAAGGTTTAATTAATTAATACAACATATTGAACCATGTTTACCCTATATTCCAGGATATCCATTAAAAAGAAAAAGAGTTTGTATGTGGCCATACGCATTTAGGATGTATAGCAATAGGAGCCCTTATTATTCCCCCAAACTATTGAGTTCTATCGTTAAAAGGAATAGCTTAGACTTTGCATCTGTTTCCCTGATTTCTCTACTCTTGAAAACATGTAGTTTAAAACAATAATGGAACACAATTTCAAGATGATATGACGTATTTTATACTTGGTATAAACGATAATAAAGAAGTGCCGCTTTACTTTCTCTAATATTCTCCATTCATGGGATAGCAATGGCATTTGAAACCCATGACTACTGTAGCTTGACGGACATTAGTTGCTAAACTGTACCCCGACTGTCAAAGCGCATAGTCATAATTGCTATATACTTTGCCATCCTAATGTCTGAAAAACTAATAAACACATCTTAAATCCTATCCTATTTACCTCATCCTTTTTTCTGTTCTACAGTATTTACGGCAATAACATTACCCATAAGGAATGGCCAAAATAACGCGAAATAGTCAATACAGTAGTTCTCGGTCATGTTAGATATCGTAATATCATCTTGAGGGCTGTATTATTTTTTTGCCTTTGAATCAGATAATGCTGTCGTAGTCGTTTAGTATGTTGTAACATGTGCAAATAGTCTATACTGCACAAAGCGAAAGCTCAATTTTTCAAATTTTTACATAGCAGATAATATGAAAGCGCGAATGAGTGTATATCGGATGTAAACAAGATGTCATCACGTTTGCGTGATATGAGTAATAGTAAAGAGATATTTTAAAATCATAGCCAGCATACATGACATTTTTAAAGTCTCGTGAACCGCATTCAATCAACATGCATCATAAATTGTAATCATTGAACATAGCATAAAATACATCTGCAGCACTTGTTATTCAATCTTTAAAAATAGACTTACAGAATTTGGCGATGCTTTTCCACAGTGTGAGACAACATGACAAGATTTGATTGCAGGAAATTCATTGCAAACAGATCATTTATACAATTGGTAAAAGTATTCAATAGTAAGAATCAGAAGGGGTAAAATACTATATGAAAAAGTATCAATAAGATTATAGGAAATAGGCCTAATGAAAATGAGAGACCAATCGATGATGGACCCATGTAGGTATACAGATATAGTAACGATGTAGTCGTGAATTGAACAACTGTTGTTGATTAACATTGAATACAGTATGGATGTGGCCATTTTTAATTTTATGTTGAAGCGTGAGAGAGAAGAGTTATTTTATTACTCAAAAATATCTTTGAAATAATATACGTAAAAATGAAAATTCAAAAAGAAAACCATTTCAACTAAAAACGACCTTGGTTCTTAATCAGTTGACGATAACCCCCAAAATTTTTGAATAAGACTAACATTTCCCTTACCAACGTACTGCTTTAATTCACGGATTAGCGTCAATAACATTGGTATAGACGAATTTGATCATAATGATAAGTGCTTTGTTGATTGTGTGATAGATTCCTCATCTGCTAAGATGCCTCCAAGAAGCAGCCAAAAGAACCAATACTGCTGTAACAGTCGACGAATCCAAAACTGAACGGCGTAAAAGTCGAAGTAGTAGCCATGGTAATATCGCTACTACTAATTTTACATTTCAACTCAAATACGTTGGTAAGGTAGCTATATCCCATCGACAAATCCCACCACAATTATTAGATGACACAATCGATAAGTTTCGAAAGCATTGGTTAGAAAATTACAAGAACAAAACTCGCCGGAGAACTCATTCAGCCCGTGAAGCATCGCGCCCATCATTATCCTCGTCCAGTGAGGCTGCCAATGATCCACCTCATGGTAAGAGAGTTCGACATCGTAGTGCATCGTCCATTGGACCAGGTCCTGATGATGATACAGATGGCGACAGTAAATGGGCTGACAATCGTACACATGAGCAAGTAGAAGAGGAAAAAGTTCTTGAGTTTTTGCGCCCTCCGTTAATTAAATCGCTAGATTCATTACCACCATCAATAGGCAAATCTCCGCAATTAACTGAGATAATTATCGAAGGAACAGATGATAATAAGAAAGATTACGCCATCGGTCGGTCTAGTGATCCACTTAACGATCATGTTCTAACCGATTGCGATAATAGCAAGCTTGACATTAGACCATTTTCCGAGACCAATCGTAAAATGAATCTATATCTAAAAAATGCATCAGTAGTATTAAAAAATTGTGAAAGCGGAGGGAAAATGTTAGAACGAAGAATGAAAGATATCTCCTATTGTTGTAAGGTAAAGAATGTTATTTTACAGTAGCAAGTACAAAATTAGAAATAAAATGATCGTTTGCTTAATCACCATTCATTATAATTAATTAGGAAGGGGATCTGTAACTTTTAATTGAAGCTTAGCGGCTAACTATCTGTCTTAGTTATGTCAACATAACAATGTTATACAATTAATTTCTAGGGCGAGAAAGAAGATAATTATTTTGCTTTCGTTTGTCGCGAAGCTGCCTCTGGTAATTATCAGTTATACGTCTTCGAATGTGAATCAGCAACAAAGGTAAGAGTAGAAGAAATCATGATGACAACTACTGTAACCATCAAAATAGTATCATCGTTATTTACTATTTTACTAGCGGTGATTGTACTCTATAATACGATAATAATGTTGCTTTCGTAATAATCTCTTCAAGAAAAAGTAACAGTCCACTGAAATGCGTAAATTAGATCGCGACAACTTCCTACGATTCTTAATATAGCTTGTATCAATGGCATACAATAAAGTATAGGATGTAGGCGTTGCGACTCTAGATGAAAAGAGAAAAAAAAAATAGCGAATATCGTGTAATACAATACTGTTAGCTTATCTGATGGCTGATGACATATTATTATATTCGAAAAAGCAACGTATTATTTATTAGCCCTTGTATCTAGACAGATACCTTAATGTCAGTGTATTATCCTAATAACTATAAAGGAAGATTATTATGCTCCTTATTTAGTCCTTATTTACATTTGGGAGGATAAAAATTTTATATTCAATCTTGTAAATTTTTAAAATGTTTTGCACCGTTATACCGTCTTGGAATAAACCAATTTCAACAATTTTCTCTATGCGATTAGACTTCTTCTATTATGGATGCATTTAAACAAGGATTTCAAGCGTTATTACAACTACCATCCAATTTATTTTGCGAAACATGTCCACTAAATTATTTTCACCGACTTTGTTTACAATTAGAAGGTATAGTCAACGTTTTTGTCTTTATCTTGTTTCATTGTCCTTATTCGGTCTACCGCAGCTGATATTGTAATTATTGACAATGATAAAAGCCGCTTAATGTTTGGATTTTTGATTGTTTTAATTATTTATCGAAATACAATAACCTTATAGTTTCCATTTTTAGCAATTTTTATTATGCATTTTCGAATGATACCAAATCATGTTGTAAAAAGTGAATATACTGTGACTGTAAGCTTTTTAAATTCCATTCAATCTTATCTAGTATCGCTGTGCTATTTAATTTTTAGGTTTATCCGGCTATCTAGCATTGGTAACGGTAGAAAAATTTATATCAACACTAGATGACGATGACCGAGCAGAAGTACACACTAAATTTAAGGTATTGAAGTAGTTTATTCGAGTTAAGATGTAGAAAATCTATCAGAAGAGGCCAATTCGATAGAGTAATATGTCAGAAATGGGTCATAATAAAATTTTACTGTGTAAAAGTAGCAAGAATGCATTTTTCATCATCTTTTCACGTCGTCTCTTCTATCCTACCATATTGGGTATACGATAAAATTCCTAAGCGTAATGATAACTCTGTTCAAATTTGGATTCGGTAGGATTTAGTACCTCAAAAATCAAGTATTCGGGACGATCAAGATCGCGTAGAATTATCGATGATTGCTGTACGAGCGGTCTTAGAAACGAAACAAAAAACTCATACACATTATACTAGTACGCCCAATTCTACTAGTAACGAAGCCAAAAATCTAAATGCAATAATACCGGAAAATGTCAATACCAAAGAACCTGCTAAGCTTGGGACTTTCAAATCACTTGCAGCATCGTTCGAATATTTGCTCCGAGTAGGCCCTAGTACTAAAACACTTGGATAATGTAGCAATTTTTCTATACTTCAATCAGTCTAATCTACACTTTGTCGGCACTAACGATACTTTTATAATTAGAATTAAAATCGCTTTGATCTATAGTGTAAAAGTAATCATGTTAAGCAAATACTCTATTTTGTTATCATAGGGTCGTTCTAAATCAAAGGGAGAAGAAGCGGTTCCGAAATCGAAAGGATTAGAAGTCCAATCAGAAGTAAATGAGCGCTAACAACGCGCGTTATAGTAAACTTTGTGCCTGCATTAATAGTATAGTTGGTTTTTTTTAACAATTTCTGTCAGCAATTTTATTGAAGTACTTAATCGTTTTTATATTTAATTAGGTAACTTTTCTATTATATCTATTTTTATTTAGGAGTACAGGCCACGAAGCCATACTATAGGATCGGTAACTTTAGGGCCACCTAGCTTACAGGCTATTATTATCATATTCATCCTACTTTTTAATTTATAAAATTGATCAAATTTGTCTATTGCTGTAATTTTAGCCATCAAGGTATCATAAAGATAGGCTAAGAAATAGCTTTGGAGATGAAATTAATACGGTAACCTAAAATGCTATCGAAACTGTAGAAGAACTTGAGAGAAAGAATGATATCAATAATGTATAATAACGTCAAATTAGAGTAAAATTAATACTACTTCAATATCTCTTTTATAAATCAGAAATCAAATAGACCATCTGTCACTTCATCAAGTGAAGGTAGCAAGCCTGTATCTCCGGCAGCTATATCTGAGAATGTAGACAGTTTCTTTTCGCAGTTAAAAGACACAAATTCTGTCAAATCAAAGTCTGTTAATTCAAAACCATCTTATCAGCGACGAGTATCTTGGCGACAGGTTCACTACGCATTTATCAGTAGCTCTGATTTTATTTGTACTTTTGCCATAAAATATCAACTATTCTGAGTTAAGACTACTCACAGCATGATATATTTTCATGGTATTTAGGCCTTATTCAAACGCGTATATTCAAATACTCCTATAGCGACATCTATTGAAGGAAATGAAGGTATCATACGTGACTAGTATAACGGAACATGTATCTAATACTAAATTTAGATAGTAGCCTTATTTATCTTACAGCATGTCAGTACAGTATTGTGCAACTTTAGGGATATAACGATTCGACATTTATACTTTACGAATTAGATGAATCTTTACCCAGTGACAGTGATACTAGACCAAGAAAACCAAGAGACCGTGAAGAACTACGATTACTTTGGCGCAAAGCTATTCAACAACAAATTGCAATTATACGAATTCAAAAAAAGAATAAATACAATGGTATACTTGGATCAATTAATGTCAGATAGCATAATTCGCCTAACTCATGATTTTCACTTGATAAAAATTTACTTTTTAGGCCATCCGTGTGATGATGATGATGATGGTAAATTGGATTACGAAGAAATCCCGATTTGCACTCAAGAAATGTATCAGATGTGGAATGATATTATGGCTAAAGAGAGTGAAGGACCGTTGCCTTATCATACATTGGTGGCAGCTGTTAAAGCAGGTAAAAGTAAAGCATTTATCTTACTTACGCAACCTTTCTATTAATCTTTAAAAAACAATTATGCATGAAATTGCTGAAATAAAATCTGTCAGTATTTCTATTCTTGGCTGTTCGATAGCATAATAACCGTAAGTAATTTTGCAAAATATATTAGGTATACCAAAAACATTACGAGGAGAAATATGGAATTTTCTACGCAGGCAATATTACGCTCGTGACAAAAGGCAATCTACATGTGAAAATAGTGAAGAAAATTCCTTAACTAAATTATTAGAAAAGGAAACTACGAATCATCACCACGCTATTGCGCTAGATCTAGGTACTCACAATATCAGAGCATTATTTATGAAAGCATACTAGTAATGCATACCGTATACTATATCTAACCCGGTACAATAGTATCGATCAATTTATGAAATCAAAGTTAAAACTGTACCAACAATTTTATTATAACTAGGCCGGACATTTCCTACGCACAAATATTTTCTTTCACAAGTTGGTAACGGCCAAGTTGCGTTAAGAAATGTCTTGAAAGCCTATGCATTATTGGATTCTGAAGTTGGATACTGTCAAGGACTGAGTTTTGTAGCGGCGATACTAATTATGCATGTAAGTAATTTTTATGTTACTATTTCTATTGTTTGTTGAGTTATTAGTAATATCATTCTAGGATATAGAAGATGTGAATTTTTTTCTGGGTACTTCATTTTAGATGGATGAAAACGATGCATTTGAATGTTTCAAATATATTTTATATGATTTACATTTACGTGACCAATACAAGCCGGATATGGCGGCTTTGCATGTTAGTATAATTGATGGAAGAAGAGCAATGGTTACAAAGTTTATTTCCGAATAGTAATATTTATAGATCTTATCAATATTTTAATATTTTTTAGATCCAAATGTATAATCTATCCAGATTAATATACGATTATCAGCGAGATGTCTATCAAAATCTTGATCAAAATGAAATTGGCCCTTCCTTGTATGCTGCTCCCTGGTTTCTAACTTTATTCGCATCGCAATTTCCATTAGGATTTGTAGTCCGGGTTTTAGGTTATCCCATTATATTAATTATTTAATGGCGTAATTTGTGATCGAAGTTATTACTCGTAGTTAATTTTTGTTTTTGATGATATGAATATTTTAGATCTGTTATTTTTGGATGGCATAGAAGCTATCTATAAGGTATGACTCAGTTGAGAATGAAATGCATGATATTTTTTTAGTAACTTGATGATAAATTGTCTATGGATATAGATCTCGTTAATGTTGATAAAGCACTTTGCTAAACCTATCTTAGCTGCTGGCAGCTTTGAATCCACGATAGATGTACTAAAACAACATTTGCCGTCAATGGTGCAAGACCACCTTGATGCTATTCTTGAAGGAGCAGCATCATTGGAGATTAGTAATCAGCTTAAGTCATTTGAAATTGAGTATCACGTTTTGCATGAAGAAATGCTAAGCGCTCCTGAATTAATTCCGAGTGATAGTGCTGACAGCCGAATTTCACAATTAGAGAGTTTAAATCAACATCTCAAGCGGCAAAATATTGAATTAGTTGATAAATTAGCCAATGCGCGTAGTAAAATTAATAAATTCGATGAAACGATAGAACTGATGAAAGTCAATGAAGTTAAATTAATATCAAGAATCCAAGAACTTCAAGAAGAGAGAGACAGCGCTATACAGCAACTTATGGCTCATAGTAAAGGCTCAACAGATTCTCTCGATGAAATGTGCCGCGACAGCAATGGTAGTGAAATTAGTAATCAAGACTCATTGCTTGAATTAAGTACGAAAGATGATGATGATGATGATCAGGTTGTTGATATTGATATAGAATAATCTTGATGTCAAATTTATTGCAAATATAAAAGGAAAAAAAAATTTAAGTATTGTTAATGAATGACCGCAAGCAAACGACACAGACTATGATTCTAATTTCGAATTGGTTACTATATTAACAAGTAATTATTGGGTCATTTGCCATTCTATTGTGATATTATTACCAAATAATCTGTTTATTATAGTGATTAATTCATTGACGGTCGAGTACCCAGTACTTTACCGTAGTTATCAATAAGTACCAATGACCTATCCTTGTTGTTAGGTTGTTATCGTGCCATATGCAATTTTGTAAAGCGATTGTTAGTTTGAATGTTTATCATTGATCAATAATGACGACATATGACATCATTTGTTCCACAGCACTTATCGTCGAACACATTCGTATATGTTGAGAGTAGAACTTGAACTACTAGCTGATGTAGCTTATTATAGGATTATATTGTAGTTCTAGTAATAATGGTATTGTTCTAAAACAGAAGATGATGTTATTAGAGTATAATTAATTTAGAAAGGAGTATAAAGTTTGCTATACCGTATATTGTACGTTAGACGTCTACACCAAGTCAAATGTTGTTAGCAGATATACTACTACACGTTGTACAGTATATTGCACTAGTTAAAGTGTCGCACTTTCGTACCTACGTCGAATTGGCTGTGAATGGAAACAGTAAGGATATGATTGCTTTCTATTCTATATTATTATGATACAGCTGATAGGACTTGTGCACGAAATGGATTACTTTATAACTATTTAAATGAATTTCAATAAATATGTAATTTAATATCCAACATGACGAGAGTTCTAAGTTGCAAGAAAGCATTACTATATTTTGTTTCTATATAGACAACATTTATTTTTCATATATCTAGTATATGCGTAAAGTGGTTCAAAACTGATGGTGTGGAATAAATTGATGTTAAGTTAGCATGCTTGAGTACAATGTAGTCAAAAAGCCTTTCGCCATTGTTTGAATATAGTCGTACTCCTATTTGTCTTGTACATAGATTTTTTTTTTCTGGTATTAATTGATTGATTGATGTTGAATTACTGTACTTGAAGACACTGTAATCTAAAAACGTTGCTGTTTTTGTATATATACGTGTAGATTCCATTTTTTTTTTAAATATCAAGTGTAACATAATTTAATAGAGGGTGGTGTGCGATGGACTGATGTAAAATGAGTATGCCCGTAGAGTACTAGAGTATAGTGTAGTCAAAAGTATTGCCATTTTTTGTTTATAGATTCCATTTTTAATATCAGGTATACCCGTCAATTAGTTCAATTGATGATGTTGTACATTGTACAATGGACTGATGAAAAAATTAGCACACTTGAGCACACTGTAGTTATTAAAGTTGCCATTTTTTTTTTTATCTATACTCGTATATATAGATTACGATCAGTTCGAAAGTAATTTAATTGATGATGTGCATTATTGATGTCGTAAAATTAGTATACGCTCGTACTTGAATATAATTTAGTCAAATACACTGCCATCATTTGTATCTACTCGTATACACTGTAGATGGATTACATTATTTTAATATCAGCTATTTTAATGAAGTAATGGAATCGATGATGGTGGACAGTGGATAAATATGATATTAGCATACTTGAGCATAGTGTAGTCAAAGCATTTACCATTTTTGTTAGTAGTTCAATAGATGATGGTTGTGCAATGGATTGATGCCCAATTAGCAGACGGGAGTAGAGTGTAGACAAACATATTGCCGTTTTTTGTCTTGCTGGTATATATACAGTATGGAGATTGCCTCTGTTTAAGATCAGTTATAAATTACTTCAATAACTAATAAATGATGATGTGCAATGGATTGATGTTAAATTAGCATCTTGAGTACAGTGTAGTCATAAAATATAATTCAATAGATGATAGCGTATCATGGATTGATGTCATATTAGCCTATTTGAGTGCAATGTAGTTCAAAATAGTGCCATTTTCCTTCATCCATCACATCTTGTGTCATATCAGGTATAAGATAATTCAACAATCGATGCTAGATGGTATGCCATGGATTGCTGTCAAAAAATTGAGCGCACTTGACTCAAGTACAGTCTAGTCGTAAAATGCTGCCATCTTGTACGTAGATTTATATTTATTTGTAAATCAGGTATCAAGTAATAGCATTGATGATGGTGTGCAACGGATTGATGCTCTGTTAGCCTACTTGAGTGCACTACTGTACAGTATAGTCAAAAATATTTGCCATTTTCTTGTGACATTTACTGGTAGATTCCATTTTTGGGGGATAAGGTATACTCTTGAAGCAGTGTTTTGGAGTCAATAAGAAGGAAGATATCAAACACTGTGGTAAAGTAGTTTACTAGATTGATGTCCATTTGGTATACTTGAGTGGAGCAAGTAGAAAGATATCACCCTTTTTGTAATATCAAGTATCAAGTAAAGTAGTTTACTAGATTGATGTCCATTTGGTACATTTGTGTGGAGCAAGTAGAAAGATACCACCCTTTTTGTAATATCAAGTATCAAGTAAAGTAGTTTACTAGATTGATGTCCATTTGGTACATTTGTGTGGAGCAAGTAGAAAGATATCAGCCTTTTTGTAATATCAGGTATCAAGTAAAGTAGTTTACTAGATTGATGCCCATTTGGTATATTTGAGTGGAGCAAGTAGAAAGATATCACCCTTTTTGTAATATCAGGTATCAAGTAAAGTAGTTTACTAGATTGATGCCCATTTGGTATATTTGAGTGGAGCAAGTAGAAAGATATCACCCTTTTTGTAATATCAGGTATCAAGTAAAGTAGTTTACTAGATTGATGTCCATTTGGTACATTTGTGTGGAGCAAGTAGAAAGATATCACCCTTTTTGTAATATCAGGTATCAAGTAAAGTAGTTTACTAGATTGATGTCCATTTGGTACATTTGTGTGGAGCAAGTAGAAAGATATCAGCCTTTTTGTAATATCAAGTATCAAGTAATTTAATGGATGACTGTCTACAATAAATTGATGTCAAATTAGCATACTTGGAGTCTAGTGTGTAATATAGATGGATCGAGCATCCACGTTGTTTCCATTTTTGTTGCATAATGATATAATCGTTGTTTGTGATGACCACTCGTTTAGCCTGTACAGCCTGTTTTTCTATGCTTGATGTGAGCTAATGGAACTCCATTGCTAGGTGGCCAAGTCTCCAATTTAGCAACCAATCACTCTATCAGGCAGCATCATTGGGGAAATGCGCTCTCCATCATGGACTATCACTATGATAGTGGATTACGAATGTTGATCTGATGTGTGTGTGGGGGGAGGCTACAATATGTGTCATGATTTTTTACCTTTTACCCTAGCACTGTCATGCCACGATTAGGACAACTATGGAAGATTGGTTGTTGCATGCCTACTGTCGTCTATTGACTACAGTAGGTCTACCATAATTTGATAAATCGTTGGTCATAACTTGTGGCTATCGTTGGATATTGTCCGTCATAGTCATGCTATAAAATGATTGGATGGATGACATTGCTTACAACCCGTCCATTCAGACTACTCCTGGCAAGAGATCTTTTATTGGTAGTCTGTGGATTGGATGGAATCATGTCTCATCCTATCTAAACATGGCTCGATTACGATTGCAGATGGTCTTTCCTACTGTGCTCAGTTATGCTGGCGTCAATACGGAATCAATGAATGATTTATAGCACTCTCCATTATTGTTGTATTTCTATCCTCCACAGTAAAATGGCATCAAGACTAGTCCAGGCTGCAGGCCAGGAGCTGCTAGCCAGAAGAGAGAGAGAGAGAGAGAATACTGTCGTCCTTGGCAAAGCGGAGCAAAATGTCCAGTAGAAGATGGAGTTGCATGTCCATGTCTATCCATATACCTATATATGAGCTACTGGTGGTCAACAGCAGTCTCTCCCCCCCTCCCCCCTTACGTGTATCGTGGAGCATTGTTGATCCATTAAGCGATCCATAATGATGTTGATTGCCACTGACAGATGCTCCATGCTATTCCAATGTGTCCGGCATAAGCTGCAGGGAAATTGTCGACCATTGCAAGGGGAAATTTTTTTTTGCCCCTTCTTTCTCTCTACCCTTGTACAACTACACCTGACTAACAACACTTTGATCTGTGAATGATGCATTCCTACTACGACTGTCTTCACCAAGCATGAAATGGCCATTGCTAGCTGTAAAATAAGGCAAAATGGCCATTCAAAATAACCTGATGAGATTGGACAGGCCATCTTGTTGCACATAAGGCAAAGGCTGTTCCACAAGCAATCGTCGATCCAACTTTGCCCTATAGTGATAGTAGTATTGTGTTGGAAACATGAATCTATTCATTACCTTTCACTATAGATCCAAGTGGGCATGGTGGGAAGACACCAGATTCCCTCAATCTAACCGGTGTTGGACAGGGGGGGGGGGGGGGGAAAGGACCAGCACTCTACTATCTTTAACACTACTGGCTAGCGTATACTAAAGCCTATCATTTGCAAACAAGTGGAGGCCGAGGCAAGGTGGTGCTAGCCTTGCCCTCCAAGCAGATGTGCCTGGTCAGCGGCCTCGGACGTCTGGACACCGACTGCTAAGCATTCTGCGGCATCGCCCTCTTTCCTTCCTTTCCCCATACTGTTGATTTTCAGGCATAACAAGTTGGAAAATAGCGCTAGTAAAATCACTCTTGTCGTTGTTCTTGTCTTCTTGTTGATCGTATCCATCAGCAACAACGGTTTCCACTGCTATCCACAACTTCAAGTCGTTGTTTCCATTTCATCGACTACGGACATTAAGGTAAGAAGTCAATGTCGATTGCATGCATTTGGTTATTTGAT